CTGCATAATGTATGTTTCTCGCATTGCGATAAAACAACCGTACCTAGAGCCATAAAAATTTTAATAACGTAATCTTCCATAGAATATGGGCATTTGCAATCCTGAATTTTGGAATTTGTTTTGTTATCTATTTCATACTTTAACGAATATTTGATTAATAAACTCAACGATTTCAAAGCGAGCAGTGGCAACGTTGTACAGAAAAAAACATTTTATTTCCAGCGCGCGAGAGTGTGTATCGGAAATTCTAAAGATAGGCTCAATTTAAAGTTATTTTGCAAAATTGCTTTTGAACTGAATTTGATGGTTTAAGTGCGAAGAGCATGATATTTAATAAATAAAGGTAACACACAAAATGTTAAAAAAAACGCTCCTTTGGTCGTAATTTAAAATCTGAAACCTTTCAGATTATTTTTTCTTTTCATTACTTCAGTTGTCTTTTACATCCTCCGTTTTATAGTAACTCTGCTGCAAAACAAATTTTCTGCTTAATAAACTGTATAAATAGGTAACTCAGAAATGTTTTAAACAGAAGTAAATGATTCGCCCTGAAACAACCGTTTGATATATATATATATATATAACTAGCCAAAGCATCAACCTTGTGTTTGGCGTAAATTTAGTGAAGCTTCTATCGTTTTCGAAGACAAACGAATGGAGTCCCTCTTCTTCAGGAGAAAAGAAATGTGCAAGAAGGTTTCACATACAAAGTATCGAAAAGGTTATTGCTTTGCTAATTGTATGTTTGTCTTTGGCGTCTTTCTTTCTTGCAGATTTCTTTGCTCCTGATGTAGAGGGATCTGTACCTGTTTGCCCTCGAAATCGATTGAGTTCTTCACCAAATCTGCGCCAAACGCAACATTTACTAACTTTATCTTTCACAAAATTTACTATACTTCTGTTTTTAAAAGAATGATAATTGCTTATATTTAAACAATTAATCATTTAATTAATCATCAAAATTAAAGGAATTAAGAAAGAAATCTAAATCTAGCAACTTCAAAACGTCGGACTGCAGTCTAATATCTAAAAGAAAATTTAATTAAAATAAAACTTAAAAAGGTACAAAATTAAAAGACATTAAAGAACAAATTTCCACTTTTTTTAAATAAAAATAATATCTAACTTTGCTAAAGCATAAATCTAAAGCTTTAATATTGAATATAATCAAAATTCCATCAAAAATATTGTTTTCAATTTTGCAACCTTGAGTCTGGCAACGATAATGTTTAAAAATTTATCATGATCGTTAAAATTTTTGTTTTACCTGCAAACTATTATAGTGTTATGAAACAAAGTAAAGAATTTTGAAAATGATCGATTACAAAATGTTATTAAAAACCAGCAATTGTTTCAAAATACTGCTGAGACTTCAAGGTACACTATGCGGGGGGAAAATGGCACAATTCTATATCTCCTGTTTTACTAGATCGATTGTCGAAATTTAACTGGCGTTTTCCAAGTCTCGAAAGCGCGACTTAGAGTATGTATAAAATTTTTATATAGCATTGTTCTGATATAGGTATTTTGACACAAAATCGGACTTTTCTGAAATTAGTTTCCAATGTTTTTTCATATTTCGATTTTACGACTCAAATTATGCCAAACTGCCAAGTTTTGTAAAAATCGCAAGAGTAGTTTTTAAAAAATTAGCTTTCAAAGTTTTAGCTTCTCCATGTTAATGCTAAATTATAAGAATAAAAGATGCTCTTTAAATCATAACCATTAAAACGTCATGAAATGTCAAGCACCTTTAGTTTGTACAGATAGTAGCGGAAGCAAAAATATTTCCTTATTAAGTGTAAATACATTAATTATAAGTATTTTAAAAATATTCAAAATACATCCTTTAATTTTGGGCTCTCTTTCATGTATAAAATTGCAATTTTGAATTTCCAAGCACTCTTCGTGGAATTATGTGATTCCACAAGGCACTATTTGGGAACATGTTACCGTAAAATATATCAGAAAACAGCGTCTTCCCTTAACTGTGTAAGCTTTATTCTATTAACCACGACCTGCATCTTTTCTTCCTTAAAAATGAGTCTCTCCCCCCCAAAAAAAAACTCTTCCCTCTCCCTTTTTTCAAATGCACGAAGGAAAGAAACATCTTCTTCGCCAGATATTAAAATGCCTCATTTAAATAACAACTTCACTCCACTGTTGTTTGTTACGGGATTTTCAACGCTCGATTTAACGCAAAGCAATGCACGAAGAATGAAAATTTTCCTTTCTTGCGCAATAAGCACCCAACACATCTAAATGAGACTTCGCATGCTTTCGTTTGTATGCTCACTTGTTTCCCTTATCTCCTAGTGACGCGCCATATTGTCTGGAAGGAGCCAGATGCGAAAGCAACTTTCAAAGGTCATGACACTGACATCTTTCTTTACATGTCATTTTCTTGTGTTTGTATTCAAGCGTTGAAAAGCTAAGGATGGTATAAACAAAAAAGAATTTTCACCGAAAAAGGATGTACAGGATACAAAAACAACCAGAAGGAGAGAAAGGGACAGACAAAAGCGACATTCGAATCAAGCCCTTGAACTTGCAGGTGAACACTGCTCTGACGAACATCATTTAATAGAAATGAGGGAGAAAAATAACATTGAATCAAAGAGACCGAAAATCAATCAATTCCAGTTTTTTTAACAACCTTTTTCTGTCTCATTAAGCGATAAACATATATGTTATGAGGTTATAAGGTATTTTCTCCCTTCCCCTTTTCAGCATGCCTTCGTGGAGTAATGGTTAGCACACTCGGCGCGTATTCGAGAGGTCCAGGTTCGAGTTCCGGCGAGGGCATTGCTTATTTTTCATGATCTGCTTGAGCAAACAACAAACAAAAAAGACTCTACAGGGTAAAACAATGATGACTGTTTTTCGTGCGAAAATATTGGATTGTGAAATATTTGTTCAAGAGTTGAAGCTGTCAAAAACGGAAGAAGTATCAAGGGTTTCAGTGATTTTATTCAAAATAGAATTTGTGCTGTAGTCTCAAGTGAATTGTTATTATTCTGGAGAAATTTACTTATGGATTACGAGTTTTGTTGACAGTATTCCTGAATAGATTTGTTTGATTTAGCTTATGGCAAACCACACTAAGACTATCTGCCTAAGGGAAGGGATGCCTTCGTGGAGGGCTTTCTAAGGGTTTTATGAGATTAAAGCTTCGAAGGCTATCTGCCTAATGGAAGGGACGACTTCGTGGAGGACTTTCTAAGGGAAAATGGATCATATACGCGTTACACATGGTGAAAACCACGAAAACGTCCATGCAGCCAGGCGGTTCGCCTAGTTTCGAACCCAGGTTGGAACTTACCAGTCTTCATCTATTTTACCACTTGGTGGTCATATTCCTGAATATAACTTCTGTCAGTGGACGACTATTTATGTTAGCTCTGCTGTAGTATGACTATTTGTATTAGTTTTACAGTAGTGGATCTCGTGCTACAGTATTATAGATTTCCATCATGCCTTTTCAGAATTTCATCTATAGGTATAGGCACAAGTGAGACACCAGAGTTTCACTATTATTCATACAGTCCCACTTCCCTAACTGTGCAGCTCTCCACCAGGTTTGATGAAGAACACCCTAGGGGTCATTGTAAGGGCCTCTCACTCCTCATCTTCTACCACCAAACCTCTCAAGAGAATTTTCGGCTGGCCAGTATTTTGAGTGGCTCCATCCCTCTCCAGGAATTCAACACCGGCTCCTTGCTAAAGCAACCAGCCTCGCTAATCACTATACAGATCAAGGCTGCTGAATTTTATCTACAGGACATGAATTTTATAGTTTACAAAAGGTAATTGCAATGAGAAAAAAATTGGACTTATTATTACCACTACCGCTGTTATGTTTTCGGCATTAATATTAATTTTATAGAGTTTAAATGAGAAAAGAGTTTAAAAGAAAAATTCGACATTATTGATTAAAAATTTAAACTTCCAATGGAATACCGGTTTTAAAACGATGTTTGAATGGTCCGATCTAAACTTCGTTTGTCTGCAAAAGATACCGAAGTCGGTAATAATGTATTTATATTCATACGTTTTTAATGTACTAAGATAAAACACTTAGAAATTTGGCACTGAAATTCATTTTAATTAAATAAAATGGGACAAAACACGGATTAGATGTGAAAGTATTATAAAAAAAATTACAACTTCAACTATTAGATCTTAAATTTCAGTAAAATCAGGATTTAATAATCCGACTGTTATATGTAGAACTAATTTGTGATTTAATAATTATCCATTTTAACTTACTGTTTTAATAAATATGAGATTCAGATTGCCAGACTCAATTTTTTACGTTTTAAATTTTAAAATCCATTAATTCTGGGAAGTTTATTCTTAACTATTATGAGCCCAAAGGGCCGTTAGACCCAAAGGGCTATTAGTCTCAAAACGGCATTTTGCGTCGTTTCACTTTTCAAACTGTTGCCACCGAATATTATCACCCTGTATTATATTTAAAGAAACTAATGAATGAAGAATCTGCATGAATGTTTCTCGCATTGTGAAAAACAACGGGACCTAGAGACGTCGAATTTTGAATGCCGTAGTCCTCCATTCGAATATGGGCGCTCGAAAGCTCGAATTTTGAATTTCAAATTTGTATTATTATCTGTTTCAAATTTTCTAAAACGTGAACGAATTTTTGATTAAGAAACTCAACGATTTCAAAGCAAGCTAGGACAACACCGTATGGAAAAAAATATATATATATTTATCTCCAGCGCGTGAGACTGTGTATCGGAAATTCTAAAGGTATGCTATTTTTAAATACTTTGCGATACTGCTGTTGAATTGAATTTCATGTGGTTTAACTGCGAAGAACGTTATCTTTAATAAATAAAGTTAACACACGAAACCTTAAAAAACGTCCTTTTGGATGTAATATAAAATCTGAAAGCTTTCAGATGTTTTTTAATGTTCAATTTCATTTTTATTCATAAGACCTATTAACTCATTCGTATTTTCTTTCTTTCTTCCAGCAGTTCCTTCCAGTCAATTTACAGATGAAGCCCATCACCCTGGCCTTCGATCACGAAAGTTATATCGCAAAGGAGAAACATACCCAGAAGGATGGTTTCGCCAAGCACGCTTTCAACTTTTATGCGAGCAACTCTGTAGCTCCAGACAGAAATATTCCAGATTCTCGCCACCCCAAGTACGTTGGTTATTGTTTCAATTATTTCCTTGTGATTTATTAAACCATGATGTTGCCTAATAATTCATGATGTTAACAACCCAAACAATCTCATAAGTTAAATAGCATTATTAGGATATTAATTTTTATGGGACGAACTTGAGAGAAAGGTTTGAGATTTTAATGACTTCCAAGTCCAGTTTTACATTATTTTTCACTGCCGTTAAAAACAAACGCGAGTAACGCCTCAGAAAATTTACAAATCGAGCCAATTGATTTTCATTGTAATGTAAACCTTATTCAAATATTTGAGGATTGAAAATCGATTAACCTTTCTTCGCATTTGTCAAAAAATAAATGTCCTCAGTTACGAATTTTTGCAATAAGAATAATCGCTTTGTTTGCGAAGTTATCTGTGTGTGAGAGTAGGTTTTGACGCAGTTGAAAGTAGTAAAATATAAGTAAAGAAAAAATCTTAGCTTTCAGATTTTATATTATTTCCCAAAGGGGCGTTTTTTTAACGTTTTGTGTGTTACCTTTATCTATTAAATATCACGTTCTTCGCACTTAAATGATAAAATTCCATTCAAAGGCAATATCGCAAAATAATTTAAAAAGAGCATATCTTTAGAATTTCCGATACACAGTCTCGCGCGCTGGAGATAAAAGTGTTTTTTTTTTTCGTACAGTGTTGGCATGGCTCACTTTGAAGTCGAGTTTCTTAATCAAAAACTCATAAATGCTTTAGAAAATATGAACTAGATAGAAAAATAAATTCCAAATTTGGGCTTCCAGATGCTCATATTTGGGCGGAGATGTACATTATTCAAAATGTGATGGTTCTAGAATCCGTTGTTTTATCGCAATGCGTTTAACATACATTTATACAAATTCTGGTACTTTTCCGTTTCGGCGGCGCAAATCTCGCCAAGCAGACTTGATTGGCGAAAACACACAAGATACACATAAAAATTTTTTTAACAAATGTTAGTTTTAAGAAATTTTTATTTTGAAGGTATAAACATTTTAATATCGTTCAAAATTTTGGTAAAAAAGCCAATAAATAAAGACAATAAATTTGTAAAAAAAAACATTAATTTAAGAATTTACTATGCTTTCATGGTACAACATCCTGATTCGCCGGTTCCTATCCCGAAGTGATCTCATCTCACGTAAACTACGCTACAAGAAACTAATTCTCTCAGTAATTATCTACATTAATTTCAAGTTAAATCTTAATTTGGAATACAAGTTTAAATTCAAGAACTATTTCATTTCGTACGAATAGCTTACTGAGAAATTATGTAAAACCGCAGTGCTTTACTTCGCTAGTGCATTCTCATTAGAATGGATGAATTTAACCTGTGACTTGGCCTTTTCTATATTTTCGCCATCGGGTGAGCGGTGTGATTGCATCCTAATTGACTTAATTACCGCCCGCGAATGGCCATAGGGCATAAAATTGAACTTAAAACTTCTATGGTAAAACTTCTATGCAATTGTATGCCAGTATTGAAAGAAACAATCAATCTGATACGAAATGGCTGCGACTTGTTTTGAAAATGAGGAGTAAAAGTCTACCATCGAGGATATTCCGTTTGGCATCGGTTGTGCCATTATTGGCGACTTTATCGCCTGCGCCGGCAAAACGGAAAAGTACCCAAATTCTTCAGTATTTAATTTTGTTAAATATAACACAGGCGATAATATTTAGGAGCAACAATTTGAAAAGTGAAACGGGCATTTAAAGTTTTCGACGCACCATGCCAAAACGAAATTTATAGGCCTTGTGGGCTAACGACCTTTTCGCTTAAAAAAATATATTGTTGCGTTATTTTCTTCCTTCTGACACCAATTGTTACGTTATATCCTTTCATCACGTTCGTACCGGGTTTGTAAATTTGGAGTGAATAACGAGGACACTTGATGAAGTATAGAAACACACTTTATTAGTCAGTATTGTCAGGACAGCTCCAAACACGTTTTACAGTTGTCGATCAACTACTAAAACACGCTGAAACAATTAGCGACACAGCCTTCACACTGTCAGGCAGTAACGGTGGAGACAGCTTCCTGCAAAGCACCAGAGTACAGCTCCTGACTCTGCCTGGTCGTTCTCGGAACTCCACGTTCTCTCGAGAATCTCCACGCTACAACTCGCGATGCACTCGACGACACACGAGCACAGCTCCCGACTCTTCGGTTCAGTCGTTCTCGGAGCTCAACACGCTCTCTCGACGATGCACTAACCGTGATACACTAAGAGACTCCTTCGGTGCACTCGACGACCCACTCGGCACTCGTTGCCCGGTTGTCAACTGGATCGACACCGCACGGCTCGCTAGACGAGGCACACTTTCTGAAACACACTAACTGACTGCGGACCAGCAGGGTTTATATAACTTTCGGCTTGTGTTCGAGAACATTCTGGGCTAAACCGGTAAGAATTCGTTCCAGAAAGTTCTCCATCCGTCCATGGCATATCACCAATTTTGTCGCCAAATGCCGAAAAAAGCACAGTGATATGATGAAAATCATGTTTGGAGACCATGTAGTGGAACATAATTTAATGTTTCTATATAATTATTAAGATTTCCTATGTGGCAACATGTTTGTTTAATGTAATGTAATGTTTTCAGTAGTTATTAAGATTCGCAACAACGATTCGAGCTAAAAACGTCGTTACTTGGAGTGTTCCTTGATAAGCGTTGCGTAAGCTTTATTTCTTAAAAGTTTGTTATATTTTTATGTAAAAAATAAGTAACATGTTGCAAACAAAATGCAAATTGTAAAAAAAAAAAAAATATGCTTTTTCTTTTAAGACCAAAATAAGCCTTTATTTCACTTACAAAATCATCAAATCTGATCAGTTTCGATTTCGCTTATTCATCAAATCCACAACCATTTGGCGCCCCTCTGCCAGCGGTGCCCGGGGCACCATACACCCCCTGGCCCTCCCTCCCTCGCTACGCCACTGAACAACGGTACCTAGAGCCATCCAATTTTGAATAACGTAATCCTACTACGAATATGGGCATCGGAAGTCCAAATTTCAATTTTTTTAATAGATTTCGTATTTTGTAAAACTTTAATGAATTTTTGATTAACAAATTGAAGGATTTCAAAGCGAGCCATGGCAATGTTGTACAGAAAAACATTTTTATCTCCAGTACGCGAGACTGTGTACCGGAAATTCTAAAGATATGCTCTTAAATTATTTTGCGATATTGCTGTTTTGAATTGAATTTTATTGTTCGAGTGCGAAGAACATGGAATTTAATAAATAAAGGTAACACACAAAACGTTAAAAAAACGCCTCTTTAGACGTCATTTAAAATCTGAAACCTTTAAGATTTTTTTATTTATTTAATGGTTAATTCAACGTATTAGAATTATTTTAAATAAATATCGATCTGAGCTATCAATGCATTTGAATCGTAAAGTGTAACCGGTAGAAACTTCCTGCAAATACTAACATTTAAACTTCAGTCCGGAAACAAATATAAATTGGAATCTCTTCCTTTGTTTATAAATATTTAGTAGATAAAATTTCAAATTTAGTTTAAAAAAGTTTGCTTTAAAAAAAAAAAACTTTTTATTTTAATTAAAAAAATATGGCTGGGGTGTAATTTGAGTTTGAGATCACTGACGTAATATATCTCTACTTTATTCTCTTCCTTAGAGGCGGGTAAAACCAGTCTTTGATGAGATTAGATCAGAACCTTTCACTCCTTGAACTGAATGGGTTCTTTTATACGACTCGCCTCTCACTAACAGTAACTTCAATGAACAAAATCGACAAAGGGAAGTGTTGAACAATGATAGAACGAAGCGCGAAAAAAAAAAAAAAAAAAGAAAAACGAAGAAGATGTGTGATCAGAAGAATCAACTTAACGGGGAACCGTCAGTTTCGTGGATTGATTTCTTTCAGTTGTAATTTTGAGATTCTTTAAAACGTCCTTTCTTCATAGAACTGATAATAAAATTTTGTAATAAAAAATATTCAAAAAATTCGGAAATCGTAAAAATTTGATTCATTTTTAATATAGGAAGAGCACGTTTAATATAGGAATGCAACATGCCTATCATAGTGACCTTGAAGGGTTAGGATAAAAAAAGGACTAGTATAAAAAAATAAGCACTTTGGATGTTCTAAAACACAAAACGACTTCTGCTGCAAACACTACATTTTAAATATGGAATTCGCATCTGCTTCGTATTGAGAAGCAAGAAAATGTATCCATGAATGTAAAAAATTTAAGATATTTTCTTTCATTACGTAACTGTCAAGAATATGTGCAACCAGTAACTTGTAAATTAGAGGATTTTAAATCCAATGATAATCTTTTTAATATCTCTATATATTTTGCTATTTATCAGAAAAATTTTCAATAGCATTTCCCATATTGAAAATATTTTTTTTTATTTATGGAATAACTGCTGAAGCAATTTGTAAAATGTTCATCCAAAAGACAATTTTTGTACTAATTTCATAATTTAAGAAAATCAAATTTTTATTTAACATCTTCATACAAAATTTTATAACATGAAACGGAAAATTTTCATAATAAATATCTGATGTGTACACTACATGACTTCCTTGTACGGAATATTAAATTATACGCATTTTTACCTGCATTTCATTTAAACTTATATCCTCTAATTTCATTCAGGATGTATTTCTTCAATGAATTCAGTTCTCACTCGCGACAAGTCATAAATACGTAAAACCTCAAAATATATTTATTAAAAATTGGAAAATATAGAAAAATATAAAATACCAAACACAGTTAAAACTTTTTTTTTCTTTTTTTAGGCAAATTTCTCGGTGCACAAAATTGAAAGTTTACTTTTGTTTCCACTCTGCAAAAAGACACTTGTAAACACTGACTTAATTCACTATTCTTTAAGTTTCAAACATAAACAAATATGGCTGCTATGCTAAACAAATTAGGTTTAGCCGCACTTAGACAACTTTTAAAGTATTGATAATTCTACAACTATTGGATGTAGATTAACTAAAGACATAAAAACCTTAACTGTAAGATATGCAAAACATAACTCAATCATTTTCAAAGCAAAAAACGTACAATTTACCAACATGTAAGAATTTTTAAAAAACTGAGCTCATGGAGCCGAATAACAAGAGTTCCTTGGAGATGGTACATGAAAAGATTTTTTAATAAATTATATATATTTTTTGGTGCGGCAGATTGTAAACCAAAAAGGGAGATGCATAACTACATATTATAAGTCTTATATACAAAATTTCAACGTCCTGAACTACTCATTTTTGAGTTATGCGAGATACATACATACATATATACAGACGTCACAAAAAAAAATCTCTTCTGAATCCATTTTAAATCGCTTTCTGAAAACCGCTCTGGGAAAAAAAAAGAGTCCTTTATTCTGTCCTTACGTAGAGATGTCATGCTAAAACATCGTTAAATTGCATTCGATAGAAGTCAAAATGGATATTTTCGTTGAAATATAACACCCGAAAATTTTCGCGATTACAATACTTAAATACTTGCTTTAGTTGTCGAAAGGGCCCACCAGCAGCCAAGCGGTAACGTCGCTGAACGCTGGTAGTTCGGTCCAAGGTTCGAATCCCGCGAACGGGCTGGCTGCATGGGTGCTTTCCTAGTTTTCTCCATGTGTAATGTGTATACGAGCTAGTTTCCGTTTAAAAGTCCTCCACGAAGGCATCCCTACCTTAAGGCGAGATAGCCCTCGAGTGCTTTGCCGTAATCTAATAAACCAAACCAAACCTTATTTGTCGAAGGAAGTAAAAAAGGAATATTTTTCTGAAAAGAAGTTATCGAAAAGTCGATGTATGTTTTTTCATACACATTATTTTACACTGAAACGTTTCTTTCTTTTCCTTATACAGCTGCAAGAATAAAATCTACAACATTCCACAGAGTTTTTCCGTGAGTGTCATAATAACTTTTCACAATGAGGCAAGGTCAGCTCTTTTGAGAACAATAATTAGGTAAATTTTGCTTTCATAATTCTCCTTTGTCATCGCTTTCTGAATCTTGAATGCTCATAAAAATGTTGTTTTCTTTTTTATAGTGTTCTGAACAGAAGTCCCGATGACTTGTTGAAAGACATCATTCTAGTCGATGATTTTAGTGATGATGGTGAGCAAGGTTTTCCTAATTCTTTTTCATATATTTCTCACTTCTTCTGAAAACATCATAATCAATATATTTTACTAAATAAAAGTACATCGGTATAAAAATAAAATAATATGACTTTTTAAGTTATGAATCAAAATCATCTTTAAAACAATTCAGCGAAATCCCCTTTATACAGCATATCTTAATTTACAGTTCTGTAGGAATAAAAATGTTTCTTTTTAAGGCTTCATTTGAGTATCATTTCTTTTAAGTGAGTGATTAAGTTTGCTTTCTGATAATTTTAAAGATAATTATGAGCGATATTGAGGAAAAAATTCGGAACTTTTTATACAAAAACAATAAACGTAAAAGAATATGAAAAAAAAACTGAAGCTTTTACTTCCAAAGGGCCGTTTTTCCACATTTTGAGTGTTACTTTTATTTATTAAATATCATGTTCTGCGCACTTAAACCACGTAAAATTCAATTCAATAGCAATATCGCAAAATATTTATAAGCGCATATCTTTAGAATTTTGGATACACAGTCTCGTGCAAGATAAAAATGTTGATGATTTAAAATCGCGCAAGATAAAAATGTTGAAATGTTTTTGAGTCTCGCGCAAGATAAAAAATAGAGATAATTTTTTTTTTTTCGTACAGTCTTGCCATTGCTAGTTTTGAAATCGTTGAGTATCTTAATTAAAAACCCATAATTTATTTACAAAATATGAAATAGTTAATAAAACAAATTCGAAATTCAAAAAACGGGCTTCCATGTTCCTATGTTCGGCTGGAGGATTACGTTATAAAAAATTCGATGGCTCTAGTGAGAAACATACATACATTCATGCAGATTCTTTATTATTTAATTTCTTTAAATTTAATATAGGCCGATAATTTTGGGTGGCAACAATTTAAAAAGTGATTCGCCGTTTATAGTGAAACGCTCCAAAATGCTTTTCTGTGAAAGTAATGAAACTTCTTGTGAATTTTTGTATTCAGAATTATGCTTCTAAAGATAAAATTTCCTTACAATGTAAACGTACATTCTTTCGTTTTGTTGATGTATAGAACTGTAACATTTCAAAATTTATTTTATGTATAATATTTAATTCTACATAATATTGACGAAATTCAAATTGCGTTTTTTACGTCCGTCTCGAAACGCGACGTAGGATATATATTAGATTTATATATAGCAGTGTTCTGTTATAGGTATTTTGACACAAAACAGGACTCTTTCAGAAACGACATGCCACTTTTTTTACATATTTCGATTCTACAACTCAAATTATGCCTAAACATTAAATTTTAGTTACTCAAATTATGCCTAAACATTAAATTAGTTTTTGATGCGAAATTTACGGAGAAATTCAAAAATGTTACTTGGCGCATTTTATTTCAGTTTGCGCCAAGAATGATTCACTTGGCGAACTTCTTAAATTATAGCAACCTAGTTTACCTTTTCTTTTTTTCATTGCAGACGAGCTGAAACATTATCATCGTATCTGGAGTTAATTAGGCCGAGCGGTAAAGACGCTGAACACTGGTAGTTCGGTCTGAGGTTCGAATCCCGCGAACGGGCTGGCTGCATGGGCGTTTTCGTGGTTTTCCCCATGTGTAACGTGTATACGAGCCAGTTTCCCTTAGAAAGTCCTCCACGAAAGGCATCCCTCCCTTTAGGCAGATAGCCGTCGTGTGCTTTGCCATAACTGAATAATCCAATCCTGGAGCTAAATTAAATTTTAGCGTTAATGATTTCTATAACGAAGCATTAAATAATGTTCTAACTCGGCAGAAAATTATGTGAATTTATCTTCCATTTTTAGTACACTTAAAATGAACATACTTTATACTTTTTAGTAATTTTTTTAAGGTAGTTCGATGTTTTTAGTTTGATGAGGAGTTGTGGATTATATAAAGAAGTCGACATCCAGAATTATTTTGAGAATCTCTTCTATAGTTGTAAATTGAGACAATGATAGTTACATTTAAGAATGTTATGTTTAATCGGAAGTTAATTAATAACCGCAATGACTTTCTCCAGTCAGCTTCATTTATCATGATCTAAAAATACGTCTTTCTAACTCAGCTCGCTTTTGTAATTTCAGAGTGATCATTCTAATGTTCTCTTTTAATTTTTTCAAGCTAGCGATGGCTCTGAGCTTAGCAATTTTCCCAAAGTCACACTTTACAGGAATTCGCAAAGAGAGGGTAAGTAATGCTGTATTTTGTCTGCCTTTCTTTAAGTGTTCACAAATATAATTTTCCTTGTATTTCATATGCACATTTTCTTTCATATATTGTCCTATTAACGAGAGGAATGGTTATCGAAGTCTGAATTTCAAATCTACTCTAACCGTTAAATTCTTTTAAGTCTCTGAGTAACTGTTGCTGGATTTCTGTGCGTATTAGACGGCCGGATACCTTTTCACAACTTCCTATTCTATTGGGTTGAAACATAAGTAATGGCCGTTTATGTTGTGTTTAAAATTACACGGTAAAAATAAAATGCAATGGCATAATATCTCGTGTCATTCGAAAGCAAATCTTTCCCTCTACTTGATGCCGTATTTGATTTTTTTTTTTTTCCCGAGCTAATTCTTGTTATCAGATCGTTAAAATGGAGTGTCAAGTTGACAAAAATAAGCATTTTCGACACCTTATTTTTGCGTTTAATCGAGGCGCCAATGCTTCAAAAGCTGCCCGAGAGATTTGTAAAGTGTACGGAGAAGGTGTAGTGCCTGAACGAACTGCAAGAAATTGGATTGCCAAATTCAAAAATGGAAATTTCGACCTCGAAGGCTCTTCTGGTTCCGGGCGACCCAATGAGTTTGATGAAGAGCGTTTGAATTAACTTCTGCACGAAGACGCACGTAAAACCACTACAGAATTAGCCGAACGGAACGGGTCGTAGCCAAATGACTGTAGTTCGACATCTCGGGTCTATGGGAAAAGTCCAAAAACTCGGATATTATTGACTAATTTATTGCTTTTTGTTTTGTTAAAATAAAAATTTTTAAATTAAAAAAACGGCCATTACTTATGTTTCAACCTAATAATATTGGATAGGAAGAGCCGTAAACCATATGCAGCAGTGGTAAAGCGAATCTTATATAAATTTTAGCTTGATAAGAACAAACTTTTTTCCGAATATCAGAGCAAATTAAATTCCGATAACCGAAGAAAAATATCACCGTGTTATGCTGATCGGCGTTGATCTGTCATATTCTGTAATAATCAGGGCTTAAATTCTAAAATCAGAAGTGCCGGAGCTCTGTGGAAGACCATCAGGAAACACGAACAAGAATAAGTAAATAAATAAAATGACTAATAAATGATTAAATTAAAAAAAAAAAATCTAAAAGCTTTCCGATTTTATATCACGCCAAGAAAGGCGTTTTTTTAACGTTTTGTGTGTTACCTTTCTTCTTCAGACTTAAACCATAAAATTCAGTTCAACAGCAATATCGCAAAATAATTTTAAAATGAGCATAACTTTAAAATTTCCGACGCACAGTCTCACGCACTGCAGATAAGAATGTTTTTTTTCTTCCGTACAGAGGTGCCACGGCTCGTCTTGAAATCGTTGAGTTTGTTAATCAAAAACTCATTAAAGTTTTACAAAATATGAAATAGATAATTAAACAAATTCCAAATTTGCATTTCCAGATGCCCATACTCGAATGGATTACTACGTTATTCAAAATTGGATATCTCTAGGCACCGTTTTTTTTTCGCACTACGAGAAACATGCATATATTCATGCAGATTCTTATTTAATTTCTTTATATATAATGCAGTCTGTAATATTTGGTGGCAACAATCTGAAAAGTGAAACGCTGTTTTATAGTCAATTTTTACCTCTACACTTACATTATTCAGTGAATTATTGAATGCTCAAATGTTAAATGACTTTTAGTTCACCCTGTATAAACAACTGCACATAAAATATTTTTACCCTTTGACCAGCATGGGGTATTACGAAGAAAGCCCAGCTTTCTCAAAACTGGTCCGAGAGATACGTATTTTACTTTAATGCCAAAATAACCTTGGCACTTTATACTTTGATTTATGTATTGCCTTATTTTCCTGGATACATGTCAAGATGACGTTATACATACTTTCTAAAAGACGTCACAAAAAATATTCTAGGCGGTGCATGTACGGTCTTGCTGAAGTTTTCTGCATCTGTTGCTGTAAAGGGAACTTTTCTGCGTAGCATATTGACTTGAGGGAAGTCACCTCTAAGTGAAAATGTTATCATTTCCTTGATAATAAAGTTTGCATCAAATGCAAGTTTAATATTACGTAAAATTCAAATAGAATTTCAGTTTTACAAAAAAATCTGAAAGCTTTCAGATTTCACATTACGCCCGAAGGGGCGTTTTTTAACGTTTTGTGTGTTACCGTTACTTATTAAATATCGTTTTCTTCGCACTTAAACCTTAAAATTCAATTCAATGGCAATATCGCAAAATATTTAAAACAGCACATTTTTAGAATTTCCGATACACAGTCTCGCGCACTGAAGATAAAAATGCTTTTTTTTTTTCGTACAGTGTTGCCACTGCTGGCTTCGAAATCGTGCAGTTTGTTAATCAAAAATTATTTAATGTTTGATAAAATATGAAACAGATAATAAAAAAAATTCCAAATTTGAGCTTCCAGATGTCCATGCGGGCAAATTGCCCCTTTGGTCTAAAAATGAAATATATTAAAAATATAATGACAAATATCACATTTTAAGAATGAATTTGATTTTAAATAAAGGATTATTTAACTTCTGAAAAAATGATTCAAAAAGGAATTAAAGATTAAAATGAGCTTATTTTATTTTTAAATCTCTCGATTTAAATTGTGGGTAGACTCAAAAATAAATAACAAATGAAAAATTAATATTTTCATAAATTTTCATCTTTCAATATTAGACGTCCCTCTTCATGTACACAGTTTTAGTAATATTCATTATTTGTTTATTTAGAATTTTTTATTCATAACATCAATTTTCTAATATTATATAACGAGTATATTTTGTATACAGGTTTAATAAGATCTCGGATGATCGGTGCTCAGATTTCCACAGGAAGTCACGTGATGTTCCTAGATAGTCATTGCGAAGTGAACATTGGTTGGTTGACACCCTTGCTGCAAACAGTAGCCAAGGTATTTATTACTGTATATCTATGTTATCATTAATAATACTCTGCCTGGAATTTTAAAAAAATACCATATGACCAATATTGTAAATTAAGATTCTAACACCTTCTCCGCCAAGCGACATTTTCAAAAACGGTTCCACCAAATTTTAATCAGTTAAATCTAAAAAAATAATAATAATAATAATCTGAGAGCTTTCAGATTTTACATTACGTCCAAAGGGGCGCTTTTTTTTAACGTTTTCTGTATTACCTTTATTTATTAAATATCATGTTCCTCGCACTTACACCATAAAAATCAGTTCAATGCAACACCGCAAAATAATGTTGCGTTTTTCTCTTCTGACATCAGTTGTTACGTTATATCCTTTCTTCACGTTCGTACGGGGTTCTTAGATTTGGAGTGAATAACGACGACACTTGATGAAGTATCGAAACACACTTTGTTAGTCAGTATTGTCAGGACAGCTCCAAAACACGTTTTACAGTCGTCGATCAACTACTAAAACACGCTAGAACAATTAGCGACACAGCCTTCACACTGTCAGGCAATGACGGTGGAGACAGCTTCCTGCAAAGCACCAGAGTACAGCTCCTGACTCTGCTTGGTCACGTTCTCTCGAGACTCTCCACGCTACAACTCGGGATGCATTTGACGGCACACGAGCACAGCTCCCGACTCTTCGGTTCAGTCGTTCCCGGAGCTCAAGACGCTTTCTCGACGATGCACTACCGCGATATACTAAGATACTCTTCGATACACTCGACGACCCACTCGGCACTCGCTGGCCGGCTGTCAACTCGATTGTCTTCGCACGGACAAACTAGATGAAACACACGATGAAACTCGATATTGACTAACTATCTCGCACTCCAGACGAGGCACACACACTGACTGCGGACCAGCAGGATATATAGCTTTCAGCTTGTGTTCGAGAACATTCTGGGCTAAACCGGTAAGAATTCGTTCCAGAAGGTTCTCCATCTGTCCATGGCATATCGCCAATTTTGTTGCCAAATGGGCGATTCCTCGCGAAATGTGGCAATCTGCCTTTCCTTCCCATTTTATGGCAACCCTAAAACTACTTTGCGGGGAAGCTATCTTACCGCGCCTAGACATTTCGTAACACTAATTTAAGAAGAGCATATCTTTAGAATTTCAGATACATAGTTTCGCGCGCTGGAGATAATTTTTTTTTTTTCTGTACAGAGTGGCCATGGCTCGCTTTGAAATCGTTCAGTTTCTTAATCAAAAACTCATAAATACTTTACAAAATATGAAATAGATTAATAAAACAAATTCCAAATTCGGGCTTCCAGATGCCCATATTCGGGTGGAGACGTACGTTATTTGGACGTTATTATATTAGACGTACGTCAAAATTGGATAGCTCTAGGTAACGTTGTTTTTCCACAATGCTTGAAATATACGTACATTTATACAGATTCTTCATTATTTAATTTTTTTAAATATAACACAGGACGATAATATTTGGAGGGAACAATTTTAATAGTGAAACGGACTTTTCCACGCAAAATGCCAAAACAAAATTAATAGCCCTTCTGGGCTAATGCCCTTTAGGCTAATGAAAATACAAAACATGTATTTGTGGGAAAGATATTGAATTTAGATATCGTATTCGGGTTATGTAACACCGTCACAAGGAGCTGCTGTGAATACTCATACCTGCCACCGGTTACCAAAGCCGAACTCGCATTCGTATGATGCGACGATTTGTTAATGAGAGCTATGCGGTAGGGGAAACATTAAAATGGTATTTCTAGAAATCCCTGAAATAGAAGTTCTAGAAATACCTCAAAACACTTTTGAAAATCACATGCTGCCGACGGTTACAGCTCAAAACATCGCAGACGAAAACAACGCAAGGAGAAAACATCGCAGTTCTAAAATATCGTGGTAGAAAATAAAGCGGTTCAAATACTTCGCAGTTTAAAAACATCATCTTCGAAAATATCGTGGTAAAATAAAGTACTTACAAATCATCGCATGTCGATAACATCGCATACATGCGTTTTTCAAATCGCAAAGTGACATATTATGTAATTGACTTTGGTCATAACTAACAAATCGACACCCAAAAAACTGATTGCACACTATACATGAAAATGTTCACGACACTTTAAGAATAAACGGAAACAAAACGATATGTAATTTTCATTAAAACAATATCAGATTAACAAATGTGAAATAAAATAATTTTATCATTAACTAAGTAATTTTTATAGAGGTAACCTCATGCAGTTATCTATCTTCCTTTTTCTAAGCTTTTTTTAGACAATAGTTTTTATGAAAAATTATCAGTGAAACTTTATAAAAAAAAACTTAATTTGTTAATGACCTTTGTTAATTAACTATATAAATTTAGAATGCTATTGAGCTTTTTAAGTTGCATTAATTTTCTACTCATTTTCAATTTTTAAATGCTTAAGTTTCATTCATATTTTTTCATCAAAAATTTATTATTTCGATCAAATATATGAAATATAGAAGTAAAAGAATCCATCTTTCCTTCTTGTGCTCTACGATTATACGACCTTTATACGAACATGCGTTTACAACTTTTAAAACCTGAAAACGCATGTGTGCGATGTTATCGTTATGCGATGATTTGTAGGTACTTTATTTTTTACCACGATATTTTTGAAGACGATGTTTTTAAACTGCGAAGTTTTGGGACCGCTTTATTTTCGAGCACGATAATTTAGAACTACAATGTTTTCTTCCACGATGTTTTGTACTACGGTGTTTTCTCCTTGCGTTGTTTTTTCCGCGACATTTCCGTCCGCGATCTTTTTGCCCCAACGTTTTCGGCAGACACCGCTGCCGACTTCAGTATTCTTAACTCGAAACACTGTTCCGTTATCCGAGACGCTTTTTTATTCAGGCAGTTTGTTTATGAACAGAATTCTTCATAAAGAGAGGCTTTCGTGATTCGAAGTTCCACCGTACGGATATGCGTTTTTAAAATATCAGTCTTATTCACGGTACATCTATGTTCTCGTCCTCATTAAACATACTCCTGATCCAGTGTTTCAACTTTTCACGTGAATGTACTAATTTTGCACTTGTATAGCCCAAACAAAACTATAACTTATAAATTTTGAATTTTCCTTGAGCTGTTAAATAGCATTATTCAAAATTTTAATTAAGATTTAGGTGTTAAAAATCTAAGTATAGCTAAATGGAATGTAAATATTCTTCCTTTCAATGCATGCCGTTGTGCATTGTTTCAACGCACAATTCTGACAGTTGAAATTAAACCGTGGTGCATTTCAAGAATCTGTTAACTATTAGTTTGAAAAAGGGAGGAATTTAATCGAAAGATAACGAGTCTAAAAATTTCAATTTTCTGTTGTCATTGTTGCTTGATTAGATGAATGTGGCATTGACTTTTATATTAAAATATGTTATTCAAAATAGAAATTAATTTACTCGGTATCTCTGTAACATTTATAATTAAATTAACATACTTCGGAAAGGATTGCATTTCCCTCTCGAACTTAACCCTTCATCGTATTAAAATTTGTGCCACTTGCATATTTTGCTTCTTGATATGAGTTTCTATTTACACGTTATATATGTAGATATATGCCTTAAGCAATAATAATAGAGAAATCTAACATTTCAATACTTTCTATAGCATCCGAAAGCTTTGGTTACTCCAGTGGCTGATATAATCGATACAGACAATTTTGAATATAAGCCAACTTCAGGGGAAATTAAAGGAGGTAAGTATTGAATTCAGTATATTTAAATACACTGCATAAGCTATTGTTACGGATTTTGTATTCATTTAGCTATTTTTAGTAGAATAATTAAAATTGTTTTATAACCCTGCGCAGTGCACCACCAGACTTATTTTAAGAGAAAGCTACGCCAAAAAATTAAAAATACAGAAGAACGCGCATTTAATAAATAGATATTTCGTAATTGTACACTTTTGCCTTTCCGAAAAAATCGAGAAAATACCAGAATATTCTCGTGATTGATTGAAAAAGCTTATAAAAGCTGGAGGAAAATTTCTCAATTCAGTTGTTATGTGGATAACTGTTGTTGTTTACTGTAACGAATTCGCGGTGAAATCAGATTATCTTTCTCTGTTTTGAATTAAGTTCTGTTGAACATTTAAAAGATAACTACTGTGAGATATTGCGATATTGCACGATATCTCTAAGGAAATTTAAGCATTTTGTTTTTATTTGTTGTGATAAGAATAAATGTTATTCACATTTCATCGGACTTGTGCTTTCAATTTATTACGAACCCATACACACACAACATTATGTTATGTACATAGAAACGAAACAAAAAATATACAGCATAAAATACAAATATAAATAAATAAATAAATATCAAATGTTGTGAATTAATGTTGCCAGCCATTAAGTGACGCTTCTGGCATCCTGAAGGACTAAAATATATTCCGAAGAGTCATGGCTGTTTGAAATCTATAATATTGAAATCTGGCACTTAAACTTGTACAGACATTAGGTTCATTTGAAGCAGAAGAGATGAAAGAAGAGCAATGGCCTCGCAGGGACTCGGACCACGGACCTCTAGAATACTCGCCGAGTGTGCTGACGATTGTACCACGAAGGCATACTGAGAATGCGGAAGAAAATACCTTATATACTCCCTTTTTTAAGGGAAGACTGGGAATTAGGGAATCCAATAGCCAAATACCACAATTTTTTAGTTCGGGCGCCACTGTAGAGACATTAGGATTCTTTTGGAAGTAAGAGTACATGAAAAATGAGCAATGCCCTCGCCGGGACTCGAACCTCGGGCCTCTCAAGAATGCTCGCCGAGTGCGCTGAAAGTTACACAACGAAGGCATGCTAAGAAGGCGGGAAAATTACCTTATAAACTTTTAAACTTAAATAATTCTATAACTATTGCATGCAGATTAACTAAAGGCATAATTCAATTACCTTTGAAGCAAAAAATGCACAATTTACACACATATAAGAGTAAACAACTAAGCTCACCGAGCCAGGTGACAGAGTGAGAATATGTACATATATATATATATATATATACATATGACTGGTGCAGCCAATATCAACGAAAAAGGGAGGTGCACAATTACATATTATACCACTCCCATATACAATAAATTTCAACGCTTTAGGGCCACTCGTGCTTGAGTTATAGGAGATACATAAGTACGTACTTACGTACAGACGTCAAGGAAAAATCTCTTCTGAATCCGTTTTAAAAATCCATTTTATAATCCTTTTTGGCAAAAACAGTCCTTTATTATGTCCGTACGTACGGGTGTCACTCAAAAACATCGTTCAAATGGTTTCGAGAGCAGTTGAAACGGATATTTTCTTTGAAATATGATACCCGGAATTTTTTGCGATTACAATGCTTTCTTTACTTTGTACAAAGAAGTAAAAATTGTACAAAGAAATTAATTTTTGAAGTTAGTATTAAGGATTTAGGCATTTAATATTTATGAAGAATGTATTAGGTATAATGTTGATTTTTTTTAATTACTAGTTCTCACATATATCTTTTATATTATTAGCATCTTAAAAACATTCATTGTCATATCGTTATTTTAATAAATCGAGTTACTTGATTCACCACTGCTTTTGGTATGTCAAATAGTTTCTCTTGTAAATTGATCAATAGATATTAAATTGTGTTTATTTCTGCCGATAGGGTTTGACTGGAGCCTGAATTTCCGGTGGCAACTTATATCCAAGACAGATAATGAGGAGGCAAGTGATCCAACCAAAATATTCATGTAAGCGGAAACGAAACATGTGCGCAACACTTTTTTGTCTCTCTTTCCAAATAATCCAAGCTTGACGCTTACAGAATTTTAATTTAAAATGCTTATTGTTATCACAATATGGTACTGTGAAATTCTTAATTAAAAAGCGTATGAATAATACCCAAGAATATCATTCACGACCAAAGCATCAAATAATTAATCATCACGAGAAAAAAGTGGCGCTAAATTTAATCTAACTAGAAGAAATATTCTTAATTCTATTCTCCTGGTTAATTCTACCGACTATTGGAAACTGAAGCCCTTTGCTTTGAAACAGTTCTCTTCTTTAGAATAGCTTGCGATGATAGCATTTTTGAACACTTTGAAAGCAGGAGAGATGATTTAAGAAATATATTAATTTATAAACTCAACTGTTTCTGCCTTGAGTTCAAATTGAAATCGGTATTAGTTCTTAACTTGGTATATGGATAAATTGTATTCAGACTTATTTTATTTTTTAAAGGGATTTTATTTTTTTTTTCTTTGCCTGTTTCACATTGTGAGTTTTCAAGGCTAAATGTAATGAAAGAAAAAATGTTTCCTTTGACTCTCGCTTCGTATACACTCATCATTGATTTATTTGTAGTTTGCTCTTAAATGTTTGTTTCTGATGGCTATTTCTCATTTTCAAGTTTTGTAAAACATTTTCTATTCATTCTAATGTCACCTGCGATTAAAAATGGATTTCCTTCAACAACACAGACCGAAAGGGGGTTGGTCTGCGCCCGGTGAGCCCGTCGGTAGCGTCGCGAAGCGCAATTTGTCTAACGAAAAGATCATGGTTTGTGTCTGATGGGATTGCCGTGGTATTTATTACCCACAAAGAATATATGGAAAATGTAAAACTCTCGACAGTAAGGTGTACAGCGAGATGCTAGCTTGTATTGACGCTGCTATCAAGGAAAAATTTCGAACTGAGTTCCGGCGCAGAAAGGTAATGTTCAGTCAATATAGTGCAAGGCCACATGTGTAGGCATTCACCGACTGGACTCTATACGGACTCGAATGATGGGATCTTTTGCCACACCCACCATATAGCCCTGACATCGCTCCTTCGGACTTCTACCTCTTCTCCCACCTGCAGTTTTATCTTGCTGGTGCTATCTGCCATTTTGCACAGAACGTCCAAAATGAGGTTGATCTAAAACGTCGGCCGAAAAACATAGATTTTAGTGGTGTTTACTACTCGCACTAGAGATACTGCTTTCAAAATTTTTTTCTAACTTTACTAAGAACGTTTTTCGTGGAAAACTTTCGTTACAACCAGATAATTTCACCAAAAGCAATGACAGTTATCTAATTGTTATTGCCATGCGCAGTAGCAGTAAGTTCGAATTTAAATTTCATTTATTTTTTATTAATGATAATTATTGTTTCATTTCTGGCTCATTTCCTCTGATAAGTAACTTATCAGACGTGCTGAATAATTTATTAACATCCCTTACCAGTGTAATAACATTATTCGATCTATATTATTATATAAGGTATTCATATATATATATATTCATACATAGCTGTATTATTATCATACATGAGGCTACATTGTTATATACTAAAAATAATAATAATTAAAAATATTTTTAAAAACATTTCAAATTTATTATTAGAAAAGTAATACATCTTGCACTCGAAAAAGTGATAATCGTAAATATCATATAAGCATTTTTCTATCCTTGACCATTCTTCAAATGTTTTTGCTTTTAAATAATTTAAAAAGCTTCTTGATATAGTAAATTTGCTTTTCTTAAAATTGTCTGTATGCATCAACAGTTTTTTAGTTGCCCATTGTATTCATTACGATCTATTACTTTTCCACATTCATTTTTAAAGAAAACATTTTATTCAATAATATTTTTTATGTGTTGAAATTTTAATACTGCTATCACTGCTGCCTAAGGTCGTGAAATGGAATTTCTAACTCAATTCGACACAAAATAAATGGATTCCACCTATCAACGTTCAGTTTACACCAGGTCTCGTAGCACCTTCCTTACAAAGGCTTCGTACATGTGCTTAAGACGAAAAAAATAGTGCTTCGGCTGAATGGCAATCTTATGGCATATGGATTCACGTTCTTAACCCTTTGACTGCGAATTTAAAAAAGTAAATTTACGCCGTTACTTGAATTACTTGAATAGAAATTCAAGTGAACAAAATATGTCTAAATAAGATAAATTTAACATATGGGAGTTTTCTAACCAACGGGTTTCAAGCCAAAGGCTGGGACACATATGTCCCAGCTATAAACTATGGCTATAAACTAGCCTATAAACTATAGCTGGGACACATATGTCCCAGCCATAGTTTATTCTGGGATAACTATGTCCCACACGTAGCGATTTACTTACTTTAAGCACACCTATTATTCTAGAAAACTTTATTATATGAAATAGATTGACATCGTATGGTACAATGTAAAAATTATTCTTTGCATAACTTAACATTACATATTGGGCGACACGTATTTGTCTTTTTCTGTATGTTCATTTGTGTACAACGAGCACGGCGGCGTCTTGATTTTCCAACTATTGGAAGATGATTCCTAACATTCAAGAAATTCCATGTCCTTTTTAACCCAGTAGTTATTTTTAACTTTAAGTGGGACATACATGTTCTGTTAGTTGTTCAAATGATTCAAACTGCAACAGCAGAGTTGTTAGATATGCAAAAGTGGCTCTAAGATACTGGTCAAACCTACATGGAACGTTACGAAACAAAGAAGAAGCTTTCTTAAGCCATTAGGCTGGATGAGAGATGGACTAGATCGTACGGAGCCGGAACTGAAACATCAATAAAAAAAAGTGGCATCATTGTACGCTGCGCAAAAAAAGAAAAAAAGGGGAGACGGTTCTATATCTCCCGTTCTACTGGCCCGATTGACAAAGTTCAACTTGCGTTTTCCATGTCTCAAAGCGCGACTTAAAATGTATATTAGATATATATATATATAAAGCATTGTTTTAATACAAGTATTTTGACACAAAATCGGACTTTTTCTGAAATGGCATGCAATTTGTTTTCCATATTTCGATTCTACTACTCGAAGTATACCAAACTGCCGATCTTTGTAAAAATGGCGCGCGTAGTTTTTAAAAAATTAGCTCTCAAAATTTTAAATCCTCCATATTAATTGAATTTGACATATATTTATTAATATCTTTTATTTTATTAAACTTGCTTGATTCCTTCTTCCAGAATTCGGTATTTAGGCTTAATCCAAATATAATTCGCACATTGTTTTATGATTTATTTTTTAAAATACTTTTATAAATTTTTCAAAAACATGTTTGTGTTATAACCCATAAATTTTTTAACATCAACTTAAAGAAGATGCATTTCTAGACACACCTGCAAAATTTGAGTTTTTATTCAAAATTTCTTAAGATATACGAGAATTTAAAAAAAGCCGCTTTTTGAAATTTGGCATATTCGTTATAAGCGATAATGAAGTCAAATGTGGGTTTATGCACTTTGTTAGTATTATTCGAATTTTCTGCTCGTCTACAATGAAAAAAAAGGAAAGGAAAATAGGTTGCTATAAATTAAGAAATTCGCCGAGTCAATTATTCTTGGCGCAAAATGAAAAAAAAATGCGCCAAGATAAATTTTTGAATTTCTCTGCAAATTTCGCACCAAATTTTACAAAAATTGAATATCTAGGCATCATTTGAGCCGTAGAATCGAAATATGGAAAACAAATTGGCATGTCATTTCAGAAAAAGTCCGATTTTGTGTATACCTATGTTTTGAGACCTATGTTAGAACACTGTTATACATACTTCTAATATATATAAATCCTAAGTCGCGCTTTCGAGACATGAAACACGGAATTTGAATTTCGTTAATTGGCCCACTAGAACGGGAGATATGAAACTGTTCCATTTTTTTTTCCGCAGTGGACATCTGTACCTGTGTCTATACCATGTCCTTAATACATCTGTATGCCTAATATGTACCATAATAGTGAAGAGTGTTTCCCTTAGTCTCAGCAGTCCCCACCATGCACCTTCTTTCCATCTTCTGATCTTGCTTTCAAGGCTCCTCGTTTAGCGTGGCCAATCCCCGGTGGGCACAGCCCTAAACTATATGTAATCAGTTCCCAGGGACATGAATAGTGATAAGCACTTTTTTTTTTTTTTTTTTTTTTTTTTTTTTTTTTTTTTAATTCCACCGACAGAATCGAACAGGCTAAAGAGCACCTAACCCAGTAGGCCAGCTGTTCTGTCGATGGCGAAAAAAAAAAAAAAAAAGATATATTAAAAGTTAGTAGCAGTTTCCATCCCATTCTTTTGATCGAGTAAATACGATTGCTCAAAATATTTTTGCTTCTGACTGAGAAAATACTGTGCATTGAAATACACTGAATGTACTTTTTGTAGAAATAAACCACCTAAATTTCATTGATTTTTAAGTGTGCGTGTTTATCTTGCATCTATTGTCAGAAAAATACCTCACCAACAAGAAAATTTTAAAGTATTGTTCGTTGCGAAAGGCAAAAGAATTTATTTGATTATGATTAAAATTTATTTTAAATGGTTGTTTCTTCAAGCCTAAAATCTAAATTTGTATTTGCAACTTGTATTGATTTCTCTGTTGACATAATCAGTCATTTGTATACATGTTTTTATTTGCAGATCGCCTGTAATACCTGGTGGTTTATTCTTAATTCGAAGAACCTGGTTCTATGAACTTGGAGGACTGGACAAAGGAATGGCAATCTGGGGAGCAGAGAATATAGGTACTAATGACCAAGAAATCGTTTCGGGGAATATCACCAATTGTTTTGTTGTTGTTGTTACCAATCTCACTTGCCTGACCAAGGACGTGTCTAGAGGGGACATCTGTCCCCGGGCACATCATCTAGGGTACGCCAAACTGATGATATGGAATTTTAGAATTAAATCTTTTCCATTCTTGGCAAACAGGAAAGTGGCGCGAAATCTTCAGCTGTGCCTCCGGGAGCTGAAAACCTTAGCTACGACCCTGTGTCTGACACAGCACAAGCTTACGCCATTCATCGTAACAAGGTGTCAAATGCGCTGAACGTTGGCAAGAGCCTTTAGCACCATATAGGTGACAACCCAAACTTAGACTCAGTTCCGCCCTCTCTTCCTCTACCAGCAACCTCTCGAGAGAACTTAAGGATCGCCGTGCATATAGAGTGCCCACATGCCGCACAGAGAATATATATTTACAAACATCCATGCCTTCTCCGGGATTCGAGCCCGGGCCTTTCCGTACAGAAGTCAGGTTCACGTACCACTACCCCGGTTGTCCGGCACTAAATGTTTTTAAAATGAATAGCAAATATCAGTCACTCAAAAGTAACTTTTGAATTCATTGTTCGAACAGAGACTAATCAATAAGTGGAATAATAAACAATAATTTATTAAGATTAAGGTCGGCATAGTGTAAATAATTTTAAATTGATTTTCTGATTTGAGGACATAAACTAAAATTCTTGTAACTACGATAAGACTAATGTTAATAAAAAAATTAAGCAATGGCAAGTTTTCCAAAATAGCGAAAATCAGCGGGGCCACGAGGAGGCGTATGTCGGATTAGGACAGCGAGAGGCTGTATATGACAGCATCGGGGGGATGGGTTTGGTGGTCTCAAACCCCTCTTCTCCCACCACCAATCTATCGAGAGGACTTTCAGCTGACCGCATATTTAAAGTGCCCCCAAGGTCGCATAGACACTACACATTTACAAACATCCATGTCGGAATTCGAACCCGGGCCTTTCTGTACGGTAGTCAGAGCGCTAACCACTATCCGGGTAGGGAAACAGAAATTAACAGTTTTTTCTCGAAGCAGAAAATGTGTCAATCATTTACATCACGAGAGCATTCAGGAGCATCGCGACAGCATTCAGAATTACATCACGAGAGCATTCAGGAGCATTATGCTCTTAAATCTTTATTATACTTAATAATCCTATGTATCTTCAAAAGGCATCCTTACATAATTTAGTTTTATAAGGCTGTAACATGCCGCCCAACCGGTATAGTGGTTAGCGTCGCTGACTGCCGTGCCAAAAGCTCGGGTTCGAATCTCGGAGAAGGCGTAAATGTTTGTAAATGTATAGTGTCTGTGTGGCATGGCAGCACTCTAAATATGCGGCGAGCCGAAAGTCCTCTCGCGTGGTTTGGTGGAAGGAGAGAGGGGTGGGAGACCTTCGGACTCCGTACCCCCCCCGGAGTACTCTCGATCAAAATTGAGAGCGGAATTGAACTAAATCGTACTGTCACCTGTTAAGGTGCTCAAGGCTGTTGCCAACGACAGGCGTAATCTTGCGCTTCTTGCCACGAGGAATTTCGTAGGCTTGGGTTGACTACGTTACACAAGTGAGCACAAGTAACAACAACAACATGTTGTAATATAATTTCCAATTATTTTTATACCGGCGTATAATGCGCGTCTATAATTTCTGGCTGCATTTTTTTAATTTTTAGGTATATTCGTCGTATAACGCGCACCCGTTCATCACGAAGAAACCCCAAAGATACACGTGCAATGTATCTTTCTTAATTCGAACATTTATTCACTTTCGAAAAATGGTAAACCGCACTGATAAATTTTAAGGGGTGTGGGTTAAATGTTTGAGTGAGTAACTATTCCGAAAAACACGGTGGATTGTATTCAATGCAGGTGTCCAAAATAATGCTATTGTAGAGCATGGTTCAACCTGAATAAATGAGTGGAATTAGGAGTTAGAACTTTCTTTTTCTGTAGTCATTTGAAGCTGTGATTTTGAAGCGAAAAATCGGAAGTAAACCGAAGTTGCTTTACTTGAAATATAGTTGATCTACTGCTCCTTTTATTAGTAAGTATGGCTTTAAAAAGAAACAAACACATTGCTGGTTTCAGATACAAAGCCATTATTTTGCTAAAATAATGGATATCGTGCTGCAGCAAGTGTGTTTGGCGTCGGCGAAAGATGGAACGGATGATGCTTGTTTATTTATGGATCAGAGTAACAATGATGGTGAAGATAAAACAAAATTCGATGATACGCCTGAAGATATAACGGAAGACGAACGTGACGAACTTTTCATGTTATCCGATAATGGAAATTTTTAGTTTCATAAAGTATGCCATTTCTTTTAAATAAGCAGCATTTTGGTGTATGTAAAAATCAAAATTTTTCCTTGTTTTTTAAGCCATCATTTTTATATCCGCCGCATATAACAGGCACAGCTAAATTTCGGTCCTATTATTTGTATTAAAAGTGTGTTATACGCCGAAATATACGGTACATATTTTTACCTCCTATAAGCAGCAACTTTTGCCTATTGACGTCATACTATTTTACAAAATTACTTTAGTTTTATTTGAATTTAAGTTTTAAGCCACATTATATGTTTGTTGGGTCATGAAAATGCAGAAATTATAATTTTAGAGCAAGTTCCCAGGTTTTGAACAACATACAAACTATTTTACCGCCAAAGTATTGTATTTTTTATTTTAAAAATTGTATCATGAAAGAAAACGACAATAAATTTCCTCATGCTTATATGTGCCTTTCTATCTATCCCCTACACACAGAGATGTCCATCAAAGCCTGGCTGTGCGGCGGAGAAGTTCTCACAGTTCCTTGCTCGAGGGTAGGTCATATCTTTCGTAAAAGACACCCATATTCTTTCCCTCCCAATGGAAGTTTATCTACATATTTAAGAAATTCTCGAAGAATTGCAGAAGCCTGGTTAGATGAATACAAGTACCAGTTCTATGAAATCAAACCGCAAGCCAAGAACCAGGATTTTGGAAGGTGTGTATATCTTGGTATTTTTTTATAGTCGCTTATATTTTGGGAAAATTGTTATAACGCAGTCTTGGACATATCGAAGGAATAATATTTAAAATAAATAAGGCTACGTTTATGATACCTCAAACTAATACTGAGTTCGAAATGTAAAAAATGAAATTCAATTTTTCCAACTCTAAATACCGATGTGAGGGTTAATTTTTTAATTTTTTTTTTTTGTAAATCTTCGTGATCTTAGCGTAAAATTGCTGCAGATTATATCATGAGTGAAGTCAACGTGAATAGTTTCATAGAAAACCAAACAAAATTGAAAGTGCATCCTAACATACGGTTAAAACTAAATGAAAAAATCTGATGTGCACACCTCATGACTTCCTTGTACGGAATATTAAATTAGACGCATTTTTTCTTGCATTTCATTTAAACTTATTGGATTGAATTAAATCTACTTCGCCGACAGCGCTTAAACCACAATAGAATAAATGCATTCTTTAAAATTCACTCTTTGTTTACCATAGCGACACTCTGGCGCTAGATTCACTTAACAGTATTAAGTTTCGTTCATATATAACTCAGAATGCACAAAATTTATCTTTAAAGAATAGAATATCTAATCGTTGTCACATGTTCTATTCAAATGCTATAATAAAGCCTAGAATGATGTATAAAAGAAATTAAGCAAACAAACCAAAAAAGAAACAGTTTTCACAGGACGATGAGTATTTCTCAGTCAATTAATTCAGTTCTCACTTCGCGAGAAGGCAAAAATACATTAAAACTTAAGATGTCTGTATTCAAAATTATGAAGTAAATCTTAAACACTTATTTCTTCGAATAAAATCCAGAATGGATTAAACATGATTTAACTCGCAATAATAAAAGAAGGCGTTATCTTTGTTATTGCAAAGCTTACTTTTTCTAGATTGGCAACAAAGCCACTGGTCTGCTGTTTCAAATGTAAACAATCAATGGCCGCCATTAAAAATAAAAGTCTTAGCGGCACTTAAACAACTTTAAAATTGTTGATAATTCTAAAAATATTGCATACAGATTTACTAAACGCACAAAAACCTTAACCGGAAGATAAAAAGAACATAATTCAATCATTTTTAAACAAAAAATATACAATTTACAAACATATAAGAGTAAAGAAAGATACGTACATTTTTGCCATTTTGGTATCATTGTCGATAACTATAAAAAATTTACTATACGTTGGTGCGGCCAACTGCAACCGAAATACGAGGTGCACATTTTCATGTTATAGCAGTGCTACATACATAACCTCAACGTTCTGAGGCTGCTCGTGTTTGAGTTATGCGAGATACATACATACGTCGTACAGACGCCACAAAAAAAATCTCTCCTGAATCCCTTTAAATCAGCTTTATAATTCCTTTGAAGGGGAAAAGAGTCTTTTATTGTGTCCTCACGTACAGATCTCACGCAAATACATTGTTAAATTGCATTCGATAGCGGTCAAAATGGATATTTTCGTTGAAATATGCTGCCTGAAACTTTCGTGATTACAATACTTTCTTTTACTTCGTACAAGGAAGTAAAAGACAGACATAAGAAATTGGTCTCTTAAACAGGCTCAAATTTCATACCAAATTTATAATTAAAGTATTATAACTTATATTCTGATAATTAAAATGGCAACCAATTTCTAATCTGATATTTTTATGTGTGCATGTTTAATACAAATAGCCAATAGGTTGTGCAAATGGCAAAATATATTTTTTTCAAATATTTCTATTGAGAAACTACAATCATTATTTTTCAATTTGATTGCAGGAACTTGATTCCTTGAAAATGTAGTTATGGCACTAAAGTTTTTCAGTTTTTATTTAGATGATACGAGTAAGTCAAAATGTTGAGAACCGCTGATCTATTGTACATAACTGCGTGTTAAGAATTTTTCATAATAAAATTATTTTTTAAGTGAAAATCCATAATTATATGTATTTTTATAATAAATGCGTTATTTGCATTATAAATGTACTACAATGCAGTTTTTATAGTGTTACCGCTTTTATTTTAATACAATGCATCGGAAGTAATAATATCATAAAACAATAATAACTGTAATGTATACTTTTAATATGTATTCATAACAGCAGTTTTTATTATTTCTGAACTTCAGTATTGAAGAGCTTGTGAAAGTAAAACGTACCCTGAACTGTAAGCCCTTCCAGTGGTTTTTGGACAATGTTTATCCTGAACTGAAGTAAGTTTTAAAATCTTGATTATAACCATTTCTATAGATTGCAAAATCTTACAATAGTCATGATATTTATTTTTCTACATCATATGCCTAGTTTTAGCTGTTTTCTGCTTGTTTGGTCCTTTCAAAGGTTCAGGTTCAATGAACCGCAGTGCCGACTTACTGAACCTGATTCCAGTGCAAGACAGCATGTTCAAAATAAGGAAAATTTAAATGTGAAAGCGTTTTCTAAAAATTTTTTCAGTAATTCTCAAATCAAAATTTGTAATTTCCCTTTTTCCCGAGGATTTCAGCAATTTAAACAGTACTGTTACAATTATATATATAGTGTCGTCGTGTGTGTGTGTGTATTTAATTATGGCAAAGCACACTAGGGCTATCTGCCTAAGGAAAGGGATGCCTTCGTGGAGGACTTTCTACGGGGAACTGGCTCGTATACACGTTACACATCGGAAAAAACACGAAAACACCCAAACAGCCAGCCCGTTCGCGGGATTCGAACCTCGGACCGAACTACCAGTGTTCAGCGACTTCACCGCTCGGCCGCTGGTAAGCTCCAATTTTATATATAGATATATGATTTTAGTACTATTATATGTGAAACTGTTGTATTTTTCTGCGTAATGTAACGCGAGAAATATAAAGAGGGAAGCTATGCCGGAAAAATAAGAATACAGGGGCAAGTGCATTTAACATCGAGTAAATAGGTATCTCGGTAATTTGGCGAGATATCGCCAAGCTGACAACGGTTTGGGCGACTTATTTGGCCACCAAACTTGGCAAGCATTTGGCGACATTTTGGTCCGGCCCCTGTACCACCGTAATATGTACTGAAACTGAATAAATGTAATTAATTGACTAGTATGTTAGCTGTAACCGTAATTCGACCCTCGTACTGCCTTCCAGTAATTTCGAGAAGCGAAAAGTACTAGAAATATCTAGGCGTTCGGGTGAAAACTATTTAAGGCCGGAGAGTAGTTTTTGTTGTTATTGTTGCGAGTTGTTGGTTCAGCGTGAGATAGAATATATTTCCGGATTAGCTTTCTCTTTTGGATGCACTTTGCATTGCGTTGTGTTTAACGTTCTTAGTAGTTTGAAGCGTAGTGCAAAATTCCAGAACTTTGAAGTGCTCCTGTTGAAAAAAATAAATTCTATTAACCCATTATCAGACCTGTGACCATTCAATCAATTACGAGCCCGTCCGCTCGCAATAATACTGATTAGAGGATATCCAGTTTCTTTCAAATTCGTAAAAATTGTAAAATAATCAAAATTGAGTTCGATTATGCATAAAATTATTTCAGTCTAACATTATCACAGGAGAACTGATGTTTACATCCACAACTGAGGGTAACACTAGAAAGGTTGCTAAAAATGGGTTAAAATAAATGCTACGTTGACATTTTTAAATGCTTAATTTTTCTGCATATTTAAAAACTAAAATACTACATTAATTAAAAAACTAACAAAAGCGTTAAAATGAGTTACTTAAGTTCTTTTTATAGCGTATAATATCGTAACAGAAAAAGAGAAATCAAGGGTTACTTCTTTTAAATCAAACGATAATAGTAAATAATGATCAATAGTCTTATTAAATAACACTTAAAATTCGGGAAAATTGATGAAGTGTTCATAAGTTTAATTTAGTTTAAATGTTCTTAAGTTGATATCTGTTATAATCAAATCTTCTGCTCGAACAGAATTAAAGCTTGCAACATTAATGATTAATTCAATTAAATTATCTGTTGTTTACCTCGCTGATTTTTTTATTAAATATTAAATATCAGTTTTTTAAACGTGCCTACTTAAACGAGTGCCAATTAAAAACTTGTGACCAGATACATGTTTATTTTACTTTTTTAGGAGTACAATGCGAAAAAAAAAGAGACTAGCATTTTATTATGACAATAATTTATCAAATTAAAATGCATTAATTTGTCCTAAAATTTCTGTTTGATACTTTTGAATACCTGGTTATCGATCAGATCAGAATGCTTGAATCAGGTCTTCAAAATGTCAAAGCAGGACATTTATTCTATTGTACCATAATATTTGAACTTATTGAAACAAAAAATCTACTTATAAACAATCCACATATCAATCTACATAAACAATCAACATATCTATAGACTATAACTTGAAAACCTCAGATTATAGTCTACACTCTACAGCATTAAAACAGAATTAAATTGAAATTGAATTGAAACAAAAAATTTAAAAATAATAAAAATTTAGAAAGTGTAAATGACAGTTAAATGACATATGGCATCAGAAGCATCTTTTATCAGTTAAAATGAAGCAAAACTTTTTATGAGATTATTAGCTGAATATAATATAAATTAAATCAATTTTAATTCATATCATTTAGCCCACCAGAGACCGAGCGGTAAAGTCGCTGAACACTGGTAGTTCAGTTTGGGGTTCGAATCCTGGCGAACGAGTCGGCTGCATGGCCTTCCTGTTTTTTTCCATGTGTAACATGTATATGAGCAAATTTGTCTTAGAAAGTCCTCCACCAAGGCATCCCTCTCCTTAGGCTGACCACGGTTGAGTACTACGTCATAATCAAAGAAACTAAACCAATTCGTATCTGTTAGAAATATTAAAAAAGTAAAATAAATATTATTACACCATGCGTTTATTGCTTTTAAATCACTCAGTAGTTTGTTAGTCAGTAACAGAATAGAATAATTAAATTTAAAATGCAAAAGATTTTAAAACTTGGTTTAATTTCAACGGGCTGAGAATCCACTACGCATAACACCGCATAACACCGCATAGTGGATTAAACGTCTTATAGAGGTTATTATAGATTAGGTCTATAATAAAATTATAATTAAAGGTTAGGTCTTATAGAGGTTACGTCTTACATTAGGTTATTTCGAAGCAGGAGACATGAAAATGAGCCATTCCTTCGCCGGGACTCGAACCTCTGACTCTCGATACGCGCCGAGTGTGCTGGTCATTACACCACGAAGGCATGCTAAGAAGGCGAGAGAACTACCTTATATACACCCTCTTTTAAAGGGCGACTGGGGATTAAAAGGACCCAATCGCCAAATCCTAGTGGTGGAGAATCATCATCCACCACCTTTTTTTTTTCCGGGCGCCACTGTAGAGTCTATTAGAATCGTTTCCGATGTCACGAAACTGAAGGAAGCAACGATGCCCTCGCCGGGACTCGATCCTCGGACCTCTCGAATACGCGCCTAGCCTGCTGATCATTACACCAAGAACGCATGCTAAAAAAGCGGGAAAAATACCGTATAGTCTTATGTTCAGCGAGGCTGATTCTAGATTCTTTCTCTTCTTTTTTTTCATTCATTTTATCATGCTACGAGTTTAATTTTGCGAGGGCAAGAGTTCATATTCTGAGTCAAAAATAATACCTCTTTCGAGGTGTAATATTTTCATTGCTTTTGTTGCAGACCTCTTAGTAAAGATGCCTTAGCTCTGGGTCAACTGCAGCAAGAAAATATGTGCTTACAAAGTGAGATAAATAACAAGACGAAATCCACAGTTAATCTTGCCATCTGCTTGGAGAAGAAGCCGGAGCAGGTGAGTTATTTATCTTTTCTCGGCTAGTTTTCTCACGCTTCTTTTGCTTTTATCCTGCCTGCACTTCAAGTTTGACAACACACATTACCTTTAAAGCAGCCTTTTCGAAAGGACCTGCTGCAATACGAAAATTGATATGGGTCGGCCAACGAACAAATATCCAGTAGATGATCTTGAGCATATTGTCTCCAAACATTTCCATTTTTTCCATTAAAAAAGCTTATTAGGACTACTATTTCGTCTAATTGCTATGGAAAACATGTTGATGTCCTGCTGTAAAACAGTTATTTTACTTTAAATTATGTCCGTTGAAATTGTAGAAGATACAACACAGACGGGAAGGGTTTAATTACTCTTTATTCTTTACAGTTAACAGCTGCTCCCGCGTTTCGGGATACAAAAGACCAGTACTTGTGGTCTGAATGTAAAAATAAGAACTACAAACTAACTAAATTACGTGAGAACTAAACTCAAACGCTTTGCAAAGACTGGCCTTTTAATTCGCGTAATTTACGTATGGAGTACGCCGAATGCGGGAAAACTACAATACGTCTTCAGTATCAAGAAGACTAAATTTCTAGCCTTAAAGGCGGACAGCAACTGACTGAAAGCGTGAAGTTAAAGTAGCGAAAAATCTCTCTCCAACTTCTTCTTGGCTAATAAGAGGGGACAGGAAAGATTTAAAATAAAATAAACGTTAGTAAAACTTAAAATCCTTATAAGCTCACCGAATTAACAGGCTTATATTAATGGAAAGAATAAGAAATTAGTCCGTATAGATTTCTAATAAGAAAGACTTAACGATTCCTGGATTTTATAATAGCAAAGTTTGTTGTTGGCAATTGCAACAGCGAAGCGTGTTCACATATTCAATTTTTCTTTATCGTTTTGCAGGAATGGTATTTTGCAAAATCGGGAGATCTTCATCAAGGAAAATACTGCTTAACTGCAAGAATTAATTTGAAAAGACCAAAGATCTATTTAACCAAATGCACGAATAGCACAAAACAAGTAAGTTGTTTAAAGATTCTTAAATTTTACAGTAAGAACTAGGCTATTTTAATGGACTTATTTATAAAGATAATAATAAAAAGAAAAAAGTAAAAAATCTGAGAGCTGCTTTTTTTTTCCAGATTTTATGTTACGCCCAAAGGGGAGTTTTTTAAAGCTTTATGTGTTACCTTTATTTATTAAATATCATGTTTTTCGCACTTAAACCATAAAATCCAATTCAAACGGCAATATCGCAAAAATTATTTTTAAAAATCTGATGCGTACACCACATGACTTCCTTGTACGAATATAAATTATACGCATTTTTTCCCTTTTCATTTAAAACTTATTAGATGAATTAAACCTACTTCGCCGACAGCGCATAAACCACAATAGAATAAATGCATTCTTAAAATTCACTTTGTTTCCATAGCCACACTCGCGCTAGGTTTACTAACAGTATTTATATTTCGCTCATATATAAATCAGAATTCCACAAAATTTATATCATTTAAGGAATTATCTAATCGTTGGCACATGTTCTCTTCAAATACTATAATGAAGCTAGAACGATGTATAAAAAATTAATTCAAACAAAAAAAAAAAGAAAACAGTTTTTTCACAGGATTGAGTGTTCATTCAATGAATTCAGTTCTCACTTCGCGACAAGGCCAAAAATACATTAAAACTTAAGATGTCTGTATTCAAAATTATGAAGTAAAATCTTAAACGCGGTATTCCTCGAAACCAATTCCAGGAAAGGATTAAATGATTTAAATATAAATGAAGGCGTTTCTTGTTGTGCGAAGCTAAGTTTATCTAGATTGGCAACAAATCCGCTACTCAGCTGTTTCAAACGTAACCAAGCAATGGCCGCCATCAAATAGGTTTGCGCACTTAAGCAATTTTTAAAATTGTTGATAATTCTAAAAATATTGCATACCGATTTACTAAAGGCATAAAACCCTACCAGAAATAAAAAACAACATAATTCAATCATTTTTAAAGCAAAAAATGTAATTTAACAAACATATAAGAGTAAAGAAACTGAGATCACTGAGCCGGGTAAACAGAGTGGATATATTAATAAAATATGTTATATACGTTTGTCGCGGCCGATTGAAAACCAAAATACAGGTGCACATCTACATGTTGTAATAGTCTTATATACAAAAAATTCAACGTTCTGAGGCTACTCGTTTTTGAGTTATGCGAGTACGTACGTTCGTCGCACGTACGTACATAGTTCGTACAGACGCCCTCGAAAATTTCTCTTCAGAATTCCTTTTTAAAGCAGTTTTTTTTTTTTTTTTTGGAGGAAAATAGTCTTTTATTCTGTCTTAACGTACAGATATCACGCAAAAACATCGTTTAAATTGCATTCGAAAGCGGTCAAAGTGGATATTTTCGTTGAAATATGCTGCGTGAAGCTTTTCGCGATTACAATACTTCCTTTTTACTTCGTACAAGGAAGTAAAAAGCATATCTTCGGAATTTCCGATAGACACTCTCGCGCGCTGAAGATAATTTTTTTTTTTTTTTTTTCGTACAGTGTTGCCATTGCTTGCTTTGAAATCGTCGAGTTTCTTAATTAAAAATTCGTTATAAAGTTTTACAAAATATTAAATAGATAATAAGCCCGAATTAGGGCTTCCAGATGCCCATATTCGGATGGAGGATTTCGTTATTCAAAATTGGATGGCTCTAGGCACTGTTGTTTTATCACACTGTGAAAAACATACATACTTTTATGCAGATTCTTCATTATTTCTTTAAATATAATGCAGGGCTCTAACATTTTGTGGCAACAATTTGAATAGTGATACGCCGTTTTTAGTCATTCGACGCAAAATGCCACAGCGAAATTAGTAGGCTTTCTTCGTTAACGCCCTTTGGGATAAAAAAAATACACTTTGATCTATACACTTTGATCTGGATTTGAAAATTTCACTTCAATACCCGTTTTAAGGTAATCGGCTACGATAGGCCTGCTACTAATAAAATTAATCTCAAAAATTTTAATTATAGAATATAAAATCTTGCATTTAAAATGAGGTGTTTAAAATGGCAAAAACCAAATTGAAAAATCTGCTATAATACTAAATTAATGCACGTGGAAATTTGTGCTCTCATTTAAGGAAGAAAAGAATTAATTGTTCAAAACAAAGCCGTAAATTTATTTCACTGGGTAACTTTCGCCCAAGGTTTCCAGCCAGGACATGAAAAACGCCAACTAAAAACACACTTCGAATTGTTTAGTTGTACCACACTTCAAGTTGTTTTAACAAGAAAAGTTTAGTTTGGTTTATGTAATTACGGTAAAGCCTCGAGGGATCTGCCTAAGGGGAGGGATGTCTTCATGAAGGACTTTCTAAGGGAAACTGGTACGTATACACGTTACACATAGGGAAAACCATGAAGACGCCCGTCCAGCCAGTCCGTTCGCGGGATTCCAACCTCAGGCCGAACGATCAGTGTTCAGCGACTTTACCGCTCGGCTGCTGATGGGCCGTTTAAAAGAAAGGGATGAATAAGTATAGGGGAAAGAAATACGGGAGGTAGAGGTTCAGATTTTATAAAAAAAGAACCTTGCTGAACGAGTATTTGCTTCTCTTCGTAAGGAAAAACAATGTAAAATTATAATTATTACAGCCTTTTGATAATACTATACTTTTCTGTACGTTGAACAATATAAAAAATAAATTTATAAAAAGTATATTTATCTTTTGAATAAAGTGGGTTAAATACATATACCTGAATGACTGCAGTCTATCTAGGTTACTATAGAATTTATTGCTACTATGAGGTTTTTATTTTTTTTTTTTTTTTTTTTTTTAACAAAAATATTAGCGCATATAGAATGCAATTGATATATATATTAGAAGATGCTCAAAACGTCTTTTACCAGTATTTGACATGCATAAACGCTAGTGTATACATGTTCTGAAATGTTTATGATAACAAGTATGATTTGTTCTTAAATTATTGGTTTTATTAGGCCTAATGTGTGAATAATACATTTTTATTTCGTCGATTTGACTGATGACAACACTTCATGAAGAATCAAAACGCAATTTATTTAGCCAGTATTACTCAGGATAGTTCCAAAATCATGTTTACAGTCACCGAAAAACTACGACAAACACGCTGAAACAATCAGCAACACAGCTTTCAGGCTATAACGGTGAAGAATGCACAAATAGTTTATACTAACTCGCGATACACTACTACTCCGGGTACAGGCAACGTTTATATAGCTTTTGGCCTGCCTTCAAGAACATTCTGGGCCAAACCGGTAAGAATTCGCTCCAGAATGTTCTCCATCTGTCTATGGAATATTGCCATTTGTTCGCCAGATGGGTGATTTCTCGCAAAATCTGGAAACCTCGTCTTTCCCTGCCATTTTCTGGCAACCCTAAACCCGCCTTGCGAAGAAGCTATCTTATCCTACCGCTCCTGGGCATTTCGTAACGATGTACTTTTTGTAAATTGCGTAACTTTTTATAAAAATACAGCAAATTACAAATTTATTGGATTTACGTTAAAAAATACATTCATCTCCACTGATAATACAATGTAGTATATAAAAGTGAAAGCTCCCTAGGGCAACCAACCACAGATCTTCTGTGAAGGTGATAGCCTTATTCTGGTGATTTTCAACACTGAAGTTTGTGTTCTTAGATATATTGGTTATTTTCTATTTGAAATGGTCGCCACTGTGTGCAGCTCATTAACTAACTTATACATAGAATGAATTTTATTTTCTATTTCAGAAATGGACTCGCCGAAGGAGGTTACTTATGTACCAAGGATTGTGTCTGGAAAATGCGATGGATCCTGTGATTGGACTTTCACATTTGACGTTAAATCCATGCCGACAAAATGCCTTTTCTCAACGATGGGACTTTTCTGTAGAACTGCAAACGTGGGGAGACAGATAACATTCATTAACTGTGGAAAATAGAACTGTCATCCCCCAAAGACTACTACGACATTTTTGTAAGGAGTATTTTCGGCCCACTTAAAGATCTGTAATTCATTACTACTAAGAAATTATTGGATTATTTATATTGCGAGCTACGTTTTAAAACATTTGACACTTTTACAGTACTTTACATAGCAGTATAAATAAATTTTTAAATTTGCGTTTAAGGGAACTGGGGTTTAACTGTTACAAATTTCTTAGCGGTTATTCAGAAATTAGCTTTTTGTACAGACTGGTTCATATTGGGTAAAAATCAGTTTCGTATTAATTTATTAAACCAGTGTTTAATTTATCTGAATATATAAATTACATTTTTGCTTGTATAGTCATTTAATTTTAAAAGAGACTCGTTTCAAAATAACACGGAATTTGTGTGAAAAATGCTAATTTCATCCTCCTTAACGCAATGTACTGCTACTCGCCTGATGCACAAACTGACGCCATTCTCTTTCAGGATTTCTTTTTTAAGTTGATTATGGCAATGGTACACGTAGACAGCTTTGATTCAAAATGAGTTAATAATATTATTCATCATCTGGTAATTTATATCATACCAAACCGTATGATCGTAACTAATTTTAAATCTTAAACTATGGAGCATTGAGTAGACAAAAGGTTCCATTTTTTACATCTTCTTCAAAACGATGTATTCTTAGCCATAACGGCCGTACCCCAGATTGTGACATACAGGCCGAGACTTTAACCCCTTAACTACGAATTTTATTAACATTTTTATTACAGCACTGCACATTGAGCAACTCATATTTGTTCTTTTCTCTCTGTTCATGTGTGTACAACGAGCACAGAAGCGTACAACTATTGGAAGATGATCCCCAACATTCAGAAGATTCTAAGTACTTTTTAATCCAGCAGTAATTTTTGAAATTTTAGCGAGAACATACATATCTTGTTAGTAGTCAAAGCATTAAACGAGGTTGTGGGCAACAGAATTAAGGGGCGGAAAAATTCTTAGAATTTTATGGTGTTGTTGTTGTTGTTACTTATGCTCATTTGTCTGACAGTAACATCAGCCCAAGTCCACGAAATCCCTCTGGCAAGGAGCGCAAGATACGCCTGCCGTTAGCAACAGCCTTGAGCACCCTACAGGTGACAGTGCGATTTAGCTCAGTTCCGTCTCCAATTTTGATGGAGGGCACCCTGGGGAAACGACGAGTTCGAGGGTCTTCCACCCTTCCACGAAACCACACAAGAGGACATTCTCCATGCCGCACCGACACTATGCATTTACAAACATCCATGCCTTCTCCGGAATTGGAACCCAGGCCCTTCGGCACGCCTGTCAGTGACGGTAACCGCTATACCGGTTGGGCGGTTTAGAACTTTTAAAGGCTTGGAAATAGCAGAATTTAGAACTTGCAGAGACTACACTGGGCGGCAAGATGCCTACCCGCCGGCCATCATCAATTCATCTTCAACATTTCATTTCAACAATGCTCGCTAAAACGGTTTGGGTTATTAAAATCATTTGCGATAGCAGACGAACAAACGTGGCAACACACTGACTGTTACTGACCTGGCAATATTGCATGGCACAAATTTCCAACTTCAGTTTTTCTCGTATCGTTATGGGTACCGTCATAATCAGTTTTCTTGGCCAATTCATGAATGGTTTGACAAGGATCCGTGTAGATCAGTTTGTTCAGATTATCTTCATTGAAACGTGCGATGGACGATCGAAATGCAGCGAGTCCGTGATAAACAAATTTTCATTTAGGAACCAATAGGGCTGTTGTTTGAGCAGCTTCCCATGCACTTTAATAAAACAAATGCTTCCACGATTGAGGATCTCTAATATCAGAGATTTCAGAAACAGAGTTTGTTGCCCATTCCATTTATCATAGACACACTCATATATTTCAAATACGAAATACTGCTAGTTACGTTTTGATACACAATTGTCTGTTTGCATTTGCACTACAGAATAATTCTAAAATACACCGACATGAACTTGTGTATAACTCCATAAAATTTAATTTATTCATATCTAAAGAGATCAGATTCGATCTGGATGAACAGGAACTAATAAAACTTAAACTGGCGTCTAAGGCAGAAGAAAAAGAATTCTATTAAAAGCAAACTACTTTTTTCAAAAGTACTGTCTAAATGGATATACTAAAATAACTTAATTTGAAAGGGAAAGATTATTAACAATGGGTACTAATGCAGTGTTAAGTAAAACTTTCAGTGCTAACTTCAAAGATCTAGCTTTACTTTTCTAAACATCTAGAAACAACAGTTCATAGCCGCTGTTTCTCACTTACGTTTTCTCAAGCAACTGCTGTGCTTCTCACAGTTTCTTTTCATAGGACACCGAAAGTTAGCTAGTTAGTTGAACGCGATTTTGCTGTCTGCGTAACGTTATGCTGGTAATAACCATAAACACCGGGATACTCGGTGTTTCACCGTTATTACCAGCATAACAGCGAGATCCAATCCCCGTCGAGAAACAGTCTTTGGGAGAATGTCAACAGTAACTTCGCATTAACGTATAAAAGCTGCAAAGATGTTCAAAATTCTAAATAAGCATAAGGTCGCATAAAATTTTTTAAATGTATCCAGAAGGTGAAAATGGCAAGGTGTCGAGCTAATTACTACAAAACAAAATGAAGATTAACAAGCGCAATAATAGATACACAATTCATAGAGCAAGTGCGAAAAATTCCAGAGCGCATAAGAAGCCAATCTCAAATGAAACATTTGTTTGCGGTATACATTTATACCACAAACGAAAATTTTTAAATGAAGTGCTAATGAAAACTTTAAACAAAATCTGCAATATTTATTTTCTATACTTAAAAAATATACACTTACTTTTCCGCAATTTTGTGTAATTTATTCATTTTAATTAATATCAATCATAAGCTGATGCAATGTTCACAGTTTTCTAATTTTACCGTAGATATATGTAGTTGTGGCTAATCTCTCACTTGTCTGACCTACAATCCCATAAATTTTATCATGGCAAATGTAATTTTATCATATTTTTATGGAATTTTATCATGGCAACAAGATTGCGACTGTTATTGGCATGGGCCTTAAAGCACCATATAGGTGACAGTACAATTTTAGCCAGTTCCACTCCAATTTTGAAGGACCCTTAGCGGATGAGTGCGAAGGTACCCCACACCTTTTATCAAACCACTCTATAGAGGACTTTACACTTGTCGTAAATTTTTTATGTTCCCAATGCAGTACATATGTTACCAGCAAATTATGAAAACTGGCTGGCCATGTATGAAACAATTAAACATTTCACACATCGCCTAGGCATCTTATAGAATGCCAAATGACGAACAGGCAAAATATGAAATACATCTGTGATCCTTTCCGAATAATCGAAACTACTTACCAGAAGTTAATAAATATGTAAAAAACCCAAAATGGCTACTAAAAAGGAACCAGGGGACTACTATTGGTTGCTGAATCGCTACGATGCGATGTTCGTGGAAAACAAAAGTAAACGCATTTATCCTATTAAAGAAGGTTTCAGTTATTTCATGAAATTCATTTGGCTGTTGGGCATGAAGGACGTGATAGAATGTTGAAGGAACTGTAAACCAAATACCACGGAATGATATTGAACTGTGCATCACTTTTGTGAGCTCTGCCATGAGGGAAAAAAAAAAAAAAAAAAGGGTATTAAAAAAAAAAAAAAAAAAGGGGTATTAAAAAAGGGCATTAGTGTGAAACCTATGATTTTTCTGAATTTAATTGCCGTTGTCAAGTAGATCTTATTGATTTCCAGTCAGACAGTGAATGCAAATTTATTGTGGTGTACCAGGATCGTCTCACTAATTTTTTTAACATATTTAGAATAAAAAAAAAATTTTAAAGGCAGTCTTTCATTATTTTCTTCATATAACATTTGTATTTTTGAGGAATGAACGTCTTTTAAATAGTAGCCTTACCATGAACCTTTTTTCATACTTTGCCTTAACAGCATTAGCGTAGGTACTGTATACAATGCCTAGGCAAAGTGTAAAATTCTCATATTTCTTTCTTTGCCTAAAAACGTCAGGTATTCTATAAAATGCTGGAGTTTCGTACTTTTCCGGTAACACATACACTCACTGCCGATCCTAAACCGTCGACCACCCACGCGCAAATTAAAATTCACCGCTTTTTTTTTACAGAAATATAATATGTATGATAATGATTTCGCTGGACACGTGCGTACTCCATCTTGACCCCCTCTAGGATCGTACTAAAATTAGAGCACTTTCAAAATGCTCAAATTTCAGTATACAGGATTCACAAAAGTTCCTATTAAGCTTTTGACACCGCGCTTCTGGGGCACCAAAATGTTCTCGCGTTGTATAGTTGCGGATTCTGGACGATACCCAATACTCCTAGTAAGCCGGCCGGTTGTCCGGACCCTCTCTCCTTCATTGACTATACACACATTCATGGCTTCTCCAGAATTCAAAATCTGACCTTTCAGTTCGGCAGTCAGCGCCACTAACCACTGTACTGTCTCAGCGGAACCACAGATATATAAACTACTTATGTGATAAAATTTCTTATATACTTTTATAAGCTGAAAAAGACACACGTTGGCTAATCTTTAGAATATGGTAACAGTTAGTTTGGCGACATTTTGGTAAGGCGATAAAGGTTACTAGGTAGGACTTTAGCAATAATCTGAGAAATATACAGTTTGAATCACAGATTATTTTGTCTCAGAGAAATGAGATATCATGAGACATGTAATGTGACATTTTCCGGAAAATTCCGATCGTGATTTTAGCTAATAAGCACTTGGAAACAATTTCGCTGCTAAATTGAAGAATCGCCCATTTATTTGTTTGTTTGGCGCTTTTTACAAAAGTAAGAATTGGATTTTTGTCAATTTTCTTTGACTTTTTAAGTGAAAATAGGTCGATGTGTACATGGATAAAGTCAAGCGTGTGCGCAATCCCATTTTGTGCAATTCTGGGTCTTTTTTAAGTGAAAATAGGTCGACGTGTACATGGATACCGCGTATGTTCAATTCTTAAAAATGCGCGAAGCAGTGCGCGATTCTGCACTTTCGCACCTAATCTTCGTCATGATTAAGCATTTTTGTTCCATAAAAGTGCTAGTATAAGCGTAATTCGGCTAGCAGATTGTTGGAAAAAATGTTGAGTAAAAAAAAACATGCCTTTACTTCGTGAAAACAAAATGGAGTCCAAAACAAAACTAGCAGGTTGCTGTAGCAGGGTTGGTCGCCAATTTTCGCCAAGTTACCATAATGTAAAGATTCACCCACATGTTCACTGCAGTAAACGACTACCACAGCAATGACTGCACAAAACATAATTATGTACTTTATGAACATTAGATTTTCATGGCCCATCATTAACAACAGTGCTGATCTTTTCCTTTTCACAGTACCTTTAAATTTAAATTTATGTATGTGTATTTATTTAACTGTGATACGCTACACAGACTTTTCAGTGTTTTATAGATAAACCACGTTTATAATAGACAACTTATCTTCAGCCCTTTCATGAATTTGAGCTTTTTAGACATTTTCAGACTGACAGCAAACATAATTCGCTAATACCACTAATAGTTACATACAATAGATCGTGTTAATTGACATCCAGCAGGTATGCATTCTAAAGTAAATTGTATTAAAATATTTTGTCTGCTTTCTGAATCTATCGCAGAGGATTAAAAAGTAAATCCTAACCCTAGTAAATAAAAGACATTGAAAAAATTATCTATATTGGGAATTACGATTTGATAGTAACAAATAAAATATAATAGTAATGAAATAATTCATTAGATGAACTGCAAATATACTAGATCTTTGATTTATTCAAATAACAAATACAAAGAAAATGTAATCGGTACGCATTAACGCAACCATTTCGGGGTAATTTTTTACAGATGAAAAGGTGAAAGTTAATTACTGGGTAAAAGTCGGGGGGTTTTCGTGCCTTTTTTTTAAAAAAATGATTCTCGAACTACCGATAGTTATCGTAAATCTGTAAACGTAATCAACATATGAATGGGAAACCTAATATTAGGAATTCAAAATACAAATTTGAATTATTAAATAAAGAGTACTTAATACATTAAAAATAAAACATTTATATTCTTCTTCAAATTCTGCAGTTTTTTTATGCGCTGTTCCTTCTTCTAGGAGTACAGAACGATCTGTTTTCGCCAATAAACAAAAAGTAAACACCAGAGAATTACGGAGATTCGGCTTCGTGCACAACAGTTGTTATTGAAGAAACGCAATTCTTTGTTATTCCCTTTAGAAAATGTTCAACAAAATTCCACTTTCTTGCAGAAATTTTACCACAGTTTCTTGCAATTCCACAAGTTCATATTTTAAAACTAAAGCAAAAAATATCACGATTTGTTTATAAAAATCGTTGGAACTTGGAGCACAATAAAAAAGAACACGTACGAAAATAGCGGAATTGCTTGACTGGGAGGAAGACTGTTATCAGCATCGTTACCGGAAGAAATGCTGGGTTACTAGATTTTGGCACATTCTGAAAATTTGGCGACTTCTACTAAGATGGTTGCGTTAATACGTAAGTCCCATATAATCTATAAAAATGTGCAATGTTTTAGAATAAGCAAGGAAAAAATATGAAGGAAATATTGTTTTAAGTGCTTTCAAAAAATTAGTATTTCATTATGGATTTTTATTGGGCTTTAATTTCTACTGATGTAATGAGATCTATTTTTGTTGTACTCTGCTTAGAAATACAGTTGTTGCTTTTAAATTTAGTATTTCAAAAAGAATTTTGTTTTTCAGTTTTTAAAATTTTTGTTTTTATATATGTATATGTATTTAACTGTGATATGATGTGTAAAACAGAAGCAAAAGTTTCTATTATCCATAAACAATACAGATTGTTAGGACAGTTTTGCTTATTTTCCTTTTTTTATTATAAATAAATCATGACTCATGAAAATGCGCATTCACGATTCATTTTAACTTAATATTAAGAAATTGTTTAATAGTCTGTTTACCAAATTTTAAAAATTTCAAAATTGTGACAACTATTGGTACTCTTCTGTTATTAGGAACAGATTCAGAAATGTATGTATATATGCAGGTACTATTCCGTTTTGAGGACCGTAAAAAATCGCCAAACTATTGTTGATGCCAGTGCTGCCAAAAATAATTGCGGCAACCCTAACGCAAGAAAGGAAGTATAATAGTAAATAACTATTTAAAGATCATTGTTTTGATTTATATGAAAGGTTAATTTTATATAATACTATTTTATTATTATAATTTATATAAAAGGGCTAAACATAACTGAATGGAAGCATAAGAGTCAATAACTATTTCAGATCATTATTATAATTTATATAAAAAAAGGCTACACATAACTGAATGGATTTCTGCATCGCTATTTCGCTACCAAGTTATCGCTAAAGTTTAATTTTATCTCGTTGGTTGTTCAAACATAATTTTCTATAATGAACGATGCCTTTTCTTTGAAAAAATTCTGTTGCAGACTTTTCGTCATTGGCAATTTCCAAATTGTTAAACCCATAGGATATCAAAAAAGGATTTAAAAATTAAACTAGTATTTCAATGGCGTTTTAAGAAATATAGAACTATCTAAATTTACGCAATTTGAAATCAGCGTGTACGCTCGATTTGGCGTGTTGTTAAATGGGCGCGTTTGCTAAATTTGGCGCTTTTGCACATACATTTTCGCTGCAATTTTTTACGGTTTTCAAAATGGAATAGTACCTATATGCATGTATGTATGGGTTCATGTAATATATGCACATACATACCTATATTTTTGAATCTGGGCCCAATAACAGAAGGGTTCCCAACTATTAATAATAATAAAATTTATTTTATATATTTTTTAAAGTATTTTCAGCATCTACATAAGTTAACATCATAAAAATTATTATATACAGAATTCTTAATAATTCATGCTAATTAATGCAGAAATATCCCTCCTAGAAAACATGTAAAATTGAAAAATACCTCTATATAAAAAAATTTGAACTCTTCAAAGACTTTAAATGAATAATATAGTATGCTGTTTTTAATTCAATTTAAATCATGATAAAATTAAGATTTTGTATAAAAAAATTTCAAATCTAGCAAGATCCCCCCCCCAATTTTTCCCCCTTATAAAAATGTTTGTACACGATTTCCTCAGTGCAAAACTACATTCCAAAATGATTGATTCCATCCTCAGCCCTTGACACTACTATTAGGTGCACATTCAGAGGAAGGAATAATTTTAATCAGAATAAGCACCACAATTTTAACATCATTTTTAGGAGGAAATGATGCACTGACAGTCAAGAGATTATTTGTGCATATAAATGTGATTATGGGAGAGGGGGAATTGTATCCATCATGTAGAAAAAGCCTATCTTTGAAGTAAGTTCTGGCAACCATTCGTTCATGTAATATGGACACAGCAACAACATGCACAGAGTGCATTTCAAAACTGAATATATTGGGGAGCGGGGACTTTTTATTTATTTATTTTTTTAAACATGAAAACATCACACTATTATATTTGCTATCATTTAATCTTTATCTGCTGATTGTTATTTTACATGGTCTTTCATAAATGTTGTGAATTTGCTTCTGTTAAAATTTTAAATATATGAGTGAATACTTTATACAGTTTTTGATAATGTATTTATTGCATGATAAATAAAATGCTATTTCAATATATTATTGAATTTAGGCATTGAATAAATATTTTTATAATGATGCAGTGAGTGTGAAAAATTTCAAATCAATTACCAACATGCTTCAGTATTTTGTTCATAAATTCATTAAAATAACTTTGACATGTTTGATGTACAAAAATACAAAAAATCTGGTAATAATTTCTAAGCATAACTTGTTAAAAGTCAAACATTTGTTAATTTTTATTGTAATTTCATAAAATACAATTCATTGCCAATATGAATATTTCATACATGAAAAAGCCAATTTCATTGTACATATAGATACATTATGACAGAATCTAAAAAGTGCTGTGATTATTCAAAATGTGCTGAAATATGTGACATATTCTCATTATGAGGCAAGCAGTTTCATTCTAGAGATATACTGTTATCACACTGGAACAATAAAAATATTCCTTAAAAATACAATAAATTATCAGAATTCTAAGGCATTAAAAAGTAACAAGAGGTTAGGAGTTAAATAACTTTTGATATCTGGTTGGTCAAATAAATTTTCAGTAGCAGGTGTAGTATATACAAAAATAATAATAAAAAGCTCAGCGATTTTTCATTTATTATGAATATAAAATAAGCACTAAAATATCTTAGATAAAATTGCAACTCAGAACAATCAACTAAAGGCTAAAAAAAAGTCATAACAAAATATCCTGTAACTGGGTGCATAAAATAGTGCAAAAGCAAGCACATATATGAGTAAATTGAATGAATATATATACAGATATCAAAATCATCTGCGTAGAAAGAGATGGTTGAATTTGAAATCCACGAGCTCTTAATTCATCTTCATTTATGTTCTTGCGTTTTGCTGGAAATGGTTCGGCAGTGGTTGTCAACTGGCATGCTACGCTCAGTAAACATTTTATATTGCTGAAATGAAATTAAATATGTAGTAATAAATTTTTCTGTCATTTTTTGGCAGCAAAAGTTTCTTCTGATTTATGCATCATTATCTCATCAATTAACCATACATGCTATTTCTCGAAAGACATGCTTGTGGCGAAAACATGCAAAATCAGCACTGTTAGAGGTCAGCAGTAGAAATTTCTGTTTAGTTTAACTGAAAATCCACAAAAACCATGCATTGCTTACTTTCTCATGCAAGCATTTCTTTCATGCAGAATAGAAAATAAAAGTAAGTTTGGATAGTCACTTAAAAAAAAAAAAAAAATGCTACAAAAACTTAAATTTACTAAAGGATCTCATAATATTTTTATAAGCCTATGTGCAAGCTAAGAATAATATAATGTATAACATAAATTTTCTGAAGTTCATAACATAATCCAATGTTTTTATCTTCAATGAAAGGAAAATATTATCTGGTCTCAATGTATTTCACACATTTTATTTTTTTAAAATTATTTTCTGAATACTGAACACATTCCCAGGCATTCTTACATGAAAACAGATTGAAAAATTTAACAATAATTTATTTTTGGCTCTATTATAAAATTTATGCATTAAAATTTCACTATCTTTTCACAAAAGAATTACACTGAAATATATAAATTTAATCTATATTAATCAGTTAACTCTGGCAGCCTTGTTTAAGAGTGTGCACCGTTTTGTGTCGCTAGAATCGAGCGATGACGAATATATTCGTCATTCACAGAGTAAGTTGTGCTGGTAAGATATTGGACGAAAAAGATGAGTTTATTTCCTAAAATTTAAAATTTTATTATTACTAATATTTACTTATTTGGTTAACATAAGCATATATTACATACATATTAAACTGAAAATGCAATAAATTAAATATTATATATATAAAAGTAAGAATTTAAATTCCTGCTGTGGAGTGATATTCAACAAAGTAGTACTACACACAATGGGACTTTGCAAATCGAACACCAGTATCGCGATTCCTTCCTGATCTTACGTTTGTAGCAATGCGAACACCTTCATGTAGTTTTTTTTTTTTTTTCGATGTTCCAGGTATATAATACGGAACATGATTCCCGCCTAATTGGCTTATATTAGGCCAAGTTTGTGTCAATTGAATACATCGCAAAAGTGTCTTCAATAAATTTGAGCAAAAAATTGATACTCGATAATGTTCCTTATTATTTTTTTTATATAATATGAATGCACTTAGACACATAATGTCTAAGAAATGGAGAAATATCTTTTTGAGTCGTTTTCTTGCTGTGGAGTAATGTTATGATAATTCCATCACTCATAACCACTCCACCCATTTTTTATTATAATCAATCACTAGCTCTGTTTTCTTTGTTATTATTTTTCTTTTCTCTGTTTCTATTACGTTGCTTTATACATGCGTTGCTTACACTGCTTTATATGCATGACGAGGATACTCATCAATCACAGTTAACTGGTTAAAATTTTGAAACTAAAATTTTATTACTGTTTAAAAAATAACAGAATACCATATATATATAATTTGAAAAAATAGATATAATTTGAAAATAGTGTACAATTACAAGTATAACTATTGATAAGAATTTTATTAGATTTTAAAATTATATCTATAATCATAAAAACAACTGAATAAATTTATATATACATATGTACGAAAATAATTACTAGCAAATAATAATTAAAATTCTAAATATAAATTTTTGCTAATACTGCATATTACCCTCTTGGAATTTTACACCTGGCTATTGGTAGAAATTGCTAATTAAAATTTTAGTTATTGGTAGTATAAGTACTGTTATCAGTTTCAAATCGCTAATTTCATTTTCATGCATTCATAATGACTAATAAGTTGTAATTTTACAGCATACTAAAATTTAATTATATTCATTATTTTGAATATTTAAAAGAAGTTTTCAAAAATATTATACATTTACCATTTAATAACTTATAAGTTTAGATTTATTTTAGCTTTATATTGTTTAATTATTTGGAAAGAAATTTATAGAATTACTGAGAAATTATTGAATGCTTTCTTGGTGTAAATATAGGGTACTCTTACAGGATTCCCTATGAAAGTGATCAATATTTCTGAAAACAAAATTTAAATAACTGCATTAAAAATCACTGATAGTCATATTGGCAAATGCAATCATTTCCATAGAATATCATAACTTTCTGAAATCATTAATGGTCATGTTATTAAGATTTGCAGCAAATCTCTTCAATGAAGATATTGTTTTAAACTAATATTGCTTCTCAGAATAAATGACAGTGATAATGTATGTCAATGTTAATAAAAGGTATAAAGCCAACACTAATCAAATAACAACTTTAATTCAAATGCCACAAGAACAAAAGTGCAAATGTTAAGTCCCACTATCCATAACTAAAACACAAATACATGCAATTAATTCCACACCATTACAAATAACAAATATTTTACATAAAAAGAAATTACAATCTTTTTTAAAAAATAAGTGCTCAGAAGTTTTATGTATACATATAACAAAAAAACAAAAACACACAAAAAAAAAAAACTATCACATATGAAAGACCAGTAAAATTATAATTACACAGAAAATAAAAACATTAAAAAATAGACAAATTAATTAAAAACATTTAAGAATTTAAAAATGTTTCTAATGTAATGAAAAAAATAAATGATTAAGTCTCATAGTATTACTTTTCTTTATCAAATTATAAATATATGTTTCTATCCTTCTTCATTTCAATATTTTTATTCAAGTTCTGATAACCGGTCAAATAAAAATTTTAAAAAGTATTTAAATTAATGGGTGTTGCTAATGAAATGATAGCAATTAAAACTCAAATTAACATATTTTTTATTAGTAATTGAATAACAAAGAGTATGGTAACCTTTTATGTTGAAATTACACTACACGGTGATTAATTAAAGATCAGTTATACATTAGGATTATCAACAAAACTTAATTTGACAGTAAAAGAGAAAGGAAAATTAAATTACACTAATTAAATACAAAGAATGTCACTTGAACAAACATTAGTATTATGTTTTCCACTGCATACATTTTCTCAAATTTTTTAGTTGTAATCTTTTTCATTATTTGGACAAAATTTTATACATAAGCTTTTTCTGTGCCACTCTGTAACTAAACTTATCACAGTTTATTACGTTTCCAAAAGTGTTTTAAATGTATTACATTAGAGAGAAATAAACACTCAAATCGCATTTCTTTGCCAGTGAATCCCCAAAATATTGTGCATAATATTTCTTACATTATTGCTTCATTAAATATTGACGAAATCAAGATATTTTTGGGAAAATGTGTTGTTGAATACTGACTTCTCTTTCTATGGTAAGAGCCAAATTCTGTCATGCATGTTCTTTTCTTTGTAAAGTGTCAGAAAAATTAACATAATATATTCCTGATAATTATTATTATCTTGAAAACCTTAAGAATAATAAAAATAGCTTTGGCATATTATGCAATATAAACATTAGGATAAAAGGCTAATGTAATTTTATTTGAAACTTAGTTAAATAATTCCAGTCTTGACTTCAAGTTTGTAAGCATAGTTAATATACACATTCCTTTTTAAAAGAAAAAAAAATTCAATGAGACTTATAATAAAATTACACCCATATTGCTCTAATATATTTATTTTGATTTATACAAAAGTTACTGTTTTAAACAATTTTTGGTCTTTTAAAGATAAAAGGTAATAATACTGTTTAAAATGAGAAAAAAGAAAATGGAAAAGAAAAGAATTAAAGAGAAAAAATACGTTCGGTGCCCATAAACAATTTTCAAAATAATAATTCATAATTAAAACCTAAGCACAAATAACAGCTATTTTTTGTAACCTGTTACTGAAATATGTGCCTCCTGATAAAGGTGAATAGAAGTTTTTCAAACAGGAAAAATGGGTAATGTTGAATTATTAATGATCACAAATGTTGAAAGGCACTAATCCATATTTTCAGGGCACTTCAACAAAACAATTGACATTTTCAAGAGTTTTCAAACAAATAATTTTTGCATCTTATTACGTGATATCTTGAAACTTTGCCAAAGGATGTGCATATTCAGAGGCCCAGTCTCGCTTGAAAATTTCTTCCACTTGTTCTCGTACAGGATTATTCACTTCTGTACTGTTGCTAACAGAATTTCGAAATACTATGCCAACACCTCCAGTATTTACAAAATAGTCTTCAGACCAGTTAGATGTTCCTAGATAATAACAATAATGAACCTTTTTAATGATGTTTTATAAACTACATGATTTTAACTAAATTTCTTACAAGTAACACTATTTTTGTAAACTACATGATTTTAACTAAATTTCTTACAGCTAACACTACTTTTTCATTCACAGCCTTTTAATTATCATCATATCAGAATTTATATGCAGCACAAAGTCCGAGATCCGGACATCCAATATCTGGAATGATCTAAAATCTGGACCTCAAATCCAACAATAAACTTCTTTAGGAATTCTTTTTGTATGCTTTATGCATGTGCATTTGATTCCCCCCCCCAATAATATAAAACATGTGGAGAGTCCCGATTCTTAATATCACTTCGCACTAAATAAAAAATCTCGCTATTGTAGAAACAATCATTTTAGCATAAATTTATGTGATCAATAATTTGGCTCCATAGCTATGTATCTGCTTGGCATATATCTCAAACCAAAACATTTCCATGTAGAAACATTGTTGATTTTACACATTAATATTTTATATGCCTGATGCCAACCTGGCAAATCATTATTTATTATATTTTGCTTTCATCACCACATGTTTATCAATGCATGAAACTTGAGTATTGACTCATGCAGCAATGCCTAAACAGTTTTTTTTATTAGTAATTGAATAACAAAGAGTATGGTAACCTTTTATGTTACCTTTAAATTATGCTGCGCGATGATTACAGATTTAAGTTAAATGTGCAAATAAATGTTGACGAGGAAAAATTTAACAAATTTTTTTTCCCATATACTAAAAATATATTTCGTTAATGATACTCATAGGCCAAATGATTACATTTAGTGTTATCTAAATTAAGAAGTAACTGATTTGATATTCACATAAACCCAGAACCAGTGCTAGAACTTGTGTGGCTGCACTGGGTGGCAGAATTTAGACAAAGTTCTAAATTTTTTGGAATTTAGAGAAGCACTGAGCAACAGAATGAAAATTTTTAGAATTTTGGAAAAGCACTGAGATTCAAACTTTAGGGGCGGCAAAATTTAGAACTTAAGTCGTGCTCGCTAACAGAATTCAGGACCTGCATCAGGCAGTAATATATCTAGTGCTGGCCCTCAATAAGCCTTAAGTATATGTGGGAATTTATTTATTCAAGACTCAGATAAACCTTAAGCCTGTGAAAGAAATAGACATAAGTAAAATAAATAATTAAACTAATACAATTCAGGTTTAACTGTCTCAGTGTGCAATAGAATCAAGTCAAAATTTAGTGGAACAACTTGTCTTTCGTCACCAATCTCATGATACATAGCCAATAATGTATAGCGGATGTTATTAAGCTATACTAAAATTATACTTTACTGATTCCAAGTTATTTCAGTTAATATAGCAGATTGCACTGTTCCTTGACTTTTTGATTTGATCCAGCTTATTATTTTTTGAAGGCTGATATTATTACATCAATTTTATGAAAATTAAAGTTTGAACTTTCAATTATGTTGAAAAGAGTTTCTAATTCTGGAGCTACCAGAGGATCTACAAAGCTAAAGCATGTTTCGATGTCCATTAAACAAAAAGTGGAATTGCTGCAAAAATTAATAAAGGTATTATCTGTCTCAAAATTATGCGAAGAGTATGGCACTGGAAAGTCAACTGTATATGACATAAGAAAACAGAAAAAGGAACTTTTTGAATTTTTTGTGGATTCCGGCATACTACTCGTAATGAATAACAGAAAAATTATTCGTTATGCTAAAAGTGATGATCATTATAAAGTGATGATTGAATGTGTCAGTGTTGCCATGAAGACATGCCATTGACGGGTCCAATGCTAATGGCTCAAGCCAAAATATTTCATGAAGAAATGAACTTAAAAACTGAGTTCACATGTTCGACAGATTGGTTAACCAAATTTAAAAATCACCCCAGTATAAGGCAATTAAAAATTTCAGCTGATACTGAAGCTGCTGAATAATTTGCAGATGAACTCATTGAACTCATTAATAATGAAAACTTATCTCCAGAACAAATTTATAATGCTGATGAAACTGTTTTTTTTTTTGTTTTTTTTTTTGTAGCAATATGTACCACAATATACCTTGGCAACCTCAACAGAAAAGACTCCAACTGCTGTTAAATATTCCAAAGACAGACTAACAATTTTAGGGTGCACAAATGCTGCAGGAATGCACAAGCGTAAACTTTCATAATCAGAAAAAACACATGATCTTGAGCATACAGAGGAGTAAAGATTTCTCCTGTTGTATATCATGAAAATAAAACAGCGTGGGCAACACAAGTGATAATGAATGATTGGTTTGAAAATCATTTCATACTTGAGGCTTGGCAACATTTGAATTCATTTGGTTTACCTGATGGCACAAAAGTTGTCTTGATTGTAGACAACTACTTGGCTCATATTTCACTTAAAGTTTTAGTAAAAGATAATGTATTGATATTATTCTTCCCTCCAAATTGTACCATCCATCATTCAGCCTATGGAAATTGGATTATACACATGCACTGAAATGCAAATATAATGTAGCACTTTTAAAATCCATATTCAGTTTCTTGAATAATGGTAAGACTGTTCAAGAATTTTTGAACTATTTTAGCATAAAATCTGCTGTGTGGAGTCTTGTCATAACAAGACTGTGGGAGGATGTGTCTCCACATATTTTAAAAAATGCTTGGCATAATTTATGGCCAGCTACCCTATTTCATGGTGATGAAGAAGATGATAGCCATGAATTTGAAGGTTTTTGGATATCACAAACCAAAGATGAAATTTTCCAGTTAATGGATTCTGTAAAGATAAGTGGAGAAGCATTAATAAATGAACACAACAGAAATTTTTTATTGTGATGACAATGCCTCAATCATCAATCAATTAACAGACTGCAAAATCTGCAGTATGGTTCTAGAACCAGAAAATACTGCTACCGATAGTGAAGAAAGTGACAGAGAGGATATTGAACACTAAAAAATTCCAATTGACAAGTTAGCCGGAATTCTTGACACAGCAATTACAGGACTTGTACTATAGAACTTTGTAACTGAACAAGAAATTATGTTCTGTGTATAGAATTAAAGAGAAAAATATTAGCCCAAAAAAAAAAAAAAAAAAAAAAAAAAAAAAAAGCAACTTAACTTACATTGAAAGAAATGTTCAATAAAGTAAACAAAACAAATATTAATTTTTTTGGGGTAAATTTTGATTCTCTTTAGATCATAAATGCTTCATTATTTCATATTTTTCATTTTATAATTTCTACATGCTATTGTACTAGATTTAAACTGATGATCTAATATCCGGAATTGCACAAGTCCCGACAAGTCTGGATCTCGGACTTTGTACTGTATACTGCCTGCTCATAATAATTCCTTTAAATACATTACAATTTTTTAATTCATTAAAATTTTTAAACAATATAGCTTATGTTATACAAAATGCACCTTTAAAATTCATTTCTAGCATTCTGTCAATTTTAATCAATCTCTTGTTATTCTGATTAAATGATTAATCTATTACATATGTACATCTCGCACACATATTTTTAAACTATTTTAATAAAAAAACAAATACAAAGTATGGTAAAGAAATACGTTTTTTACCATAAAATACTATTTAGATAAAATATTTTAAAATAAACACAATAATAATAAAAAAGATGATTACTAAAATGAGTTCTATACAATCTATATTAACCCCCTGACATGCATGACTGCCTTCTATATGGTCATGAGATTATTTGTCAATCGGTATATATATATATATTAGATTACAATTCAAAATATTTTGCTAAAACAATATGAATATCATCTTAATAAATGGAAGTTTATGAAAACAGATCATGAGCAGATTTAAAAAACAGAACCTGCCTTGAATAAAACACAATGGACCATACAGCTGCTGATTTTTTAAGAATTACACGTTTTGAGAATCGTTATAATTAAAAAAAAAGATCCCAAAATTAAGGAAGCACAGTTATTTCAGAAATATAAACTTGTAATAACACAAATATCCTTGTTATGCTTACAAATGCAATAAACTAATCAAAATGATTATAAACTATTACCATTCTCAAACATGATAGTGTTTTCATTTAATAAATAAATGGATCAGAAATATTACTGGTCAGTGTTTTATATTATTTTGAGGGAAGAAATAAAATAATTACCAATATAAGCAGCATTATCTGTAACCATATATTTATTATGATTTACTCTTGAAAATGGAATTTTTGCTTGAGCCTCTGTATATGTTGGAACAACAAATATTTTCTACAAAGGAAAAAAAAAAAAAAAAAAAACACATCAGAAAGCAAATTTGTTAAAAATACTTAAAAATTACATTTTTTAATATTTATATTCAAACTGCTTTTAGTAAACAGTATCTTGATATGCATATGCTTCGAAATACATCCAACTTGGTCTATGTCCTGCTTGGACGGAAAAAAAAACTGAAAGCTTTCAGTTACGTTTCAAGAGCATTTGGGCTAAAAATATTTAAGAACAGCATATATTTAGAATTTTTGATAGATAACTTTGCATGCTGAAGATAAAAATATTTTATTCCATACAGAGTGTTTGGCTGCCACTGCTTGCTCTGAAATCGTTGAGTTTCCTTAATCAAAAATTTGTTAAAGTTTCAAAAATATGAAACGGATAATAAAACAAATTTTAAATTCAAGATTCAGGAAAGGTGCTCATATTCGGGTAGAGAACAAAGTTATTCAAAATTTTATGGCTGTATGTATCGTTGCTTTTTCACAGTGCGAGAAACAGACAAACATTCATGAAGATTCTTCATTTAATGCCATTTCAAAACAAATAGCCCTTCTGGGTTAATGCCCCTTTGGGCTAATTTTTTTTTTTAATACAACTCAAATTACACTTGTTTACCTCTTCTGAGACAATGCTATGAGTGGCCATGAGCATCAGCACACTTGTTGCAGTAAAGAACTAACTCTGAATTTAACAAATGATTTTTGTGTGTTTTCGTATAAACTTTCTGAAGATTCATTAATGATGAGTTTTAAGAAAGTTAATGAGGAGAGTCAAGCAATGAAGAAAATTGTTAGGATCAGCATGAAGGTGAAAAAAGAGATTGAAAAGCATGCAGATGGCATGCATATACCTGGCACTTAGCTACTACATAACAAATGAAGTACAATGGTGTTTTTCGACTGTGAAAAATAAAGATGCTGTTAAATTGGCTAACATAGGGCCATCCAGAAGGTATACTGGTTAGGGGAGCCCAACTGTGATACAAAAGGGTCCAGGTTCGAAGCCTGGAGGTAAAATTGTCTGTGCCTTCACAGGAGGTAATGGTGGTGCCTATTAGCAACCACTTCTGGCCTTTGTAGTGGCCAATGCTGTTATAAGCAAGTGCCCGTCTTTGGGGCAAAAATTGGCTAACACTGCAAAGGGGATGAATTAATTACCAAACAAAGATAAGAGACATTACAGCATGTTGAAAAATTGCTTTTGATACGGACAGCAGAAAAAAATTTAAAGTGTCATGTGCAGTGCTTAATTTATGTACAATATATATCTTAACCATTGCATTTGTATTTTATTATTAAACAAGGTTATAATAATAACAATTGGATTTTTCATAAGAATGAATTTATTATTTTTCTCCTTATTTTTTAATATGTGCAGGGGTCTGGAATGGATTAATGACATATACTGAGGTACCACTGTATTTGCATTTTAGAAATTTATTTTAAAATTCAACCTTTTAGCCAAATAATTTTAAGTTGAAAATAGTTACATAGAAGAACAGGAAATACATTCAAAATACTTATTCATTACTACATTATAATATAAGGGGTGCCAAAAAGTGTTTACAATAGAATTTAATTGTTCGTCATGGTAACAGAATATTTCTGCAGTGTTGTGAACTGTTATTTGCTAACGTAGTACTGATTGCATTTACTCATGCCATACAAACGAGGTCATAAAAGGTTAAGAGATGCGAGTGATTTTTAGCTACACAGTGTACCTAATCATGCATATCATGACTGTTACCGCATTAAGTCACATTTACAAAAAAAAAAATAATTTTTTAGGAAACAGAATATATTTATGAGTTACAGCTATGTTGTTTTCACTTTGGTGCAGGATTGTACCTCAATCTCACTCTTTCATGCCACATATATCACAAGAAGTTAATTGTAATTACTGTCTGCTGAAATGTCCCCACAATACGAAACTCGGCATGTTTTAAAATATGACTTTTCCATAAATATTTCAATAAATATTTTCAATATTTGAAAATTTTTATTGAAATACTTGAAATTTAATTTAAATTATAAAAATTTTAATAATTAATAAGTATTTTAATAATTTTATTCAATACTTGAAAATATTTAAGACATCTATATCATTCATTTCCAAACTACTGATGATTATAATTGCATGAATAAGCTAAAAAAGCTTTCTGTCATAAAGAACTGGCACTTCTGAACGAAGTATCATTGAATTTTTAGAAACTTAAAATGAATTTATTACACTATTAAAATAATATTCTAATTAGAAATTTTCCATTAAATATAGGGAACGACCATATTTGTCAATTTATAATTAATGCTCTATTTGGTTCATTTTAAATTAGAGAATTATTAGGAATTAGCGAAATACTTTAAATAAGTATTTCGCTAATTCCTAATAATTAAATAGGTATTAAATAGTACTTGACTTTCTCTGAACATTTCTGAAAGGGAATAAAATAAGTTTTTTTTTTTTAAGTATTATTTAAAACTTGTAACCGAGTTATTATAAAATGTTGTAATTCTAGGAGGCTTAACTAGTCACTTTATAGAGACATTAGGTATTTTTGAAGCAGAAGAAGTGAAAAATGAGCAACGCCTTCGCCGGGACTCGAACCACGGGCCTCTCGAATATGCACCGAGCGTGATGACCAATGAGCAATGCTCTTGCCGGGAATTGAACCACGGACATCTCAAATACACATTGAGCGTGCAGACCATACACTATGAAGGCATGCTAAGAAGGTGGGAGAAATACTTTATAACTTCAACCTTTAAATGTTTGCATTAATAAACCATTTACAGGATTTATGAAGGAGAAGTGGAACAACTGGATGCAGTCTTCAAATTTTTAGGTTACGCTCTCAGGAAGAAAGAAGAGGCCTAGCATTTCGCAAGTTTGCGAATGGGTCAAAGCTTCATGGGATGCTGTGAAAACAGAGACAGTGGTTAAATCATTTAAGAAATGTGGCATTATTAATGCACTAGATGGTACAGAGGATGATTTGTTGTATGAGGTGCTCAGGTGCTAATTTAAAAGAGATTTTAAGTGACTCTTCACTTAGCTCTGGAGATGAGAGTGTCTGGGTTTTGACAAGGAAGATTAAAAGGTAGTCTTTCCCAGATAAATTGGGTATTTGCAGAAAGTTTTTATGTAATGACACATGAAAGCTTTTATAATATCCTGGTCTAAATGCTGAGTGTTAGAAGTTTCACTTATAGGAAGAAGTACTAATGTTTTACAGAAAGAGTTCAGAGGTGTGAATGCTGTAGTTATCTAATTAGGAAAGCAATTTTTTCCCATTTTACAGTTTTTAGTCCTTGTTTGAAAGAATAATACTACTTGTCATCCATGAGTTCCTGTTGCCAAGATGAGTCAGAGGTAAATTCTTGATTCCTTTCAAACATCGATATTTTCTACCTTTTTAATAACTAGTGCTATCTTCTTATTTACTGGGTCTATATTGCATGTTCATATCATAAAAACTCATTCTTTCAGTTTTTTTAACTAGTCGCTCTTTCATTTTTAAAATATTAATATGTGTTCTGGCAATGCTCTGTAACACAGTAACTTCATAGCTTGAAACCATTATAGAAAATCAGTTTCCACATCTCTCGATCTTCCATCTATTTTGAGGATCCTTGAGACTTCTGAACTTTTATTATTAATTCTTAAACAATTAAAATTCTTTGTTTATGTAAACTACACAACACTACTTGGAAAATGTCATGCTTAAGTCTTTTTGCTTAGGCATTTTTGACATTTTACTCAACAAATTTAAAACAATGCTTCGTCAAGTGATTTATATAATAGCAAAACTTGGTTTTCTAGCCAGCAGAAAGACTACACATTTGTCTGTTTCATCAATCTACCACTCCATAAAGGCAAGCCAACTGATTTCACTGCTTTTTCTTCAGACTACATTTACCACTCTTGTTTCATTTAAAGTCTATTAATGTAATAATATACTAGGAAGCATTTCATGAACTTTTTTAGAACACAATTTGTCAATACTGAAGGAATGATTTTGAATGTGGAAATCTTAAGAGATGGGATACAGAAGTTCCACATCCACCTACTATCAGCTAGTATTTGAGATGGAAGACTCACTGCCTCTAGGCATCCCAAACCTTTTTGTCCCTAACATCTGTTGGACAGTGGGCACCATTTACTTTTTCAAAGTGAATTTATAGTTGGATAGAGTTAATAATGCATGGACATAAAAAAGAGATCAGTCGCATTTCATTTTGTGTTGGAATATGTGTTGAACGCATTAAAAATGAGAAAACTTTCACATAAAATTTTATTGAAAACAAATATTTTTACTGTGATCGCACAGTGGCAGGCACACATTAAATGATTGCTGGATGCCATGGTGTCCTCGGGCACAGGGTTTGGAACCCCTGCTCTAGAAGATTGTTTTTGCTAATCTGAGGAAGATTTTGACTCTCTGAAGTCCAGGGCTGACAAAGTGCTCTGAAAACAGTATTTCTCAGGTACAATAGACAGGAGGTAAAAACAATTTGGTCAAACCTGTTCCATTGAAGCACTACACACCTGAATGATAAAATGAGCTTAAGTCAACTATAATTAAAATGAATGAACTACAAACAGTTTTGATATTAAAAAGTAGGTTATTCTGAAGACTCGATCTCAGTTTTATAAGCTGCAGAAACGAATTTAACAAACAATGTTTTTTCTGACAGAGCAGTATATATTTGTTTTGGTTCCTTGAAATATGAATGCAATAAGCAGATGATTTCATTAACCAATGAATTTTATAAGCAGATAGAATTGCATTGCCAATATAATATTTTGGAAGTGTGTTTTTGATCTACTCCATAAAAGTGCCTTCGAATGTGCTAACTTAGTAGTCTTTATCTTCTTATATAACACTTTTCAATATTTTTTCAGATTAATTTATTAAAGAAATGTCTATTCCCATCCATAAGAACACGGCATGATGTAATCTTGCCATGCTTAACTTGTGTTTCATATGTGTTCATTAAACATGATGGAAAAAGTGTGAAATATGTGTGACAAATAGGAAAGAGATGCAGCATTGACTCTTATTATTAAAAATTTATCTATATTTGAAATAATTCTATGAGTTTGGAATATTTTTTAATCTTCTTATGAACAGGACTATGAATAGGATGTCTGATAATTTATGTCTAATTAAATTCAATTCGTATTTATATGTAAAATTTCAATTTGAACTGCCAACTAGTATTTGCACAATAAAAAAATACAGACTATTTCACTTATATACATTATTTGCAATAATTATTTAATGCAAAGTAACAATTAAGCCTCTTCAATGATAATTTGAACACCTTTACCTAAAAAACAGTGGACATCTTTACTTTCTATATTTATATAAAATTATATACTTACCACTTCAATATCAAACAGATCGCTGTTTAGTGCATTCAGAGATCGCAGAAAAGACATCATTGATGGTTTTGTATGATTCCAATAACTTGCCAAAATTCTCACTTGAAGTCTCTTCACAACAGTCACTCTTCTTAAAGCATCATCAATCAGAGGCCAGTAACTAAGTCACAAGATATGTTCGTATTACTAATACTTTTATTTACTAATATTTAGACATAGTATATTCAGCTTTTAATAGTAGATACATAAACCACAAAATCCACTTATCAAACATATATTTTTATATTCTGAATACAATAATGGATCACCTATGACATGAACATAACATGAAGTGGAAGAAGATTACCTACATGTACATGTTAAAATACGATGTAAATATAAATGTTTATAATATACTGCATATATCACTTATAACAATGCAAACTTATTAATGCTCTAAAAAAACTCTTGTAAGCCATTTAAGGTTGAAAGGTCACAAACTGTGTTTAAAAATTAACTTCAAATTTTTATTTTGAATGCAAAAGGTAAATATTTTTTTTATAAATTGGTAAACGTTTTTACTGTTCAATTTGACAACTTTTTCAGCACAGCTGATTCCTAAACTTCTGCCTAAAGAAAATATTTGCATATTATATGAACTATATATCATATGCTTTTAAACAGACATATTTTAAATAGAAATGTAAATTCTTGCAAGATTTAAAGCATAGTGCTTAAACTATAAACAGAAAAAGGAAAAAAAAATATAAATCTGTATGTTTATACGAGGTAAATTTACATTTGTGTTACACAATAATTCACATGTTTATATAATAAAAATTACAGATATCTTTTTTCAAACACTCATTAAGGTAACACTTTTCTGACCAATAGCTATGAATTAAAATTTGCAACAATAATCAAACATTATACAAATAAGAAACTTTAAACAAAATAAATATGCATTGATTCAAATGAAATAAATATGTCTTTACAGGCTTGCATACTTTTAAAGGGTGAACCTATATTTTAATTACACAGCCCAGTTTAAATTATAATATTTATTTAAAGATAATGCATGATTTTTATTTTTGACAGACACTTTTCTTTGCAAGAAAAAATCACCACACTTTTATAAAATAACAAATAATGTTTATACAGATTTTTTTTTTTCAACATATTTTTCCAATATGCCCCAAGTGGTTTGAAAACTAAGAGCTACTGATACGAAAATTGAGCTTTAGGGATTTCCATAAACATTAGATTAAATGCTTTTCATAAACTTGGAAGACAGCTGTTAGTTCCATTATATTTCGTTACTGCAGCATCTCATGAAATCTGTTAATCTTTGTTGATTAATTTGCATCAAAGAAGAATGTGCAATTTCCATTAAAACCATATCGCTTGGCCTTTTTTTTAAGCATATTTCCTTGGTACCATTGCAATCACTATTTTAGGTTGACTTCTTTTCTGAGAGTAAATGTTTTTATAACCATTGCTCATGCAACACATCTTTCATCCAGTCACACCCCCCCCAAAGCTGCAGTGGATCACATGACTTGAAAAGTGGCTATCCTCTTCTTCATAAAAGAGATGATCTTCAGAAAGAAATACTATGTTTGAGTAACCACACCATGAAATAAAAAATAAAAATGTCACTTTAAGTTGATGCAGCCTTTTGACAGTGCCAAGGGAAAAGAAAATGGTGTCCAAACCCACCACACCAAGAAGGTGTAACTTAATTTTTTGGATCATGTATTTCTTTCATTATTGCCATATGATTCATTTACACAGGGTATCTACTCAAGAATTAACATCCCTTGAATTTTTCGAACCACAGCTACAGCTTGCTTCATATGAGTTATAATACAATGGTTGACTGGAATAATTAAGTACATGACAGGGGTATGTCAGTTCCTTGCTATCTAGTAGTAACATAAAAAAATCAATGAAGACAGCAATATTATGAAAATAATGAAAATGTATTTACCAAAAGAAAAAATAATACCATGTTCTTTTGCTATTATGGGTTTTTTTGGAGATTTTGTCATGAAATTCCTGATTGTTCCATTTCATCTAGTATCAAGCCAAAGGCATGGGAAAAGAAATAAGTGAAAATGCATCTATATGGTGTCAAAAATGCTTGATACAGCTTTGACAGAAAAGTACCAGATACAGTGAAAACAAATCCACATATCAGCTTTCCTACTCAACACCTCTTAAATATACACTCATAAATATAAAAGTAGACAAAAATTAGTCACCAATACTTTTATAACAAATATTTCTTAAAACAAATCAAATTAAGATATTTGACAAAAGAACGATATTTTAGTTCCTCTAAAGAAATTGTTTAGAACTTAAAATAACTTACTGATCCTTCTCCATGTATAGGGATGTAGGAAAATAATCCATCACAGCAACATACACAAAGGTGCGAGCTCTGTTAATAGTATCAAGTATACTGTCCAAGTCCGTAGTCCTGCCCTTAGGACATAAAGGTGGTGGAGAACTCTGAAAACAATAAACTTTAATTAAATTAACTGTATTTAATGCAGTTAAAGATGGAAACTTAATTATGGGAAACCTAATGACCTAAAACGTTTGTTTTTCTTTATTTTTACATGTTACAGATATAATAATCTTTAAAAGACATTACAAATTTGTAAATTATTACAAATGAATAAACATCCAATCATTTATCTGCTGGCACCAACAAAATCATATAGAATCCCACTGATTCATCACAAGAAGCTACAATTGAGTAAAGTGCTAATGACCCCTGGATCCTTCAAATAAGTGAACTCAGCTGACTGAACTATGTTCCTATCTCACTACAGGATAATGGCATAATCTTCTCCTTTTTCTACCCAAAGAACATGCTTCATACAAAATAAATAAAAGACAGTACAAAATTAAAAATTTAACATTAATATGAGAACAATAAAGGAAACGCAGCATTTCATGCAGCCATAATCCTTTAAGAAAGTTTTATACAGCTACACTTTCATTTTCAAGTGTTGATATCACTACAGAAACTTAGGGATTCACTGTATTTTATATGGTGCGTCATGTTCTTACATATTTTATATATTTATTGAGATCATATTTAATTCCTATTTAAACATATAATGCTTCTAAAAAAGATACACATTTATATAATATATATTACCTATATCAAAGACTTAATATCTTAAGAAAGGAGGCAATAGACTAGGGATTAAATATTGTAATATTAATGACACTAATCAAACCATATGATCTCAAGCTTTTGGATGCACCAAGCTGCTATTTATCATGAGTAAAAAAAATGGTAAAATATCTAGAAAGTGCCCTATCATCTACAGACTGTGCTTTAAATACATTTATAAAATAATAATATTAGTGCAAAAAATAGTATTGATAATATTTATAGAGGAAGAATGATAGAAAAAATAGAAACTTAATGATGGGATTTAAAACATTTGGTTTTTCTTTATTTCTATTACTTATGGAAAACCAAACAAAGCGGGAGATTGAAAGAAATCAATAACGTAAAGAATTTAAAAAATAAAATAAAACAAAAATAAGCCACAAATCATCTGAAAGGTAAATCTTGGGTATCTGAAAGAACGTAAATAGAAAACTCTATCACAGGTAGAGCATATTCTTAAAGGTTTCATTCGTAAGTTCTATATGAATGAAACCTCTATGAAAATGTTCTCAAAAGATTAACAAAAATCTGCAATCTTCCAGCATATTTGTAATTCCATTTTATATTTAAGTAGTACATAACAACTGCAATATGGTCAAAACAAGAATACTATACATCAGGACCCTGACAACTTATGACCCGTGGGTCGCCGAGTGACCCATTTCACAGCTTCAAGTAACCCACTTGAGTTCCGAAAATACAATATAATATACAAAAATTAATTGTGAAACAAGCACTTGATGAATACATAGAAAATAAATAATAACATTATTGTTTGAATAAAAAATTGCAGTAAGAAACATTTTTAAAAATAAGTATTGTAACATTATTTAAGGAGAACTTGATAAGTTTGGCAATGCCAATTCATAATCCATAATTTAAAAAAAAGGCTTTGCCATTTTGTCCACATTTGATTCAAATTATAATCGCGAGCAAATATTCTCTCACGTAAAAATTATTTGAAGTAACAGCAGAAGCAGCAGCTGATCTAATTGAAAATTCAGATGCTTGTATTTGTCTTAATATGACCAAGTATAAACCAGACTTTATTAAATTGACGTCACAAGTTTAACACCAAGAGAGTCATTTTCAGTGTTGTTTGTTTGTATAAAAATTATAATTATTTTTTATGCTGTAAGCTTAATGCATATCGCAATTGTTTTCTCAATAAAATCTATCTTATTATTTATCAAGAAAGACAATTCTAAAATGAAAATACCACCGATCCAAAACATTTTATTTATATACACATTATGATTGATTTTGACCTGCAGACGAAAAACGCTGCCAGCACCTTCTACACTCACTTCCAAAAGTTAAGCACGGAGGAAAATGCTAATTTCTGGAAGCCAATCAGAATTGAAGAGGATGCAATTCGCTGCAGAGGTAGATGGAAGTATGCAAATATGTTAGGTAACAGCCAATCACCCTTTCATGTCAAGAAATATGCAAAAAAGGCAATATTATAAGAAGTCAGCTTTATGAAGGGTTAAAGAAGTTGATTTAAGTGCTGATAGAAGGTGTTTAAAACTTTTGCACAATTTGTTTTCAAGACATACATGTTTCTATGACTTCCAGAAGATGAATGGAAGATTCTTAGCGCTGGCATGCTATGGGGCACATTGAAGCAGGACAGTCGATCACAGATGTTGCTCTTTTCTTCGGCGTTCATCATTCTGTAATTTCATGTTTATGGAAACAATTCCAAACCACACAGACAGTTGTCCAAAGGCCCGTGGCCAGTCGTTGAAGGGTTACAACCCTCGCGGAAGATTGATATATTGCTATTGTAGCCAAGCGGAATCGCAGAGCGACCTCCACACGTGTGACATCTATGGTTACAGCGTCCATTGGTAAGGCGATATCTGCAGCTACTGTATGCCGAAGATTACATATGAGTGGACTGTATGCCCTGAGTACCTCGAGTTTGTGCTCCCCTATCCGTCCAATCAAGAGGGGCACGATTACAGTGGTGCCGCAAACATGTCAATTGGAATGTGTCTGACTGGGACAATGTCATGTTTACTGATGAGTCAAGATTTGCTCTGCAGCCAGATGACAAGCGTATAAGGATATGGCATGAACAACGAACACGCAATAAGTCCCAAAACATCACGCATTCTGAGGCGGAAGCATTATGGTGTGGGCAGGGATTTTACTAGGATACTGCACTGAAACTGCACATCTTTAAACGGGGTTCTTTGATGGCTGTCTAGTATCGAGATAAAGTCCTAGAACCCATTGTGAGATTGTACACTGCAGTAGTTGGCCCTACTTGTTTGTTTTAAAGGACGATAACGCACGTCCCCATAGAGCTGACTACCTGAAGAGTGAAGGGATTGCGCGTGGGCAGCATATTTGCCCGACCTTAATCCCATTGAAAATCTTTGAGGATGCTTCTCGACCGTGCTGTATCTTCGCGTTTCCCACCTCCAGCCACTCTTATTGAGCTGGAAACTGCTCTACAAGAAGAATGGCGATTGCTTAATTCTGCGGTGGTTGACCACCTAATTGAAAGCATGGTCACAAGGTGTAAACTTTGTATACAGATGGGGGGGGGATCACATACCCTATTAATGTCCTTTTTTTATTTTATACTGTTTATTTTCACTTTATACATAATTCTGTTTAAGTCTCCAGTATGTCATTATCTGATAACTTACAAAAATTTAATATTGTTTTCATTTCTGTATAATTATTGTATTTATTATTGATTTTGTTTTATGTATGTAATTATTGATTTTGTTTTATGTATGTAATTATTGATTTTGTTTTATGCATAAATATATTTGATACTTTCCTGCTGAATTTTGTGTCAATCAAAGCAGTATTTGTTGTTGTTTTTTTGCATTTTATATCTTTGTGCTTAACTTTTGGAAGTGAGTGTATATATGTATGTATCTCTAAGTAATTACTGTATTTCAGTTCTTAAGTAATACTGCAACCACCTTGACACAGTTTGGCATTTTTTTATGGGGAAGCAGAATTACTTATAATTCAAAAAGTTTTGTTACATACATACATATGTATTATTAAGCATTTATCTCAAAAATCAATCAATAAATCTGTTTATAAGCAGGTTACGTTTCTTCTGTTTCAGTTCAAAGCAATTAAGAGGAAAAATACTGTATTTCTGAAAAATATTTTTTCCCCTTTCCCCATTTCCTTTCATTGCAGGAAAATCTCACAAGCACATACTTTTAAACTGAGTTTAATGGAAAGGGATATTACAATTTACCTATAAAAACCACTGGAACTTGAAATACAACAAATAACATCACCACTTTTGATACTGAAAAATGGTTATGCAGTCTGTTAAAACTGAATAATTCTTATGCACATTGTCATGCTTATTTGAAGAACTGTAATGAGCCTAGTTGCAAACATTAAATAAAGTTTAGTGCGTTCGGAAAAATTTGCGATTTCTACTAAGATAGTTGCACTAACACATAAGCGCTAGTTTTGGATTCTAATACCCAGTATTAAATGAAGTGGCATTTATATGAAGAGATGATTAGTTATAACAATACATTGCAGTATTTAAATAATCAGTTACTATTCGGGAAAAGGAGACTTCCCCAAAGTATCATAATCAAAGATTTATTTCATTCTTATAAAAATACCCTAACAAATAAATGCATGATGTTTTTGTTAAATTAAACTGTAATTTACAAAACAATATATTTCTTAACGAAAAACTATTTAAAATAAATACAGATCTTTACTTAAGAATTAACTGTATCACAAAACACAATTGTTCTGGTCTTCAGTGAGCTTGCACTTTACATACTGCTAATAGATAATAAAAATTTGAATTTTAGCTTTCATATCTAAGCTATGTAGATTCAACTTTGGATTAGCCCAAATTCACTGCTTAGAGAGTGAAGCAAAGTTGTTCTTTCATTTAATGTATTTGATTAATGAATGGGATTCAATATATTGAATGCTGTAAATCTAGAAGGCATAAACATTTCCATATTCACTATAATGGATCTGAATATTTATATTGATTTATATTATCTGCTTCAGGAATATATTCTGCGGTCAAAAAGCGGCCAAGTGATAGTTTGATCTGGGGTTTGTGTTCTGGAGAACAAGCTGGCTGCATGGGCATTTTCATGGACGTCAAGGTAAGCCAGTTTCTCCTTAGATGTCCAAAGGCATCCCACCCCTTAGATAGATACCCCTAGTAAGCGTTGCCATAATCAAATAAATGTCACCTTTTCTTAAACAAAAAATTTTCTGAATGTCACAGTGCCCAATTTGCAGCAAAAAATACTATTAGAATGTCTTTCAAAAATTTTGCAAACATGATAAGAATTATACAGTTTGATAAATTAAAATATTGCATGCACTTTTCCCTAAGTTATAAGTAATTGAAAGGCCAATTAATTCATCTAAAGAAAAAATAATAAAGCTATTAACAAAAACAAACAAATAAATAAAATTAAAAAAACTAATATTTATTCAAAATGATTAAAAAAGGAGAATTCAAAACAAATATATGCATTAAAATAAATTAATGGAGGTTTGAGATGAACACAAATTTACTCACAGAAATATAAGTTAAAATTTGTGAATTATTCATTGTGACAGTGACTGGATTATCTTTATTGATTGAAGTCTGCAAATCAGTTGGCCATTCTGGTGGAATATAGGGAGTAGGCACTCCCAGTCTCCAATACACTTCAAAGATCTTGTAAAGATCTTGAGCTAAACATGAACAATTATAAATAGACACCCCAAGCTCTTTTACCTGTAGATAAAAATAAGAAGGAAAGATTAAAAACTAAAATGAGTCTCAAGTTTCTGTTAAGAGTTGTCATTAAAAGCACATTTAATCACACACAACATTTGGAAAGTAAGTTTGATTTCTTATTTTGAAAAGCAAAAAATTAATTTCCTTCATTCCAATATAGATTAATTTTAGATTGAAAATTCTAAAATCTAATGAGCAGGTTTTATTCATGAAAATAAGAAACAAAAAGTTTCTGTTAAAACTGAATATTACACACACCTCAAATCTTTCACAATTTTATTACTAACTATTCCTTTTGTGATTTAAAAATATTATGCACATGAATAACTTACAAATTTTTCTTTTTAAACTGTTTGTTTTCATAACGTTTTGGGGTTTTTTTTTTTTAACTGCCTTTTGAGTAGCTTAATTAATGATGACAAAACACTGAAGAGCCATCTGCATAGGAAAAGTTCATGTTATAGACTTTTCTTGTATGAATTAAATACTAGTTAGCTATTCATTTTCATTTTTCTTAAATTTCTTGCCAATATTCTAAAAGAAAATACCATGATGGAATTCTAAAGATGTAAGTTAGTTTGTTATCCTCTATGAGCTGATGTTATTGAAAATGACAGGCTCCAGTAACAGTTTTCTTCTGTAAGAATATATGTTTATACTATAATGATGTTTTTCATTAGTAAAAAATATTTGTTGTTATTAACAGTAATGACTTCTCTAAATATCCCTCTATGAATCTATCTAAAATATTCCTATACATACCACTTATGTTTTTGGGCACTCGATCGAAGACAGAGAAGACAGAACATGAAACAAAAGTTATTCAGAAGTTTTGAATTTTGTGATAGAATCTCAAACAAAAGTCAGCTATTCAGATGTTTTGAATATTGTGTTACATTCTTCTCTGACAGCCAGTTAATTTAGATTTTGGTTCTGATTTGAAAGTTAATTCATTTAAACTACCTTGGGCACAACTTAATATTAATTGGGTCTAAAATATCGTAATTTGCAAAATATCTTCAGTCTTAAAATATTTAGCTTTTGATTTTGGTTTAGATACATAACCACATTTCAAAATTATAGATTTCAAGAATGGTACTCTCAGTAGCAAACATTATAATGACGAGTTTTGCAAAGAATGATTGAATATAATAATAAATGTTCAGAAATCTAGTTAAGAATTCAGAAATCTAGTTAAAAAATATAATTTCTTTCTATTTGGTTCTTTTTGAAAGACAAGCCTGTAGTGTCTCCTTACCAAAGGAAGGATGAGTCATTGATCTTTGGGAACCTCTCTCCTATGAAATAAATCAACTAATCACTTGTGAATAAATGGACAAGGTTAAAAAGTATGAGCATGTTGATGAACTGTTGTTGGAAACATTTAACTCTCAAGAAATTATGGCAACTATTCCCCTCATACCAAAAGGCACCGGCAGCACCTCCCAAAATTTTATCATGAATTATTAACATTATGACACCTGAATGTCCATTGAAGAATGGACATTATGACAAAAATAACAATGTTTGATCAATTAAGGGACTTAATTGTTACAGATTAATGGAGCAATACAATATTATTTCACCCTTAGAAAGCAAAAATTGAATGAAAGGTTGAGAGCTTGGTTTGGAAGATGTAAAAAAGCTCACAAAAGCACCATCTAATATGGAATATGATCAATCGAAGCTATCAAGACATTCTTTAATTTTTGAGAGAAGTTCGGTAGAAACAGAGAAGCAAATATAGTGATGTTGGTGAGAGACAAACAATAAATAGACAAAATGAGAAGTCTCAGAGACAAAGTTTACTAAAATGTTATAAGTGTGGAGCCAGTGGTTGTTTCAAACCTTATTGCCCCAGAGTGACTAAAAAGAGGGGTGATCCTGTAAGAAAGACCAATGAAGAAAAGGCCTCGTATGCTCATATTACATGAATATTTAATAATCTTGAGAATAAAAGAGTTCAAATCAAAGTGATTTTTAACAACACAGCAGCTGTTGAGCTGGTTGACACAGGCAGTTCAGTGTGTCTCTTGCATGAAAATCATACAAACAAATAGTAGGCTTGCTGAAGCTATCAAAGAAACTAATGAATTTATCTAGAAGTGGATCATCAGAAGTCTGGGCTATGGGGTCATTTGAAGATGTAGTGGAAATAGATGGATCTATGGAATAAATGAAGTGAGATGTAGTACACATTGCTAAGTTGAACTACCAAGCAGTGACTGGTGTGAATGCTCCTGACCAAGCCTCATTAATTCTAGTAAAAGTGCTGTTGAGTTCTGCAAGTATGAGACAAATATTGTTTATGCAGACATTTGAACTAAACAAAGAAGATACAATTACATTGAAATTACTGGAAGAGCTTAATTATGAAAATGAACACAGACCAGGGCAGATGATATAGCATGTTTATGTCTTAAGTAGACAATCTCTTGAGATTTGGACTGATGTAAGAATGAGAAATAAAGAGGACATAACTTTCCAGGATCTAATAAAGGAAATGCAGAAGGAGTTCCAAACACAATAAAATTTTATTATATAGGTCACAAAGGAGTATTTTTGGAAAAATCAGGCACAAAAAAAAAAAAAAAAAAAAAAAAAAAAAAAAAAAAAAAAAGAAGCTACGACCAACAAAATGAAGAAAACACCTAAATACAAAGTTGGTGATCTAGTAGTTATTCAAAGGACTTGCAATTTGCTACAGATCTGAAGTTGAGACTTAAGTTTCTGGTACCATACTAAATAATAACAATGAATTCTAAGGACAGGTATAATGTTAAAAAAAATAGGTAATCATTTATCATGTACTCCCCCTCCTACTTCTGCTGATATGATGAAATATTTTTCAAAAGACAGATATTACCATTTTTGTAAGTTATTTTAATTCCATATTTCTCAAAATGTTTCATGTGATTTTTTTTTTATGTGTAAGTGTCTGTGTATATGTTTAATTGTGGTTTTTGAAACTTAGAATTTATTGTATACAATGAAAACTATGAAAATTTTTAATCTGCAAAAGGTCTCTGAAGCCAATGACCCCTAGGATGACCAAATTCTATAGGGATTAAGCCTCAGCTCTCCATTTATATTTATCTTGTATTTCTTGGCAACATATTTAAAAAAAAAATCACATAAAGAAGATTTAAAGATGTAACAGTCAGTTTGTCATTATCGTCTATGAATTGACATTTTTCTTCTGTAAGAGCTATAAGTATGTTTTTCTTGATTAAAAATAAATGTTGTTACAAAAGAGGAATGACTCATTGTTATTTAAAACACCCCTAGAAGATAAACAGAAGAGTTACTAACTATTATTAACTCAAATTTACATTAGGATTCCCTCCATGATAGCCTCTTCTGTTTTATGAAAACAGCAAATTATTTCTGAGAAAGCAATTTTGTTTCCTTTCCATTTTACATAGGAAATAACTTGTTAAAATATTTGTTAATGAAATGTATTTTATTAATAATTTAACTGAAATTTACTTCATATTCTTTTTTAAAATTACCTAATGAACATAACTTCTAATTTAGATCTAAATTACGGAACCTTGAGAATATTTTATACTTAATACGCTAATTTTTAAAACCATCATTTTATGTTAAAAAATAAATTTTAATGAAAATGTAACATCACGCAGATATCAGCTGATGTATGACTGTGGTTCATATGTTTGTTCCTCAAATGCATTAAAATGATTAAAAAAATAAGAGCAAATCAATAAATTATGATAAGTGATTTAAAAAAAGAAGATATGGACAGAAAAAGGATTTCCTTTAATAAGAGAGGTACTTGGCAATCTTAGTTTTATACCATTTCAGAATTTTGAATGCTGAGTTTAAGTAAAATGGATCCAAAAATATACTCTTAAACATTATACATTTTAAATCCATGCAAAGATTTTACACTGATATTTATATGATAAGGAATTACTGAGAGAAGGCTCATTCAGGTGAAAAATACATCAAATAATGCATCTTAAAAAAAAAAAAAGAAAAAGAAAAAAAGAAAGTTTAATAAGAAAGTTTGTTCCATATTCTGTTACCAGAAATCAAAATATGTTTAGAAATAAAAAGACCATTAGATAACTTCTCATCATTTAAAATCATTTGGATAAGCTACTTAACCGTTGTATGAGGCTGTTGCATAAGCTATGTACTGTTGTATAATTTTACTTCCTCTGGTTTAAAAATGAAAATTTGTGACATTACCAAAAAGTATTTTACTTTGAAGTTTCTTAAAATATTACCAACAAAATCTTAATTATCAGTAGATTGCTCTTCTTAATTTAACTAAAACGTGATCACAGAATGAAATTCCACAATTATTTTCATACTATCTAGCATTTTCTGAGATCAAATTTTTCTGCAAATATCAAGCAAATCCATGAAAGACAGATTTTCTTCCTCCCACTTGAAAAGTTTTAGTATAATTTTTATACTACTTTTTATAATGCAAATATATATATATATATGAATACACGGGATAATAATTATGAACTCTGGGTGTAATATATATATATATGAATACACAGAATAATTTCAGAACCAAACCAAAACTTATGAATTACGTTCAGTTTTTACTAGATTTCTGGAATATGAAAAAATATAATTTTTTAAAATTACACAACATACATCTACTTCTCTCACAGCTGTCATTCAGCATAGAAATATTTACATCCAAATTAAAAAGTAAATTTCTCATTCGGTTTCCATATTAACTAATAATACTGCACTACTGTTAAACTACACAGCAAATTTCTTCAATAAGTTTGATTCAGAAAATAGTTCTATATTCATCTAAATTCTAAAAGCAAAGCAATGGTTGCTAAAGCAATTATTTGTAAATTATAATTTTGTTACACTTTGAAGTACCTGGGTAAGAGAACGCCAGTCCATATTTGCACTTCCAATATAAAAGTGCTTTTTATCGATGAGGAACATCTTTGTATGCAGAACACCACTTCCAAGCATTTTCTTGAAATCCAAACTCCTCACCTTTGCTGCACCTGTTTCAAGAAAATCATGCAATAACATTATTAAGAAAATAATAGCAAAATTACTGCAAACAAAAACAATTACTGCATTTTAAAAAGCCCTTACTTTTCTAACTTCATTCTTGAAAGGCAAAGCAGAAATAACTATTATACTTCATTAGTTTTACTTTAAAGAAAGATGGTATTTAAGCTGTGATCAACAAGCATACAAAGACCCACACAAAACTGCACAAACACACACACACACAAAAAAAAACATATACAGTCAAAACTCTTTAATACGGATGTCCATAATCCGGAATGATCCATAATCCGGACCTCAAAGTTACAAACTTTCTGCACATGCGTAAATGCAAAATGCGTCTACACATGTGCATAATACATTTACGCATCATAATTGCTCTTTATTTCATAAATTATGGCATATGCATTTATGCATGCACGTTTAATGTATAACGGATGGTATAAGCTAAGCTAAAATTATCTAATTATCTCTTTCAGTTAATGTTGCAGATTGCATTGTACCTTAATCTTCTAATTGGATCCGACTTATTATTTTTTGAAGACTGTTAGAGCAATTTTATAAAAGTAAGCTTGAACTTTCGATTATGTCAAAAAGAATTTCTGATTCTGGAGCTGCTAAAGGACCAACAAAGCGAAAGCATGTTTCAATGTCCATCAAACAAAAAGTGGAATTGCTGCAAAAAACGGATAAAGGCATTTCTTTTGTTTCTCTAACCATTCCAAAATCTGTTTATCAATTTCAGGCTGCTCTGCCGGGGGGGGGACGTCACGGTGCGCAATGAACTGGAAGTTGATCTGTCAGCACTATCTTATCTTCAGGGCAGATGTTTTTATTTATAATTCCTTACTAAATGTAGTATTTCATCTCGATGTACTCTGTCTTTCATATGATTTAAATCAAATTCCTCGTCATTATAAATATCACGAATACACACCAAATAGTTTTCTGGTTGCAATTTTCTAATTTCGACTATGCATAATGTATGCTTTACGCATGCGCGCGTTGAAAGAAATGTTTAATAAAGTAAACAAATAAATATTAAGCTTTTTTTGTAAATTTTGATACCCTTTATATCATAATTGCACTTTATTTCATAAATTACAGTTTCATATTTTTAATTTTATAATTTCTGCATACCATCTTACCAAATTTAGACTGATGATCTATAATCCGGAAAAACCGATAATCCGGAATCGTTGAAGTCCCGACGAGTCCAGATTAAAGACTTTTGACTGCATATATATATATATATACACTCACGTTTGTGAAAATTGCAACACCAAGAAGGAATCGTCATAATTGAATGCAATTTAATACACAGTTGAGTGGTAGTGGTACAAATAAATGATTAAATGTTCAAAGCAAACAAACAAGAACAAGAGATCAGAATCAGTATTTTGTGTGGCCACCACGCGCCGCAATAAGTGCTGCTACACGACGTGGCATGGAGTCAAACAAAGTTTGAATGTCTGACTGAGGAAGAGCATTCCATATCGTTTGTACGCGTACCCAAAGTTCGTCTGCAGACACAACAGGACGAGGATCACGAGCAAGACGCTGACCAATGACATCCCACACATGTTCAATTGGCGACATATCCGGGGAACAACACGCAGGCCAAGGAAGAAGCTGTACCTGCTGCGCTGCAAAGAAGGATTTAACAATCCGAGCAGTATGAGGGCGGGCATTGTCCTGTTGAAATACAGCGCCTGGCAAGCTTTGAAGGAAGGGAACAGCTTCGGGCTGTAGAACTTCACGGATATACCGGTTGCTGTTCAGATTGCCCACAATTCGTAGCAATTGAGATCGTCTATGATATGCTATGGCGCCCCAGACCATAACTCCGGGTGTTCGTCCACTGTGGCGTTCGATAATGCACTCCGGAAGGTGGCGTTCACGGGCATAGCGTCTGACACGAATGCGGCCATCATGGTACCAAAAATTAAAGCGGGATTCGTCAGAAAACACGACATGCTGCCAATCAGCACGCCAGTTTCTATGCTGATTGGCCCATTGTAGCCGCAGGCGGCGATGGTCGTGCATTAGGGGGATCCTGTATAAAGGAGTCCGTGCGCGCAGTCCACACTGCAGCAGACGTCTACGAATTGATGAAGCACACAATGAAACACCTGTAGCTATTGACCACAGTGCTGCCAATTGTCTAGAGGAAGCTGTACGGTCCGTCCGCGCCATGCGGACCAGGTGTCTATCATCGCGAGCTGATGTCACATTTCGGGGTCCACTCCCGGGTTTCCGAGTTGTCCGACACTCGTCCGTCCACTGCTTCCAAACGCGCATCACTGTGCTGCTGTTACGCTGCACACGAGAGGCTACTGCACGATACGACAATCCAGCTTCACGAAGGCCGATGATTCTCCCTCGTTCAAACTCTGTAAGTTGTTCAAATCTCGCTCTCTTTCGTCGACGAGGCATAAGTACAGATTGAGTTAACGTTTACCACTAGCAGATAACCACCGATAACCATACACACCTCGCTACAGCCGTCTATTTATTCAGATCCATCAGCCGTTCAGAGGGCGCTGCTCAGCATACGCATGCGCTACGGATTTGCAATTCTAATCATTTGCATATCATGCGCTACTTTGCATTTCCTGAAAATTTCAGCTCACTCGCGTAAGTCCTTCATGGTGTTGCAATTTTCACAAACGTGAGTGTATGTATGTATAATTACATATATATATATACTGTTGTTGTTATTAAAAAAAAAGGAAATGTTCATGTTCTGAGCTGTTGAATGAGTTCAAGGCTTCAGAATATGCGTAAATATGTTATAAGGTGTAGTCCTCTTAGAGAGCATAGACTATAGACTTTAAAAAGACTATTCAAGAAGCATCTTCTAGCCTTGTGACACAAAACAAAGTCAAAAGAAGAGTGTATAAAACTCTTTTATTCAAACATAAAATTATTAACAATTTTGAAATTTGGGTTAACACAAGCCAAGTACTTCTATTATCACTATTCAATCACAGAAATGTATATAAAGAAGTAAAGAGCAATATTCAAAATTCAGTATCTATTTTGTTCATTTAAACTCCATGACATCACAGATGCAGAGCAATTTTGAGAAATTACACAAGCATCTTTTCTTGTCATAATATTAATCAAAATATAAATCAGATGTAATTAACAGTTTCTGATGATTCAGTTATTGGAAAATTATAAAGGGACTTAACAGTCTTTTTCCTTTTTACTTCCTTGTACAAAGTTAAAAGGAAGTATTGTAATCACGAAAAGTTTCAGGCAGCATATTTCAGCAAAAATATCCATTTTGACCGCTATCGAATGCAATTTAATGATGTTTTTGCATGATATCTGTATGTAAGGACAGAATAAAATACTGTTTTCCTTCAAAACTAAAAAACTGCTAAAAAAACTAAAAAAACTAAAAAGCTGCTTTAAAATTAATTCTGAAGAGAATTTTTCGTGCCGTCTGTACGAACGCATGTACGTACGTATCTCGCATAACTCAAAAACGAGTAGCCTCAGAACGTTGAAATTTTGTATATAGGATTGCTATAACATGTAGATGTGCACCTCGTATTTTGGTTGCAATCGGCCGCACCAAACGTATATAAATATATTTATATATATATCCACTCTGTTACCCGGCTCAGTGATCTCAAGTTTCTTTACTCTTATATGTTTGTAAATTGTACATTTTTTGCTTTAAAAATGATTGAATTATGTTGTTTATATCTTCTGGTTAAGGATTTTATGCCTTTAGTAAATATGTGTGCAATATTTTTAGAATTATCAACAATTTTAAAATTGTTTAAGTGCCGCTAAGCCTAATTTGATGGCGGCCATTGATGTTTACATTTGAAACAGGAGACTAGTGGATTTGTTGCCAATCTAGAGAAACTTAGCTTCGCAACAGCAAAGATAATGCATTCATTTATTATCGCCAATTAAATCGTGCTTAATCCTTTCTTGAATTTTTTCGAGGAAATAAGCGTTTAAGATTTACTTCGTAATTTTTAATACAGATATTTTGAGTTTTTATGTATTTTTGCCTTGTCGCGAAGAGAGAGCTGATTTAATTGAATGAGAAATACTCAATCGTCTGTGAAAAACTGTTTCTTTTGTTTTGTTTGCTTAATTTCTTTTATACATAGTTCTAGTTTTATTATAGTATTTGAATAGAACATGTGGCAACGATTATATAATTCTTTAAATGATATAAATTTTGTGCATTATTAGTTATAATATGAACGAATAACTTATATAATTATTATATAAGTTAACTGTTATATAATTATTAATACTGTTAAGTGAATCTAGTGCCAGAGTGTCGCTATGGTAAACAAAAACTAGAGTGAATTTTAAAGAATGCATTTATTCTATTGTGGTTTATGCGCTGTCGGCGAAGTAGATTTAATTCAATCCAGTAAGTTTAAATGAAATGCAAGAAAAAATGCGTATAATTTAATATTCCAATACAAGGAAGTCATGTGGTGTACACATCAGATTTTTTAAAATTTAATTTTCAGTGTTCAGGCCTTCGGTAACTTGTACTTGAGCTATCATATGCAAATAAAAAGCAGAATAAAAAGAAAAATTAATTTTTGAACAGGAAATGCTCTCTTCAGAAATTAATAGCATATGTATTACCATTTCTTGCCATAAATTACAGCCACAACTACTGTGCTATCAGTCAGCAAATAAAAGTATAAATGCAAAAATATAATTACTTGCAAAAAAGGCGACTGCTACTTTGATGTGAGAAGGAACAGATATTTTGACAATGAATATAAGAAAAATAATTTTCTTATATTTGTTGTCAAAATATCTGTTCTGTATTTATTATTAATTAATTAAGAATAAGATCATAAATTCAGGAATTGTGATTTAAAAAAAGTATGCTAATTTTAATACAGGAAAGCAAGATGGATTCAACATATTTCTAAAAAGAAGCAAATTCATTAAATTGAGACATTAGTTAATAAGGATAGTATAATTTAGGTAAGTTGATTAATAGCGGCAAAACACTTAAAAGTTACTTGATTAAGTAAAGAATACTTTTATAGATGGAATTGGATGAGCTTTAAAATATATACGATATAAATAGTAGGCGGCTATAAAAATTTTAACAAAAGACTAACACGTTTATAAAATATAAATCTTAAATTCTAATTAAATGCCTCAAATTTTTCAGAAACAGAAATAACTATGCATAAAAAACATTTAAACATAAAAAATAAACTTTAAATTTTAAAATATCATAAAGTATCACAAAAATTTCAGAAAATAATGAGTAAATTTATCTATGTGACACAATTTATGCCAGAAACTAAACAACAAAACTTCATGCCATTGTTCTGATGTTAAATATTTGATACTCAGCAATAAATTTATTAAAAACAGACAGAATTTTTCAACAAAACATTTAAGCTTCTATAATGCGTGTGACTTAATATTTTATAATACTTTAGGTAGACATAATTACTATTATAATGCCATGTGACTGAACTTTTTTTTTTTTTTCTTAATGGCAGGCACTTGCCTATAATGGCATTGGTCACTCCTAAAGCCAGAAGAGGTGGCTATTTTATTGTGGAGGTGCCTAATAGGTGGCCACCGTTACCTCATATGAAGAGACAGACAATTTTATATCCATAACTTCACCAGGATTCGAACTTGGGCCCTTTGGTATCACAGTCAGGCTTCCCTAACCACTATACCATCTGGACGGCCCTGTGACTGAAGCTAAACCAGAGACTGTAACTCTCAGGTAGAGAAAGATGACAGTCCACCAGATGTGTGTGTATGGTTATGACACACAAGATATGTTTTCCTTAAAACAAATAAATAAGTGCAGAACAAAGGGCTAACAAATTACCAAGAAATTAATCAAAGGGGCATGTGAGTCACCTAGACATAATAATTCAAAAATTATCATGAATTTGTTTTTATAATCATCTAGATATAATTCAGAAATGTAGCTCTGTTGAAAATTTTTCAACTATTCCTCAAAAAGGACCAAAGAACTATTTGTTGTATTATATTTTATCGAGTTGTTTTTGTTTTGATTTTTGTTCTTCCTGTTAGCTTGTTAGCAACCACTTTTATTTAATTATTATTTCTCAATTATATATATATACAAACTGCACAGAGTAAATTTAAAACACAAAAGTTTTTAGGACATTCAAAAGTTATATAATCAAGTGCTAATGCAGCTTCAATTAAATCTCAAGTGATATAAATAAATCTACTGCTTCCATAGATTAAAGAAAAGTTTTGTAATTATTAAAATACATAAAAAATAACAAAACTTTTTACGTATTTTAAGAATTACAAAATTTTTCATTGGTCTTGGGAAGTTGCAGATTTATTTATGCAATTTAATTATGCATAGAGACAGACATACATACACACATATATATTGTGTTTACACCACATATACACTTTTACCCCAAATTCATGATGGTTTTGGGTTCTGAGTAATATTTTAAATTTTGAAGTTACGTTTATTTCAGCTTCACTACTTCCTTTGTTTTAACTGTTTTATTAAAAATTTGCTTTTCAATTCAATTGTTTGAAATAATAATAATAAAAAAAAAGAATATTTTCAATTTATTACTTTTTCTTTTGTAGTTTCATCCAGATGTATATCAGAAATGTAGCTCTATTTATACTGCCTTTAGCTGTTGTTTGAAAAGTCAACAAATTGTTAAATTTATTTATTTATTTTATAACTTTACTTTTGTATTAATTTATTTTTGCTTTAGATTTGAATTTCAAATTCAAGCAGATAACTTTTTGACTGTTTTCTCATAACCCAGATAATCTGATCAAATCAAAACCTCTTTTCATCAACATTTTGTTCCTTCAATAAAAACCACATTCAAGCATCATTATTTTACAGCATAATACCAATAAGGGCTAATTAACTAGTTCAAGTGCAATTCCAACCCTTTAGGTGTTACATGAAAGCTAACTGAGTGAGTTTCCCCAACCACTGTTTGCTGACAACAAACACAAGTATTCAACTTAAGCTCGTTTTACCTCACCAACTGTGTGTTCAAACAAAGTTAGCAGCAGCCTAGCATCATTGGTGAAACAAAAAAATCCTTTAAAGGCCTTTGAAATTTACAAAGCTAACTATGTCTAAAAGAGGCTAGAACTATGGTTAGACAACTAACAGCTACTCATAATTCTCATCTTACCAGTTGAGTAAGCCTTGAGCTTCTAGTTTTACATGAGGCAGCAGCTATTCACAAAGTGACAAGCTGGACCAACACGCAGTCAACATTAATTCGGACTCTCGTATGATTACGGTCTATTTCTTTAATTTTAATTTGTTTTCTTTAATTTGTTTGCCACTCAAATCTGCATAATATCTGGAACTTGTGACCCATTACAAAATGAGGCAATACGAAAAATGTAAATTAAGATCAAACTTGTTAGTGAAACTCAAATATAATGCCACAGCAGAACTGAAACATGCCAGTTTAAAATCATGCAAAATTCCACCTCATTATATCCTTAAATTAATGCTACTATTCATGAAGTAAGAATATTTTTTCTGCAGAAATTGATGATGAAATACCTTCTAGACAGAACGAATCTAAAAGATGTGAGCTATCTTACTAATATTTTAAAGATATATATATATAAAGTGAAATGTGCATATACAGACTACCAATAAGTATTTGGACACCTATGCAAATGATGGTATCTGCGGTCCTAAGGTACGTCACGGACTCCGGTATATATCGTGTAGGAAACAGCATCGGCTTTAGTCGCATGCAGGATGCCTTGCAGTTCGGAACTCTCTGATTTCGAGAAAGGTATAATTATCGGGTATCACAAATGTGGCCGATCCTTAAGGGACATTTCTAGCGATCTGAAGTACCCCAAATCTACAGTAGCGTATGTGATTAAGAAGTGGAAGGTGAGCGGTGATTGTCGGAATGTGCCCCGAGACGGCAGACCAACAAAACTGGAGATAGAGACAGATGACTGCTGTCCAGAGAAATTCGGAAGAACCGCACCCAACCGATGGCCCTCACCCGCGAGGAGTTTCAACAGACATCCGGGAGTATTGTTTCAATGAATACCATCCGTAAGGAAGCACATCTGCTTGGTTTTTCATGGTCGTGCTGCTGCCCATAAGCCTTGATCACAAAGTCCAACTGCGCTGCTCGGTTAATGTGGTGCAAAGCACATCGAAATTGGACCGTAGATCAGTGGAAACGGGTTTTTTGGAGTGACGAATCAAGTTTCACCCTTTACCGTTCGGATGGCAGGGTCTGGGTCTGGCGTCTACCTGGAGAACGTCTCCTGCCAGAATGCATTGCGCCAACAGTCAAATTCGGCGGAGGTGGAATTATGGTATGGGGGTGTTTCTCCTGGTATAGGCTGGGACCCTTGGTCCCCATTCATAGTAGGCTCAACTCCAATGCCTACTGCACTATTTTGGATGACAATGTGCTTCCTACATTGTGGCAGTTTTACGGGTTGGACCCCTGTTACTTTCAAGACGACAATGCCAGTTGTCATGTTTCGACGTTAACCAAGGCTTGGTATGGTGCCAATGGAGTTCATCGAATGGACCGGCCTGCCCAGAGTCCAGACTTGAACCCTATCGAGAACCTCTGTGACAAGTTGCATCGCCGAATTCAGGGGTGCACTACCCGTGCAAAATCGGTGAAGGAACTTCTATGTCTTCTCCAAGCCGAGTGGAAGAAAATACCACTAGCTGTCATACAAAGACTTGTGGAAAGTATGCCCTGGAGGATCCACGCTGGAATTACCTCTCGTGGAGGCTCTACCAATTATTGATTTTGAATAAAGTTAGTTTTTCTTTTATATCACAGGTGTCCAAATACTTATTGGTAGTCAGTGTATATATTACTTGGTAAAGATGAAAGTATGATATATATATGTAAAATATAAAAAATATGATGACTTTGTTCTGTGCAAATAGGCAACCTATAATTAACTTTCTGCAATTTTAGGAGCTTCCCCTATACCATTACTTTCAAGAACATTCTGGCATGTTATATAACCGCTGGTATATATAAAGAGTTCCCGCCATTTTTCGTCAGACTTCTACTGCTGCTACCAGACTTTTGTTGCCATTCTTCCCATCTTGCCTTTGTTAGAATAGTCATAATGCAGTAAATTTAAAGTTAATCCTATTTGTTTAAATAATTATTGATTATGTAATTTGGATAAACTCATCTAAAGGAAATATGATCTGCAGTGAGAATTTAATAAACATGTGGGACCTTAAAAGCTAGAGTCTTCTTTGTCATTCCTGTGCCTGCCAACCAAAATATTACATAAAGACACACACACACACACACATCATACTTTTATTTTTCACTCAAGATGCATATGCTTTATAAAATAAAATAAAAAGCAAGTAGTTAAAGTGTGAAGCAAATGAAATTTAATTTTTCATTTCTGGGACATATTTTAACATAGTTTTAAATAAACAATTTTAGAAGGAAAAAATTTTACTTACAGTTAAAAAACAACTATCTTTGCATTATCTTAAACAAATGTTTACCTTTAACTTCTAGTTCTTTAGTATCATAGTCAGGCATAGATTCCGTTGGATCACTTTGTATGATTCTGATACGTATTCCACGTTCAGTACCAGCCTTCATTAGATCACTAAATATTTTGTCACCCTAAAAACACAAATAAACTTAACAAAAAAAATTAAAAAATAGTATTATGAATATACTTCTAACATACTATCTCAATATATAAATGATTAGGTTAGGTGAAATTATGGTAAATAAACTGAAACATAATGAACAAGAGCAATCAATAACTAAAATAAACTAAATAAAATACTACTGGAATCTTTAAAAAAGTAAAAGCAAAGGGAAATGGTTTCAGTTTAGCACGTGTTATACAAAATAAATTTACACATTTCAAACTATGATTTTGGTTTAACTTCATGAAATTGAGAAAAAAGAGAAATGCCAAAAGCATTCTTATTCATTTTCTTACAAATCTTATATGAATTATACAGATATCGTCAAACTAACGCAATTAAATTTTTTATTAATTCAATAATCAACTATATGATAGTTAACATGAAAAAGAAAAAGTATACATTCAGAAGTCGTTAATTCAGACACCCATAATCCTGAATGATCTATAATCCAGACCTCAAAGCTACAAACTTTTCTGTGCATGCGTCGCGTTGACGCACGAGCGTAAGACCTTTACGGTTGCAAATATGCGTGTGCGCATGTGTATAATATGTTTACGCATGCACGCTTAATGTATAACGGATGGTATAAGCTAAGCTAAGATTATCTAATTCAGTTAATGTTGCAGATTGCGTTGTTCCTTAATCTTCGAATTGGATCCGGCTTATTATTTTTTGCAGACTGTTAGAGCAATTTTATAAAAGTAAGCTTGAACTTTCGATTATGTCAAATAGAATTTCCGATATATATTTACTAATATGTAAAGGATCTACAAAGCAAAAGTATGTTTCGAAGTCCATTAAACAAAAAGTGGAATTGCTGTAAAAAATGGATAAAGGCATAATCCTTTGTTTATCTAACCATTTCGAAATCTGTTTATCAATTTCACCCTGCTCTGCTGCGGAGGGGGAGGGGGGACGCCGCGGCACGCAATGAATTGGAAGTTGATCTGTCAGCACTATCCTTATCTTCAGGGCAGATGTTTTAATTTTATTTGGCTTATAATTCCTTACTAAATTGTAGTATTTCATCTCGATGTACTCCGTTTTTGATATGATTTAAATCAAATTCCTCGTCATTATAATTCGCTTCCAATAGTGAAGAAAGTGACACAGAGGTTATTGAAAACGAAAAAATTCCGATTGACAAATTAGTCGGTATTCTCGACACAGCAATTATATGACTTCAACAGCGGAACTTTGTAACTGAAGAAGAAATTATGTCTGTTTATAGAATTAAAGAGAAAGTATTACCACATAAAATGCAACTTAATATTTAGCAACTTAAACAACTTACAATTACAATATTTAGCAACTTAAACAACTTACATTGAAAGAAATGTTTAATAAAGTAAACAAATAATATTAAGATTTTTTTTGTAAATTTTTGATACCCTTTAGATCATAATGTTCTTTATTTCATAATTACGGTTCATATTTTTAAATTGATAATTTCTGCATGCCATCTTACCAGATTAAACTGATGATCTATAATCCGGAAAAACGATAATCAGGAATCGCCGAAGTCCCGACGAGTCCGGATTAACGACTTTTGACTGTACAAGGATTTTTATTAGTCCAGCTAGTATACTTTCATAAAAATATTGAACATTTCTAATTCAACATCTCATTTTAATACAAGTTTATTTAAATCAATCATATTAAAAAGTAGAAAAAATATTCTTAAGGACTGTGTTTATTGCTTTCAAAAGACTTAATTTAGTATTTGATAAAGCTTTCACATTAAATTTGAAAGTATTTTGGGCTCTCCCGAATAGAGACATGCTGGCACATGGAAAATAAAAGTATTTTATTTTCACCTGAGGCAACACACTGTTTTCATACAGCTGAATTTGTTAATTAAAATTGAAAGATACAAATGTTTTATTTCAAACAGTGTTGCCACTGCTCATCTTTAAATAGTTGAGTTTGTTAATCAAAAATTCTGTGAAGTCTTATAAAATATGGAATTAATAATAAAACAAATTTAAAATTCAAAATTTAGGCTTCCAGGTGCACATATTTGGGTGGAGGACTACATTATTCAAAATTTTAATTACTTTTTGTTTTTTTGTAATGCAAGGAACATATATATATAATTTATAATAAGAAAACTTTCCATATACCATCTCCAGGAACACTGTTATTTTTATCTTTAAATTTCTAATTAACTTTTGTTTTAAACTTTAATTTTAAGATTTTATCATTTTTGATCTTCTTATTTTGAATTAAATTTAATATTCTAATATGTTTACTTTTGTTTTTGAGTTTAAAAATGAGAGATTCGTTCAGATTAATTGTGTTCTTAATGATAAACATTAATTTTAAGATAGTTTGCTATTTTGTTTAACAAGATTCTTTTGGCTTAAATGGACTAATGTCTTTATTAGGATTGAGTTTTAACTGTGACTTACGGTTTGGATCTAGCAAATAATTTGATGCTTACTTGGAAGTAAGATGAAACACTCTCTTAATTTAGTTGTTTTTAATTAATGGTAGATTGGATTATGCCCTTGATACGTCGATTAATCTGTGATCAAAGACAAAGGCTACTTTTTCAATAATTAAAATCTTCTTTTGGTTTTGGTATTTTTGAGATTCAAGATTTTTGTTAAAGACTCTTCTTAGCAGATTTTTTTAAACAGATTGAAATTTCTATTTAAAATACTAATTTAAATTCTGACTAAAAATTGTTTTCATTCATGGTTTTAAGTTGAATTTGTGTTCCTTGGAGATGGTATATGGAAAGTTTTCTTATTATAGTACAAAGTCCGTAATTCGGACTCGTCGGGACTTCGGCGATTCCGGATTATAGATCATCAATTTAAATCTGCTGAGATGGCATGCAGAAATTATACAATTAAAAATATGAAATTGTAATTTATGAAATAAAGAGCAATTATGACCTAAAGGGTATCAAAATTTGAAAAAAAAAAAAAAAAAAAGCTTAATATTTATTTGTTTACTTTATTAAAAGTTGTTTAAATTGCTTCATTTTTTGTGCTAATCACGCATGCGTAAACATTAAACGTGCATGTGTAACATTAAACACATTACGCACATGCGTTAAAAAAAAGTTTGTGGCTTTGAGGTCTGGATTATAGATCATTCCGGATAATTGATGTCCGGATTACAGACTTTGTACTGTATAAATTATTATGGATTATTGGTTTATTAATTTGTAGCTTTAGCGTGGAGTTCCAAATGATGTAACCATATTAAAATATAAGCCATCAAAGATATCAAATGAGGTAAAACTTATGGCTATCAATATTTATGTTCGTAATGAAAATAAACAATTTCTGCCATTGCATTTAAAATGAGTATTAAACTTGCACAAATCTTGAAAAGATTTCAAATTAAAATATAATATTATTTAGTACACATATATTTTACTTCAAAACTAATAAAATGGATATACAAATTAATTATCTTACTTGCCAAGATGAAGGGTCTGGATCTACAGGTTGAACATCTTCACCTTTTAAAGTTGAATAAAATGTTGCTATATCTATCGATCTCTCTGATAATCCAATAAGTTGTGACCAGCTCTCGAATACTGACATGTGAGTTGGTTCCCCTTCGGCAAATGTTAAATTCTCGGGTATGCTTTCTACTAACTGAATGCTGCAACAAAACAATACATTTTTTTCAGGTTTATTACGTATGTTCTTAAAGTGTTTGGAGATATTGCATACTAATATATTTTAAACACAATCACAATTATGCACAATAATAAGGTTAACTAACCTTGTCATCTAGTAATTAAATGAACAAACGTGGCATATAATGCAAGTTATTGTATAAGGTATTTCTCATGCCTTCTTAGCATGCCTTCGCAGTGTAATGGTCAGCACACTCAGCATGTATTCGATAGGTCCAAGGTTCGAGTCCTGGCGAGGGTAGTGCTAATTTCACGTTTCTTGTTTCAAAATAATCTAATGGCTCTACAGTTGCACCTGAACTAAAAAAAGGTGTTGGATGATGATTTTCCACCATCACAATTTGGCGAATGGGTTCCCTAATTCCCAGTCGCTCTTTAAAAAGGGGGAGTATAAGGTATTTCTCCCGTCTTGGTGGTGTAATGGTCAGCACACTCGGTGCATATTCAAGAGGTCCGAGGTTCGAGTGCTGGTAAGGACACTGCTCATTTCTCATATCTCTTGCTTAAAAATAATCTAATGTCTCCACAACTGAAATGTTTAAATTTTATATCTTCCCCACTATTTTAAAATTTTGATTTCAACTACCAGAGAATATATTATCACAAAAATATTACAAATTAGAAAATTAATCAGCATTAAATTAACAGTCAGTTTTGCATATTTATTAATTATTTAATTAAAGTTTTGCTTTAAACTCTTCTACTAAATTCAGTTTATAAGCCTTTTTCCCTTCATCCCCTAAACTGAAGAAAACATAAAGAGCAAAACTGATGTACTGAGAGATCAGAATAAAAAAATTCTCATTGGTTATATACGTTACAAAAAACTAGAGATATGAGGCAAATAGGAGTTACCAAAATGTTACCAGAGATGTTTCGTAGCCAGAAAAATTATAACCAAGAAAATGATGGATGAGATAATTGATAAGTGCCTGTTTATAGACTTTGCTTTATTGGATCATCTGATCCAACCACTCTTATTATTCAGATAATATTTAAATTTCAAATAAATATCAACTCACCTGCATGGACTGGAACAATTTTTGAAAACTGGATCATAATCACCAAGTGTCATAACTTCAACTGATTTGACTTCATCCTGGCCTATGAGGGGCAGGAGGACAACTAGAATGATGAGTACCAAAATGATTGTAATCGGTATGCAAGAGGGTTTCAGCCATCCTTTCCATTTTTTCTCCTCAGTTTCACCTTTTAGCATGTAGCGAGAGTCAAAAAGCTGTAGTTCAAATTCTCCAACGTCAAGCTTACCACTTCGTTCAACTACAGTCTAGAAAGAAGAAATTAATAACCTATGAGCATAATATATACAAATAATATGACATATTATTACAGTGGATGTTCACACATTTTTGTAACAACTTTGCAAAGATTTATATATAAACAAGCCTTGGAGTTTTATATTCTAATATGTCCAGTCTGATAGCCATTTTATGGAACTATAATATCACTTCTTGATTTCCAAGATAAAATTCCTTTTCTTAAAACATAAGGGTTGATTTTATTCTACTCCTTCATCACAATCTTCCAGAGTCCATCTAATGTTTTGAGATGCCACTTATAAAGAGTACAGTTTTAAAAATCCAGATGTACAATAATCCACCGGAGACACATCTGGGGACTTAGATGGGATGCATTTAAAGGGAATAGCTTCCGGTTTCATTTCTCATTTTTTCAAAAAACAGAGCAGTAGATTTAGAGGTATGGCTTAGGGCTTATGTCAAACTCGCGGCCCACAACAAATATTTTTGTGGCCCAGCCAATATATCGGCATGAATGAAAAAAATGAAATGTTTACTGCTAAGTAATTAACGATAATTTATTCAGTGTTGTTAGATTACTCACAGTGAGCTGACACACACACACTACTTAAATTACAAATGCGTGTGAGTAGCATGCGTTCAGCTACCTTCGGCTTTTGGGGGACACGTGCACTCAGAACTTGTACGCAGCCCCTGATAGCCGAATGTGGCCGAACTCATGGTCTCAGTTTTCCAATCATAGTTTTGTACAATATATGGGTGCATCACTTTGCTTTATTATTATTATTTAATTCATATTGTTACGGATTTCATAGTTATTTATTAGTTAGTTTTTTTATTTAGAATTGTAATTAGATTTGCTTCCTGTTGCCTTAGCAACGCAAACGATTTTTGAAAAGACAGCTGCGTTGGAAAGGTAAAATAGAAACGCGCGTGCATTAATACCTAATAAATAAATAAATATCTCGTAATTGCTGTTGCCATCCACAAAATCCAGATATTATAGATGTTTCCAGTATATTCGAGAAATTAATTATAAAGCTTATAAAAGCCGAGAACAACAACTCATCTCAGTAGTAGCTGTAGTTCTAGCGAACTGTTTGTTTACTTAATGCTGTGATTGATTTGTAGCGATTTCGCTGTGAGATAGAATTAGTTTTCTCTGTTTTTGAATTGATTTTGCTAAATTTGACATTTTGATATTGTTAGAATATTTTTGAAGAAATAGTTCAGCATTTTGATTTATCTCTTGTGGAAAGAATAAATTTTTGTTAACTTTTTTAACGTTAACCGTGTTTTCCAGCCCTTTGTATCAGTATGTCTATATCAAAAAACCAAGTGGTAGTAAAAAAACGAAAAAATCGCTGACGAACATAGAATTTCCAATAAAAGGGAATTAGAATTTTTTGCTGTGAAATAAAAGATAAAATAATCTGCTTGATATGTAATAATACTATTAATGTACCAAAGTTTATATAATATTAAACGTCATTACGAACAACACAAATCGAAATATAACAATTATGAAAGATTAATGAGAGCTCAAATTAGGAGTGAAAAAGCAACAGTCCATGTTTAGTAAAGTATTGCAAGAAAATGAAGCGGCAGTACATGCAAGCTACGTCTTGTCCGAGTTGATAGCTAAACATTCGAAGCCTTTCACTGACGGTGATTTCATCAAGGAATGCCTATTGAAAGCTGTAGAAATTGTTTGTCCTGGAAATGTGAAGGCTTTTCAATCAATTTCACTGTCTCGAAATACAGTTGCGGAAAGAGTTACTGATTTAGCCGCAAATTTAAGTGATCAGATTAAAGCAAAATCATCTAGTTTCGAAAGTTTTTCCATTGCCTGTGACGAGACCACGGACATTAGTGGCAAAGCTCAATTAGCAGCGTTTCTTCGTTCTTGTGACAAGAATTTTAACATTTTTGAGGAATTACTGGAACTAATACCGGCCTGGTACTACCACAGGAGAAGAATTTTACTTGTGTTTTTGGACTTCTGCAGAAATACAATCTACCTTTGGCAAAATTAAATTTGTAGCTACCGATGGCGCTCCATCAATGACCGCAAAAACCAAGGGCTTTCGTAGCATTACTAAGAGAAAAACTTAAAGAAATTCATGGTTCAAACATTCATCATATGCATTGTATTATACATCAAGAAGTTCTAAGCACGAAAGTAATAAATATGGAGAATGTTTTTGTCATATATAAAAAAGTTATAAATTTTATAAGATCTCGAGGTTTAAATCAGCGTCAATTCACTGCTTTCTAAGTGAGTTAGATAGTGAATATTCGGGTTTGTCCTACTATACCGAGGTACGTTGGTTATCTGCTCCAAGATTCTCAAACAATTCTGGGATTTGAAAGAGAATATATCAGTTTTAAAAACGAAAAATCAAGACGTAGTTTGTTTTACGATCCAAATAGATACAAGATTTATCTTTCTTGGTTGATATAACCAAACACTTAACCAATTTAAATTTATCATTATAAGGAAAAGATCATATCATTACGAACCTGTTTGACATAATTAAAGCATTCAAATGTCAACTAGTCCTTTGGGAAAACCAACTTAAAAATGAAGATTTGACACACTTCCCGACGTGCAGCATGAACAAATCAAGTTTAGATCATACTTGTTTGTATCAAAAATAATACGCAGAAAAAATTGCAAATTTAACAATGAATTTGAAACAGGTTTAATGATTTAGTTCCCTCGAAGACAAATTTTTTTTGTTTTCTTCGATTTTCTCAATAATTATGACTCAGTACCCAGCCATATGCAAAGGAGGTGATCGAGATTCAATTCAACTCAAATTTGAAAGCAAATTCATGAAGTGGCGTGCCTGAATTTTACAAATATTTACCAGCCAGGTTTGAAAATACTCGAAATTCGCATATGAAATAATTTCCATGTTTGGTAGCACATATCGGTGCAAGCAGTTATTTTCAGTCATGAAAAGTAATAAGTCTCCTATTAGAAACCGTATTAATGATGCTCACCTTGGGTCAGTGTTGAAAGTTATCACTGCAAACAAAATTTCTCACAAAATAGGAAAGATAATAGCAGAGAAGAGATGTCAAGTATCAGGAAGTAAACATTAAATTTTTATTGTTCTTTTCTATATAAATATATATACAGTCAAAAGTCGTTAATTCGGACACCCATAATCCAGAATGATCTATAATCCGGACCTCAAAGCTAAAAACTTTCTGCGCATGCGCCATGTTGACACATGCGCATAGGTGTTTACGCGTGCACATAAGACCTTCACGACTGCGCATATGCGTGTGCGCAAGCGCAGAATACGTTTTCGCATGCGCGTTTAATATATAACGGACGGTATAAGCTAAAATTATCTATTTCAGTTAATGTTGGTGATTGCGTTGTTCCTTAATCTTCAAACTGGATGTGGCTTATTATTTTTTGGAGACTGTAAGAGCAATGTTATAAAAGTAAACTTGAACTTTCGATTATGTCAAATAGAATTTCCGATGTTGGAGCTCCCAAAGGATCTACAAAACAAAAGTATGTTTCGATGTCCATCAAACAAAAAGTGAATTGCTGCAAAAAATGGATAAAGACATGAAGAAGGTGATAGAGAGGTTAGTGAAAACGAAAAAATTTCGATTGACAAGTTAGTCGGTATTCTCGACACAGCAATAATAGGACTTGAACGCGGAACTTTGTAAGTGAACAAGAAATTATGTCTGTTTATAGAATTAAAGAGAAAGTATTATCACATAAAACGAAACAACTTAAACAACTTACATTGAAAGAAATGCTTAATAAAGTAAACAAATAAATATTAAGCTTTTTTTTTTTCTTCCTTTTTTGTAAATTTTGATACCCTTTAGATCATAATTGTTCTTTATTTCATAAATTACGGTTTCATATTTTTAATTTTAGAATTTCTGCATGCCATTTTACGCGATTTAAACTGATGATCTATAATCCGGAATTGCTGAAGTCCCGAAGAGTACGGATTAACGACTTTTGACTGTATATGTTTATTATTGTATTATTCGAAATAAATCTACGTTTCTATGAATATTGATTTCTTTTTTTTGCGGCCCGCCTAAAGTTAAACCTTGTTTGTTTGGCCCAAGTGTACCTATGAGTTTGACATCCCTGGCTTAGAGCCTTATCCCGATGGAATTTAACACAGTAAAGTTGATTTTGATAAAGAGATGGAATTTCTTTTTCAAAAACCGGCATTAAAAACCTACTTCTGATAATAATCTGAATTAATCTTGACATTTTTTCTACTTTCATTTTAAGTTTTCCGTTATGAGAGAATCCATTAATAATCATAAAACCTTTAGAAAAACTTTCTCTGTTTTCTCTGAACCAACATATTGAGTTTTTTCCTCCTCTTTTTCGGTAATAAACAGATTTTTTTCTATTGCAAACAGATAAATATATCCAAGCCTCATCAGTTGTAACCATGTATTTCCATTTTTCACCTGCCTAATAATTTTCATACTGTAATCTGCAAATAGTCTTATGCCAAGAAACATGTTTCAGCAAACCCTAAGCAATGAACATCATATTTTTTTGTTTGGATTAGCTTTAAATCAGATTTATTAATTTTGTTCACAGTTCCTACATGGATAGTTAAAGATTTTGCAATAGCTCTTTGAGGGGCTGGATTTTCCTTTAAAACATGAGATGCAAATTTAGATTTAATTGGGGCCATATGTACCTTTGTTGGGTATGCATTTTTTGCCTTTTTCCCAGTCAGATGAAAACTTTGAAGTTTCCTTCCATTCATAGTAATTATGTCACTTATTTTATGTGTAGAAATGTTAAAACCAAGCTTTTTACATCTTTTTCTTTTTTAATAACTGAATAAGATTATTTCTCTTCGGACAGCCCAAAAATATAGCCTTCGATCCATTGTTTATTTTTCCATGACATTTTAAAGAAAACAATATTTTTAATGCTGCAGATGATAATTAAACCTTATTCCAATTTGATGCCTCCCATGTTTGTATTTTAAAATTAATATTTAAATTCATTGAGAAAATCAAAATCATTACAAAAATGTATGTGCATCCTCTGTAGTAATTATTATCAATATTTTGACAAAGCATTTTTTTAAAGTTTTCATTTAACAGGGTATAATATGAAAATACCCTGATTAACAATACATCAGAATATAAAAGGTCACACACAACAACAAACAAATTACTATACTTTACAGTATTCCTTGTATATCATAAATTGTCTAAAAAATTATACTATTATTATAACTTATTGACTATCTTAAAATAATCTTTAGCATCTTTTCTTTTTTTCATGAATATCTAATTTTAACACAACAGATCTATGTTTTATAAACAATAACATTCGTACTGAAAGATTTCTTTGATTTTAAATGTATCTCCATTTACAACTTTTAAATTTTATGAACTTTTATTGTCAGTACAAGTAAGAGAGTCCACTAAATATATTACATTTTTTACACTTTAGAATTAAATTTGACCCTTTTTTCAGATTGTGCACAATAAATATTCACCCCCTACAGAATCTACAGAATTACACAAATTGTTAAAATACTGAAATTCCCCACTGTATAAATTGGAGACAGGGGAAACAAAAACTGATTTAAATATTTGAAAATAAAATAAAGGTAAATGTGGGAGGGGGGAGATGAATTAAAAAAATATCACACAAATCATTATTTAATGAATCACCTAGAGCTGGATATAAAATTTTTTAAATCAAGATTTTTTTTTAAATCAAATAACATAAATAGAGATACAAATATAAAATGCAACATGGAAACTGACAACTTAATTAGGTCTGAAGATCTAATTAAGTTGTAATTAAGAAGATCTAATTAAGTTAGAAGAGTGAAAAATAAAAGCTATTTTATAATAAAAGTGTAACAAAATAATTATCTGTTATCAAAGTCTTCATTTGTTTCAAAGCATCTCTTGGAGAATTTTTAGAATTAATTTATTATTTTCCATTCTCACAGTAAATCTTGGTTCTACAGCTTGCTTGAATATCTTCGGCTCAGGCAAACTCGAGAAAGTTCGCAGATTGGGTCCCCACGTTTGATCGCTAACCCGGCATAATAAAGATTTTCGAGTCCTTGATTGTTGCGAAAAAATTTAAATAAACATAACAGAATTAAATGTCCACGGGTAGTCAAAGTCTGCAGTACGGGTAATCACGTGACGGCGAACCAAACGACACACACCTGCGGTGCAGGCCTAAGACTAAGTACTATATTAAGTGACAAGGCCTAAGTATATTAAGTGTATTATTTTATTTTAATGCACCATTTTTTTTTTTTTAAAAAAAAATTCAATTCATTCTTCCTGAAGATTAGCTTTACAGCAAATATATACATTGCAATGTATTTCTGTTATAAACTTTATAAAAAATAATTTAGGCTTTACAAATCATGGACATGAATAATTTAATTTTTAATATACGATATAAAAAAAGTTCTCTCGAAATTATAATTAAAAATCTTTTACAGTTATTATAAAACAATTTGGGAGCCATAAAACAGGGTTTCTTAAACTGTGGGTCATGACCCCAATCTGCAGCAGGGGGTCACCAAAAATTTTAGCAGTTTTAATATTTCTTTAACTTATAATAATTTTACAATTACCAAATATTTTTACACAATGTATCTGAAAATAGATAAAGACAATACAAGACAAAGAAAGAAACGAAAATGTTTCGAAGCATTCTTTTTATAATATAAATGTTCATTTTCCTTGTTTTGCACGTGATGCTGTCATTTCATCTGTTACTTATTTAAAATTTTCCCATTGTACTATGTCTTAAAATTAGAAATTAAAGTGAATGTAAACAAAACTGCAATAGTATACTATAGTACAAGTGAAAAAATTTAAGATTTCACTCATGCGTGTGTTGGATTTGTGCAATGCTTATGGGGCGCCACAAAATTTTTGTAAATATTATGGGGTCTTGGGGGTCGCGAAAAAATCTCAGTGTTAAAAAGAGAGAGCGATTGAAAAAAGTTTAAGAAACCCTGTTATAAAACATAACCTATCAGTTAACATATCAAAAGCAGGAAGGATTTTTAAATAAGATTTATCCTACCAGAAAAACATAAAATGAAATACAAATTAATTTAGTAAATGAATCTAATGCTACCATTTCATAACTACTTTCACTTAAAAATTATGGTTTGGTTAGTTTGGTTTATTAGATTATGGCAAAGCACTCGAGCGTTATCTGCCTTAAGGGAGGGATGCCTTCGTCAAGGACTTTTTAAGGGAAACTGGCTTGTATACACGTTATACATGGGAAAAACCATGAAAATGCCCATGCAGCCAGCCCGTTCAGGGAATTCGAACCTCGGACCGAACTACCAGTGTTCAGCGACGTTACCGCTCAGCCGCTGGTGGGCTCCACTTAAAAATTATACTATGCATACAAAGTATATACTATATTTACATTTTTAAACATTATTTTATTGCCATGAATGGTAAATTTTGTAGTGGCCTTTCTTTATAAAAATTTAATTTTTTTCAATAATACCTTCCTTTCTTGGAATTTATTGTTATATATGAGACCAAACTGTACACAATTTATAATAACATAAAAGCAATTAACAAACATATCTCTATATACATACTTCTCTCTATATTTATACATAAATATTTAATATTAAATTTCATTGTAATAAAAATGAACTCAATTATAATATTTTTAGTGCATTATTTGAAACAATAGTAATTTGATAATTTAAAAATATAAAAGACTGGCAAACGGGGCATTCTGCCCTATTGTAGATCTTTTACATTCTCTTTAAAATAATTTAATGTTCAATATTCTGAACTGATTTGAATCAAGCTAACAGAAGATTATATAGGATGAATCTCACAGCCATACATTAGTTTTTTTTCTTTATTATTTTATTTTAAAATTTCCTTTTAAAATGTAGATAATTTTTATACTCTGAATTTCGACGAAAAAAAGTTGTCAAATTAAAAAAAAAAAAAAAGTGGAAAGCAAAATATTAAAAAGAATTAAATAAATTAGTTAACAACGACAACAATCACTTTAAAAGGCAATTTAGAAATAAGAAACAATTTAAGTAATCCTATTCATAAACACTGGATTTCATACACAACATTTTAAAACTCACGTGCTCTTAATAAATTCAGCGAATTCGGGGGAAGCGTGCATCAGCCATGTGATTATTCATTACTAACATATAGAAACAAAAAAACATAATAGCTAAATAACAGACAATTTTTCTTATGATTGAAAACAAACCTTTCAGTTACTTTACAGCGTAAAATGAGACGTTTGCGTTGCTGTCAAAACAAAAACAAAACTATTCAACATCTGTTACCATTGTAAACATTACGTCTCGAAAAATTTATTTCCCGCCAAGCTTCATTTCCTGGCGAGCAGATGAGTAGCATAATGATCGCCAGTACGGCGATCACCTTTTCTCGACAGGCAACAGTCCCCATTACTAAATCGGGCAAGAAAGTATAGTAAACCTCGCTTCGAAGTATCGAAAAATCTAAGGATCGTTGATTCTTTGGGACGGTTATTTGTTAGTATGCATTTTGCAAAATAGCTTAGAATAAGATTAGAAAATAACCTACAGTTTAAAAACGTTAGATTACAGTCTAACACTTCAAGAAGGTTTAACCAGACAAACTTTTAAATAATAATAAAAAGATTATTTAAAAAAAAAAAACATGCAAATATTTCGCTTTTATTCTTAAGCTTATCTACTACTAGCAACTCATAAAATTAAATTTTTATTGTTGAATAAAATTTAAACTCAATTTAGATCGAAATAATAAATTTATTCCATCCTCCTTGCAGGATGTGAAATTTGTCTAAATATAACATCTTCTTTGAAAAGGTTAAAAATTAAATTTGAAAGAGAGCGAGAGAGTTAAGATTTAATAAAAGAGCTTTTATTTGGTTTTGTTGCTCATGAATAATTAAATAATTTTTAGAAAATATCATATCATTTTCCTTTTTCCATCTTCCGTGTTAGGACTTGTTAAATTGATTCTAAGAATAATAAATAAGATATTATTCAATTTTTAAATGGAAGGTAAGTTGTAGTAGATGAAATTTCATTTACAAAACTTAAATTTACAAAAGTTACACGTACTAGGATATAACTAAATACTATGACAGTGGCCAATTTCACAGGAAAAATCTGACAGCGCAAATGGCACCACACACATTGAAAAACAGTCGGACCCGTTACAACGAACTTCAAGGAACCGAAATTTTGGTTCGTATATCCGATCTGATGAGAAAAAATGGATCGTCTCAAAATATCGTAGAAATCGATTTATAAATTTCACACGAATAGAAAATGTGAGTATAGAAAATCATTTAGGGTTCATTACCATTATTTTTACGTACAATTACTAAATTTCTTTTTCTTTCCTTTTTGTTGTTATTGTTGTTTGTTTCACCGTACGTTAATAATTTGACACAAGAAAGAAGGTACAATAAGGTACAGAAAAACTGCTAAAGACGAACAATTTCCATTTCACGATACATGAATCAACTGTTTAATCTCAAGTTCATAAGATTCTATTCACTGCTTCCTAGCAAAAAATTTTTAATTCCCATCATGGCATCAACCTAGAGCCGACCACTGACTAATAGCTCAGTAATTTAAAAGAACTTGGATGCAATCAAACCGTTTCATATTCTTTGGCTCAGTTGATCAATGATTCATTGGCTTACTGGGCAACACAGTAAGATCTCCTAAGACAATGTTTCCCGAAATTTTTTCATCGCGGAATGTTTTTTATGTTCTAAAGATTTTAAGGAACGCTAGAGTAAATTTGGGCCCTTAGCTATAATCAATGATAACATAAATATGCTACATAAACAACATAACATTTTTTCCACCTTTTGACACCATACCTAGAAAAGAAACTTTTTCAGTTTTTAATTTCACAAAAAATGCCACGTAAAACTAATTAAATGAAACAAATAATATTAAAAAAAATTTAACATTTTTTTGTTTTTAATGACTTCGAATTACAAATTCTTTTATGTCAAGCACAAGGTTAGAAACATGAATTCTTATATCAGATGCAATATCAGGTCGGTTTTAATATTTAGATTTTGTTGCGGCATAGTGTGGGAAACTTGCCTCACATTGTCTCAAAAGGAATTAAAATACAATTAGTTCGTATATTCTTTTGATAAACTAATCTAGAATTCGTTTAAAGATAATTCGTTAAATTAACTATGCCGGAATCAATTTTCAAATCAATTAATTTTTCGATATCATCTGCGCTCATATCAGCGATTTAGCTATTCTGAAAGAGTTTCGAATACAAAAATTCTGCTGCACTGTGTAAAGCAAATTTGTAAGTATTACACTGTAACATTTTTCTATTTTCAAACCTTCTTGATTATAAAGTCATCTAAGAAGGAATTTATTTACTTCTAATGAAGAAATCAAGAATATCAGTATTCTTTCGATAGATTCAATTGTATTCGTTACATTGTAAACGGAAATGTTTCTTCCTTGTAACGGCAAATTTCTTCCGTTATAATTAGTAAATATATCTGCCAAATAAGCAACACATGTAGAATTTGTTAAAAATTACATGAAATTTTGCCCCAAATGGTTTTATGAAAAGAAAAATAATAATTCACTAAGCAATTCACTCTCGACAATGCTTTTCCCCTGCATTGCTACGTTAATTTAATTTGCAGTAAAAGTGCAATAGGTTAGTACAAATTTCATGGCATAAAATTTTAAATAATCCAGAATGCAGTGGTCGAAGTAGTAGATCAAAGTGTATCCAATGTTATTTAAATATTGGGATACTTTTGTGTGTGTATGTGTGTTTTTGTAATTAGTGTTTGTCCATACTAACACAGGAACTTCTTGTTGCAATTGCTGCAACTTCCAAAATGTGCAGGCTGCATGGACGTTTTCATGGTTTTCCGCAAGTGTAGCGTGGATTCGAGCAGTTTCCTTTAGAAAATACACCTCGAAGGTATCGCTCCCCTTAGGCAAAAAGCCCTCGAGTTCTTTACCACAGTCACAAACCAAACTAAATACGATTTTCAGGTTTTGACCGTTTACTATTTTGTTAACAGGGCGCTTGACGCCAAACGTAATTGGTATTCGGGAAAGCATACAAGACGTATCTGCCTAAGGGGAGCAATTTCTTCGTGTCTTTCTAAGTAAAAGTGAGTCGTATTCACGTTAAAAAATGGGAAAAAGCAAAAAACTCAGATGTATGGGAGTGTTCATCTGGGTTCGAACCCTGGATGAATGAATTCAATGGTCTTAACCACCTTGCCACCGTGGTGAACCTGTAAAAGATGGCATTAAATCTAGAGATAGGAATGAGAAATTTAAAAATATATATTTATATAACTTCATGAAAAGAACGACTGTATCATTAAATCTGGAATAAATAATTAAAAAAAAAATTCTGAAAGCTTTTTTGATTTTACATTACGCTCAAGGGGGTGTTTTTTAACGTTTTGTATGTTCCCTTTATTTATTAAATATCATGCTTTTCGCACTTAAGCCATAAAATTTAATTCAACGGCAATATGGCAAGATAATTTTAAAATGAGCCTATTTTTAGAATTTCCGATACACAGTCTCGCGCGCTGGGACAAAAAAATATATTCCTCCCCCCCGTACAGTGTTGCCATTGCTCGCTTTAAAATTGTTGAGTTCCTTAATCAAAAATTCTTTAATGTCTGACAAAATATGAAATAGATAATAAAACCAATTCCAACTTCCAAATTAGCGCTTCCAGATGCCCATATTCGGTGGAGGATTACATTATTCGAAACTGGATAACTTTAGTGTTTGTTATCACAAGGAAACTACATACATTTATGCAGATTCTTATGAACTTTTTAAATAAAATACAGGGCTGTAATATTGGGTGGTAGCAATTTGAAAAGTGAATCAACGCAAAATGCCAGAACGAAATTAATAGCCCTTCTGGGCGAAAAACGAATAACGAAATTCATAATTAAAAAGGCATATTTTTATTCTAATCGGCAATTGTACAGTATTTTATTCCTAATTGCAGCTGACGAAATTTTGTCAGTGAAAGCTCGTAACAACAAAAGTAAATAAACCGAACAAACGTCAGAATATTTGCACAGTCGCTTACATATGCGTGGCCGAAGCTTCGTTTTCGACCTTGCCTGATGTTTCATGCAGATATGTTACAAACAAATACTGGAGTTCCCTCGGGGAAAACCAGGCGGTAGCAGGTAAAGAGGAGAGACGTCGTCGAGCAATTGTTGTATGAATGAATGCTAATTTAAACCACGCTGGCCGAGTTGAAACATGGATGCAAATGTAACTAAGTTGAACACATACCAAAATCCTCACTGTACCGCAAACAAATGAAAACTACAACCCAAACAAACTAAATAAAGCAATACCGATGCAAATTTACATCTACGTACAGGAACATACTATGCAATACAAACACAAGATGCAGAACGAGAATAAACGAAAGGAAGCAAAATATTTATAGCCTAAAAGAAGTATTTCTTGTTCCGAGATCAGCAAGATTAGATTACGAAGTTGTGGTTTTTGAGTCGATGGGCTCCGAAGGGTCTGATATTATAATCCTTCGGGATTACCAATGCCTGGTTGACTTACTCGTAATTCAACCAGGCAAACAAGCTGTCAGAAAAGGAATGCACGAAAACTTTAAACCAGCTTTCGCTGTGTAAACATTTCTTCTCGCTGTGCGCCATTTTGGCGTTTAAGTAGTAGTAAAATACAATCTCATTTTGCGAAACAAAGGCTTTGAATATGGATGATAACCTTGTCCTGAAAGCAGTGCCGGTTTAAGCTCATTTCGGATCCTCGGCGCAGAACATCTTACGGACCCCCTTGGAACCCAAGAGGGGCTTTTGGATTCGCTAACAAATAAAGCAAAGTTTTAAGGTTTAATTTTTATTGTAAAAATACATATCAAAATAAAAAACAAAACAATATTCTCATTAAAAAAATGGTTGGGTCCAGCTTATCGGGGCCCCTGGGCGCCCGCCCCAAGCGCCCAATGGATAAACCTGCACTACCTGGAAGAACTTAATCATGACTGGTCGTCATTCGCAACTGCCAACATCATGTCAGTAATCCACAATGATTCTCCCCCTTCCCTAAAAAAGTTGAAAATTTAGGGGGATTATCGGATCGATGTTCATTTTTCCTGGTTAATAGGGATCTACAAATGGCCGAGTTAGACTTCTGAATACTGATAGTTCGAACTCAGGCGAAAGGC